CCTGGACTATTATCAAGTCAATTATGACAATCGACTTGATAATGGTCCAGGATGGACTGAAATGTCGTCTCCTCATCTTCTGGTGTGCGATTTAGTTCTCATATATTCAAGCTGCATTATTGTGACTCATTGTCTGTATATATAATATATATATAATATGAATGAGAGAAAGTGAGTGAGTGTCTATGTGTAATTAGTTAACTGTAGTCGTAGGATGAGAGCTATGCTCGTTGTTTTGTATTCCTGTAATCTCTGTCATATGATGCTTTGAAACTGTTGATAGTGTTGGCATCCACCACCGTCTCACTAAAGTTGTTCCAACTATCCACAACCCTGTTTGCAAAAGAAACTTGTGTGTGTAATTTTCTCAGTGTAGATACAGGATGAGAGCTACACTTGTGGTGTCCCATCAACCCAGTACTGTCATATAAAGCTTTGAAACTCCTGATGGTTTTGGCCACCACCTGACTTGTTCCAACATGGCTACCACTTTGTTTGCAAAAGAGAAAATTCTAATACTTTTTTGGCACCTTTGTTTCCTTAGCTTGAATCTGTATCCTCTTGTTCTTGAAGTTGCAGGTTTCAAGAATGCCTCTGTCAATTTTGTTGAATCTTGTTAGTACTTTGTATGTAGTGACTGTTTTGCTTATTTTTCTTCTATCTTTTAGGTTTGGCATATTTAATACTGCACCCCTATCCTCTCCTTGTAGCTTTCGTTTTTCAGTTCTGGAAGCTATTTCGTAGCATGTCTCTGCACCTTTTCAGATTTACTAATGTGCTTCTTGAGATGTGGGTGCAATACAATCACTGCACTTGGTTTGCACTATGTCCTTTGTGATCATCCGGTAATAGTCTACTATCCAGACCCACACCTAAATCTCTTTCTTTGGCAGAGTTCTTCAATGCCCTTTCACATAATTTGTAAGTTTGTGTGGTCCATTTTCTCTTATTCCACATTTCATAGCATGGTATTCACATTGAATTCCATTTGCAATGTTGCTCCACACACTTAAGTCTCATTCCTAGTAGCTAGCATCATAAGCAAACATGTTCCTACAGTTTTGCATTCCTTCTGGTAGATCGTTTATATAGACAACGAACATTACTGGTGCAAGAACTGAACTCTGAGGTACTCTATTAGCAAACCTCCAGTCTGATAAATTGCCTCTGATTTCTGCCCTCACCTTTTTGTTTGAAAATTTTTCACCCATGACAACAGTCTGCCTGTCATGGCAAACATGTTCCAGTGTTCAGAACAACCTTTTTTGTGGGACTGTCAGAAGCCTTTTTTTAGGTCCAGATAAACAATCAACCCAACCAGCTCTTTCCTGTAAAATCTGTGTGGCTCTATCATAACTAAGTAGATTTGTGACAGTATCTCAGTTTGAAAATCATACTGTCTTGTTGTTGTATATTTCTCTCTAGGTGTTCTACCCATTTGATTTGAACTATTTTTCTAGTTTTGACTACCACACTTGTCAACATAGGTCTATAATTTGGAGAGCCTTCTCTGATACCATTTTTGTAGATGGGAAATAAGTCTGTCTTTTCTTCCATGTATCGGCTAAGAATCTGTCAATCCAAATGTCCTCCATTCTTGCTTCATAGGCCTCACACTCTATTGATTTCAAGATGAAGTCACAAAGTATCAACAGTTGTCATTTATCCTATTCTGCCCACAATATAACTTCTCTCACGATCATGAGGACCATCCTTTTCCATTTGTCACCCAGTTTCGCTGTTGTCCCATGTGTTGTCAGCTGGTGAACTGTAGGCATTTATGATCAATCATCATTCTGATTCCAAACCTGCAGTGCCATTATGTTAGCTTCTTGGGGATTGTCTATTATTATTATTTCTCTTACCTTTAGGTGTTATTTCACCAGCATGGCAACAACTCCATCTTTTCTAATTTTTCCGTCATCTCCAATTTGAGTAGTTCCTCACGAATATCTCATTTAAAATATTAGCTTCAGGTTTTGCCTATTAGTGTGACAGTATCTGGCATGTTGACCAAACCACACGCTAGAAAGTGAAGGGACGAGAACGTTTCAGTTTGTCCTGTACCAATCTCAAGTCGATTGTGTAGGGGGAACCCTGTTACAGCCACCTTATTGACTCCTCGTTTGCAATATCTGGCATCTTTAGCTGAATTATATATTTTTAGCTCCATTATTTTCTTTTATCTGACATTATTTATGTTAATACTGTTTAGAATATACGATTTTCAGGAATGTTCCCACTACTTTTTTCTTTCAGTCTCCCAACCTCTAGTGATTTTGATGGTTTGTCTTTATGTACCATTTCACAGTCTTCCCAAGCCTCATCACCTTCTAGAGAAAGGAATTTATTTCTTATTTCCTCCTACACACATTCAGATGAACAAATCCACAAGGGCCGTGACGAGGTTGGAACTCTCATCACGGCCCTTGTGGATTTGTTCATTTGATGCATCACACTCTTGTGATTTCTGTGTGTAACACATTCAGATGTTTTGCTTTATCAAAGTTTATTTTTTGCTCCTTTATTTATCCTTACTATTCCTTTACGTTGTCAGTCAAGTATGACATTTCCTTATCCTAGTGAAAAGTACTTCCTTTTTAGAGTATTAATTTTACTTTTTTCAGGCCTCAATTTTTTCTCAATTTAATTTAAGAAATTTTCCTTCTTAAATCTTTAGGAAATCCTCAATCACTGACCAGCCAAGAAAACCCTCCTTTCATTATTTCTTCCAGTGACACCCTCAAAATGGTCATCTGTTGTGTGTTCGTTTCTTCAGGTGGCAGCAATCTTTGTTGTTGACACTCCTTTTGTTTTGAATTACAACATATAAAAAATTTTCATTCGTGCATATTTGTTTTGCCTGTTATTTTTCAAATTCTCTATACCTTCACGGTCCCTGGGAACCACTCACGGTCATCAACCTGTTCTACAATATCTACAGTTAAAACCAACAGAAATTTGATGAAACCTAACTACCTTAACTAACATAAATAAGTAATTCATAATATATTATTGCTAGAAAAGAACCAATTTGGAAAAAGATGTGAAAATAACGACACTCGTTCTGCCTGTTAAGCAAATTTTACCTTACATACTAGGCCACGTAGTGCAGTTCTGGCTATTATATATATATATATATATATATATATATATATATATATATATATATATATATATATATATATATATATATATATATATATATATATATATATATATATATATATATACACACACACACACACATACATACATAGTTGGAACAAATTAAGTGAGAAGGTGGTGGAGGCCAAGACCGTCAGTAGTTTCAAAGCGTTATGACAAAGAGTACTGCGAAGACAGGACACCATGAGCGTAGCTCTCATCCAGTAACTACACTTGTGTGTGTAATTACCTATTTTGAGAGTGAGAGATACCATTTGATTCAGCTTACATACGAGACTAGGTTACAAAGTGTGTCACAACACAGATATTTTGCATTTCTAATTAAGAGGAAAATGGCACCTGAAACAATTTCCCCAAAGACAATACAATAAAACACAGCACAGGGTAGCTTCAGGTCTAATCCTGTAACAGCACAGCATAAGCAAAAGGTTAAATTCTGATATAGCAATTAACTGGATGACTGTGTTATGTATATAGAGTACTAGAACTTTAATATAATTTTCTCTCGTAGAGGAATTTGTGCAAAATTAACTCGGTTTTTCATTCCATTTTGCTTAAATGATACACATGACAATAATAATTACAAAAAATATACTGCACTATTAATAAATAAGTTCAAAATACACATGCTATTTAAGTTTGAGCATACACCAGGACTACAGTATAATTTTTTTCATTTAGAGCTGCAAAACGTTAAATATTTTAGAGGGTATCTCTATGCCAATTCAAAACATTATCCACCAAGATGGGATTCACATATTATATGTTTTTCAGTGTTAAAAAAAAAAGAGGGTTGCGCACCTAATCATGCACTTAAATAAGAACGAGAACATGTCAGTAACTGAACCAGAAATCTCCACAGAAAACAAATATTGGACTATAACACTACAGCACATGCATGTATATGCAGACCTTGCACCTGATATGCAGGTATACTCCTAACACTGAATGAGTAGTCTTTTGCCTTGTGAAGAATCTGCATGCATATTTAACTATTATTGTTTTATACCACATACAGTACTGTACCTCCATAAAACTTGTTAAAAATAGAAGAGAAGAAAACTGGTTGTATGTAAACACCCCTCGGGAACCCTGAGAATGAGATTACGTATTGGAAAAAGAGGGCTATACAAGCAAGATTTTGCTTGCAGTCAAGAAGTTAAATGGCTTTAATTACTATTTTGATATTTCAATTTGCTGATTTTAGGCCGAATCAATAGTATTATCAGCCTAAATGCAACAGCGAGACTACAAGATCATAACTTATGCCAGTGGCCTTAAGTCACTAGAACTTAGCACATATACACATCATACAAATATGTACAGTTCCTAATACTATTAATTTCAATATACAATTTCCTGTTATCTACACACACAGAACTTTTGGTTTGTAATACCTGTCCTTTCTCACTGGTATAAAACTAGAAACACACATCCCCAAGAGTTGTGATCTTATTCTTCCACAGTATGTAGATTACTTTATGAAAGAAACTAATCAGTTATGTAAATAATACATATGTAGCAAAAAGCCTTTTTTCCATTTGAATTAGTTTGACATTTCTATTGCATATCTTAAACACTGCTATAAATGTACAAAATTTGCAAACTAAATCCTTGGTAAAAGCTATACATCACATTCAGTATCAATAAAAATAAATAAGTCAAATAATGACTTACTTTAATATGCAACAAATTGATTTTGGTGAATTCATCGATAAATTTATTTCTTAAGATTCTTTGCTTATAAAATATAATATTGCATTTGTATGACTTGACCACATACAAGTTGCATTTTCTACCTGAAACACAGAGAAATGAATAAAACAAACAAGGAGACCATACAAGTCAATGACTTTTATTATTCTTTCACTGGTTGAAGATACTGATCTATACAATTCATTATTTAACAGATAATTGCAACAAAGTTCACACCTCTCGGTTGTATCTGACTATAAATGTAGAAAGACTGTTAAATATAAACACAAACCTCAATATTTTCCTGCCTTAAAAGATACTGACAATTATTAAGACAAACATACTCACAAAAGGTTCTGAGAATGTGCTTAAAAAATACCAGTCATATAAACACCACCAAATATTGAGTGAAACTGCAGACAATGAGATATGCAATATGTAAAAGACAAAATTAAATATTGAAATCTTTCCTCTGCATTAAACTTGTACTGATGCGTCACGAGAAGGAACTCCAAAACATGTAATTTCTTGCTAAATGACAATTTCATGTGAAAGAGAGACCTCTTTTCATGAGAGTTGCCTGGTAGCGAGCCTGTGCAGGGTTGACGAGAGCCAGCAGCTGTTGAACCAGGTCATGGATCTTCAGGGATGGTCCTACCTTCATTCCTGTCAAGCCCATCACTTCATTTTGGGATAATGTTAGCAATTTGGACCCATGGATGTTCTGTTGGATAAAGATTACAATTTGGTTTAGTTGATTTTGTTTAATGCATAAAGGGCATGACTCATCCAATGATAGATTGAACAAAAGAATAGTGGATTAAACAAAACAGCGTTGAATGTAATGAAACTACTTCGCCTGTTGGGTCCTTGGTGGCTCCCGATTGTTAGTAATGCAGTAGCTCCACCTATTTCAAATCTTACAATGCCCTTGCAAGTCATTGTAAACCTATCGGGGACCAGAGGCAAAAACCTGGCTCCCTCTATAGAGGCAAATGAGTCGAGGATTCTAGATCATACCAAAAAAACCAGCGTTGAATATAATAAAATGCCATTTTCTGGGTGAGACCCAGATTAACCCTTAAACTGCGCATGGCGTATATATACGCCCTGAGTAACATGTCCCATGGTGCGCATGGCGTATATATACGCCATAGGGTGCCAGGCCTGATTCAAATGGCCCACGGCTACACGGGGTTCACAGTAGCTTCCTCAGGGCTCTTGTAAACAGATGCCATTTTAAAAAAAAATCGTGGGCAATATTCTCAGGTGTGAGAGGCACAGTACTGTTGGAGCAACCAAGGCCGGCGCACGCAGCATGAGCGAACAGCATTGATGTTCAGCTTGTGACCACAGCATCGCCGAAAAATGTCAAAATAAATATATAATTGTTATTATTTAGCGATGACAATATTACAGATGACCAATGACTGTGATATAAATAACCAGGGTTGTGATAATAGCAGGATTGTTGTAATAATTAGCGCTGTGGGAGGAGTGATGCTGAGAGATGGAGGGAGACAGCATCGTTTACTGACTGTGTGGCTACCTGTTATTGTTTGCATTCACCATACCAGGTCAGTGGTTCTCTATGGTGAACACAAATGTAGATACTTATATATAATGTGTGTATTAGTGTAATAACAGCAAAAGGATTATGCTGGGAGGAGCCATATGGGTGACGGAGGTGACGTCGTCTGCACGATTTGTCTAGCTGTTTAGAGGGTGGCCACTATGCTCTTTGGGCGCACTACAAGCTTAGGTGTACAGTTACGGTGCATAAAACATGTAGATATTTATATATAATATGTGTATATAGGGTAATAACACTGCAAAAGGTATTGTTGGGGGAGAAAGTTTAGTGCGTGTGACCTTGAAAGAGTGAGGGAGCCGCCAGCCGCCATCTGTGTATAGCGACGACTCTTAGTGCCTGAACTAACTATATCAGCTTAGCTGTACAGTTGTGGTGAACAAAATATATACATACTTATATATAACGTCTGTATATAGTGTAATAACACCACAAATGGTATTGTTGGGGGAGAAAGTTTAGTGCGTGTGTTGAGGGAGTGGCAGCGAGTGGCTGGCTGGTGTGTGGCGGTAACTCTTCGTTGCTTTTCGACTCTCAATACCAACTTAGTGGTTCGTTATGGTGACCAAAACATGCAGATACTTATATATAACCTGTGTATAGAGTGTAATAGCAGCAAAACTATTTGTTTATTGTTTTATAAACATAATAATTGAATCACTAATATGCACATCATACTTTTGAGTATAGCGATTATTCACCACTTTTATTATATAAATATATTACAATACACACTATTGAATAATATTACTGCAAAAAAACTAAGAAAAAATCAATCGGAGACATTGAAACAATTAGGTAATAATATCTTTGTGGCAACTCCCATCTGTCAGCGCGGGTGACGCTGACCGGGTCTGACGACCGCTCTGTCAACGCCCACTTTTTGCCAGACTTCCTCGGTCAATTGCGCCCAAAATATGTCACCTACGATTTTTTTTTTATTTTTTCCGTGCTCAGGGGACACAAATTAACATGTTTAGAAGACGAAAAAAAAATTTTGAATTTTTTTTTCTTGCGCACAGGGGTGTAAATGTCCCAAGGACCCCTGAGCAGTGTAAGGGTTAAGGCAAAGTAAGGGCGAAGAGGTAGAACCGCCCATTGACATAGCTCGAGTGCATGGGGGAGTTGTGTAAAACCCTGGTTTGTGTCTCGGAGAGGCTGCAGGATCCAAGTAAGTTAGGTATAACTTCTGGTTTAAACTCTTTTGACCATGTCATAGCTCAGTCGATTCAGGCAGCGTCTAGGATGATCTCGGACGGAGGTTTGAATCCTCGTCACGGCCCTTGTGGATTTCTTGTTATGCCTACCTTTCTGGGTGCCTAACCCCAGTCAATGGCAGACATGGAATGCTCCCAAACACATGGGGGGGGGGTTTCCATAGGCCATTGCTACCTGTGTTTCTCTTAGAGGGCCAGTTTCTGGCTCGTGGGCCCCAGTAGGCTGAACTCTATTGACTGATGCCTCAGACTAATATAGCGTACATCAGTCCGATAGCTCCAGGAAGACAGAGGGGATCCCAACAGAAAAAATAAAATAAAAATAACAGACTTTGATAGGTTGTGCCCTACAGTTCTGCTGCAGAAGGTCTACTGCATATAAAATACTGTAAGAGGATAGGATACATTAAGATATTAGTTGGGCCAGAAAGCCATGAGCTGGCATTGATGACAGACAGCACTAAAAGAAATGAGGGTTATCTTGAGATGATTTTGGGGCTTAGCGTCCCCGTGGCCCGGTCCTCGACCAGGCCTCCTTTTAGTTACACCCCCCCAGGAAGCAGCCCGTAGCAGCTGTCTAACTCCCAGGTACCTACTTACTGCTAGGTAACAGTGGCATCAGGGTGAAAGAAACTGCCCATTGGTTTCTACCTCCGCCGGGGATCGAACCCAGAACCTCAGGACTACGAATCCGAAGCGCTGTCCACCCTCAGGTCAGGGTCCAGGAATAATAAATATAAATCTATCAAATTACTTAATTATCAATAGGAAATTTGACAAAATCTTACCTGCAATACAAAGTTGTCACAGTACGCCCCACAATCATTTGTCTTTAGGAACTGAGCCACATCGTGAGGAGTCCATAGTTTAGGCTTAACCTTTGATCCATCTTTAACGGGGCCATCGATCAGTCTTGGAATATATACATTTTGAGATTCACTTTGTGCCATAGATGACAATTCAGATACTTGTGGGCTACTGTTAGCTGGAGTGGTGACTGTGGAGGAGACTACCGGAGACTGTGATGTCGTTTTACTCTGTTGGAAGATGCCATTTTTATGAGTTGGCAGCTGTGTTGAAACTGAAGGTTTAGTGACTTCTTTTGGAGTACTTGATGTAGTAGCTGGTGTGTTGGTTTTCAATGAAGTCAATTGTGGTTTGGAACTTTTACTGACAGGTTCAGAGAGTGTGGACTGGATGATAGCCTGTACAATATGTTTGCTATCCTTTGAATTTAGTTGTTTGTTGGACAAAACAGACTCAACTTTGTCTTGTCTTACAGACATTGGATGACTGCTGTTTCCATGAATTGCATTTGGTTTTGACTGAACTGTCTGATTTCGTGTATCTAGATTTTTGCTTTCTGGTACACTAGAGTAAGTGAGGTTCTGTTGGCTGGCAATATTCTCTATCTCTGGCTGTACTAATGGAGGACTTACTGATGAGGGATCACACTGTCTTTCATCCATTTCCCATGGCTCTCGAGAACTCTCATTTCCATCTAGTGATGCCACACCAGAAGAGGTTTCATCTGTAATGTAAATATATATAGTCAATATTAAAGATATTTGAGAGCAATATTGTCTGTAAATAGTGTTTCCCTCAAAGCTAACACATGCAAAATAAAATAAAATACTGTAGATATAAATACACACACTATGAAAACAAAATTTACATGTAACTTTTAAATACATGGATGGTGAAATGGGAGGCGATATGATCAGTATGTACAAAATAATAATGGGAAACGATTCAGTTGATAAGGAAGAATTCTTGAGACCTCTAACTTCAAGAAGAAGAGGTCATAGATTTAAGCTAGTTAAACATAGCTGCCAAAGACATACAAGAAAACTCACTTTTGCAAACAGAGTGGTAGACAGTTGTAACAAGTTTAGTGAGAAGGTTGTGGAGGCCAAAATCATCAGTAGTTTTGAGTGTTATATGACAAAGAATGCTGGGAAGACATGACACCATGAGCATAGCTTTCATCCAGTAACTACACTTTGTAATTACTTAACATTAAAAAATGGATAGAGATCAATCATTCCTATGCTGCCTCACATTTGGAACATGATCGCTCATCACATGGATACACGTGTAATCAAGTTCTCTCTCCTTCCTTCCTTCCTCCTCCTCTGTTGGGTATGGTGCTCCCTCCCTCTGGTCCTTTTCCCATGCTTCCGACCCCGAGGCTCCTGAGGGTTTGGGGGGGTCAGTGCATGGTTAAGCTTGGAATGTGGCTCGGTCAACTCCAGGGTTTGCCCCTTCTGATTTTTGCTTGGAGATAGTTGAGGCTGATGATCCCACTGAGGCTTCTGGTTCTTTTTTTCAGCCAGGCCCAATCTTTGAAGCTTTTCCCTTACTTGTGGTCCCTGGTAGGCCGAAAAGAACTCTGCGACTCATGGCACCTAGCAGTTTGACACAATATTACCATATTAGCTCCAAGGAGCCTCAAGGGGCTCCCCCCAGAAATAGTACCGGTATGTATGAATGTGTGTAATTACCTAACTGTAGTTACAGGATGAGAGCTATGCTTGTGGTGTCCTATCTACTCAGTACTCTGTACCAAGTATCTGGATTGTACCTGGATGGGGTTCTGGGAGTTGTTCCACTCCTCAAGCCTGGCCTTATGAGAGCTTGGTACCTGCATGATGGGGTTCTGGGAGTTCTTCTACTCCCCAAGCCCGTCCCAAGGCTAGACTTGACTTGTGAGAGCTTGGTCTAACAAGCTGTTGCTTGGAGTGGCCCGCAGGCTCACATATCCACCACAGCCTGGTTGGTCCAGCACTTCTTGAAGATCTTGAAGAAAACTATCCAGTTTTATCTTGAAGATGTCCATGGTTGTTCCGGCAATATTTCTTATACTTGCTGGGAGGATGTTGAACAACTGTGGACCTCTGGTGTTTATACGGTGTTCTCTGATTGTGCCTTTGTTGTAGTGGTTGAGTAGCTGCGAGAGACATGATCTTCCCGCTCTAAATCCATTTAAGCCTGGGTTGTGGAAGTCATTGGTCTCCATGAAACTGGAGACCTGACTCCTTGTCATTCTCTCAAATACTGTACATTTATTATGTGGGACGTTAGTGCAACTGGTCTATAATTCTTAGCCAATGCATTGCTCCCTCTCTTGTGTAGAGGAGCTACATCTACTGATTTAAGTGCATCTAGTATCTCTCCCATATCCAAGCTCTTCCTCCACACTATACTTAGTGCCTGTGCTACTGGCACGTTGCATTTCTTTATAAATATTGAATTCCATTAGTCTGGATCCCAGGCCAAGTGCATGGGCATGTTGTCAATTTCTCTTTCAAAATCTGCAGCGTATGTGTTGATATCAGTTATATTCTCTGGAGTTTGGATATCACGCATAAAGAAGTCGTCCGGTTCTTCTACTTTCATGCAGTTTATTAGGGTGCTAAAAATTTTATTTTGCCTATGTGAAGTTATCTGTCATATGACACTTTGAAACTACCTGTACTGATGGTTTTGGGATCCATCACCTCACTTAACTTGTTCCACCCAGTGGTATATATTATTGTATATAATATGCAATATATATATTATATTATATTATATTATATACCACCCATCTACAAGGGCCCAATGCAATATGTAGTTTATGTTCTAGATTTCACATAGGAGAAAAAGTATTATGGATTCCTTCATATTTCTCTAATAGCCTTTTGATCTTTTTGCCTCTCCTGGAGTTTATATGATCCTTACAACATTAGCTTAACTATTTGTATTTCTCTACATAACCTTCTTTATTGTTCTTGGGTTAGAGTGGAGCATTTGGGATGTTCTGCAATTGTTTTCTTCATCTATAGAGAGGACACTGTTCTCATTCCAGTTTATCTCTTCCTCCTTAGTGACTTGCACATATTTCTAGTGCTACTGTGCCTATTTTCTCACAGCACTGGTTTAAGTCTGCATCATCTAACTGACTTTTCCAGCAAATTTCTGCGAGGTCTTGGTTTATTTGTTCCCAAGTTTATTAAAACTAAATTTATCTTACCTGCTTTTATTATAATTTCTCTCAAACAAGGCTCCTCTTGTTTGTTATCTAGATCTTCCTTTTGTCCATGCGTTGCTTGCTGGTGGACTGCAGGTATTAATACCTATCAGTTTATCGACCAGTTTACATAACTCCAATGTCATCACGCTAACTTCTCGTGGGTTATTGAGTAAATTCTCTTACCTTCAGTTGCTCTTTCACCAGCTCAGGAAAAGCCTCCACCTTTTCTAATCTTTCTGATACATCTCTAGAGTAGCCCTATGGAAATACAACCTCATTTAACCTCAGTACTAGCCTTTGCTACTACGGTAATATCTGGCATCTTAAGCTGCATATATTTTATCACTTAACTCCAGAATTGTTTATCTCACCCCATCTATGGTGGTACAAATATTTTCAAGAGCATGTTCCCACCTCCTTTCCTTTAATAATTTAGTTGATTTGCTTTTATGCGCCATTTCATAAACAATCCAATCTATGCCACCTAACCAAAAAAAATTCTTTCTTCCTAATTCCTACCTATATTTAATAATTTTGCGTCATCAATGTTCAGATTAAACTACTGTCTGTCTTCCTTTAACATGTTCGCATTCCCTGGCGGGGCACCCAAATCGCACTGGAAGGTAGGCCGAACATTCCCGGTGAGCACACAGCCCAATGTTAAACTCTCTCACTCACAATGTTTATACTTAATATTAAGACTATGCAAAATTTAAAGCATGATGCCATTTGCATCATCACCCAGTCTGCTTGTTTTGGTCTTATGCCGCATAATGCATCATTAGGATGCAAAAGTGTTAATAGGTCTCGTTTCAATGACCACAATTTCCTATCACTATGCAATTTTCTAGCATTCCTAAGTACTTCTTCCATCTGTTTTGCTCCATTTAGGGTAATATTTAATGGGCAATTCTTTCCTTTTTTTTTATCTACCAATTCTTCTGTAATCACATTGTGTATTGTTATAAGACCATCCACTAACCCAACAATTTTATCTATGACTTGTTTCTATCAACTGTCTTGTTCCAGTTTAGAGGTGTATGACAGATCCTTTCTTATTTCATGTCTGATGTCTGTGCTTGTTTGAGTACTACAATTCTGGCTTCCTTAACAACTTTGCAAACTTTTTCTCTCTGGCCACTTGTGCATAAGTTTGTTGCATATCCTTCTCACACTTCTCTTTCTTTTATTCAAATTCAAATTTTTATTCAGGTAAAAGTACACATTGATGAAGAGTTACAAACATAATGTTGGATTTATAGATAGAGCTAGTACATACAATACCTAAAGCCACTAATACGCATACCGTTTCAGGCAAAATTCAGGCTTTTAGTACAATAACATTTGTAACTCAACCGTTTTTACTAACCAAAATTCTTTTCCCCGTTGAATAACTTTGCCTAACTTATTGTATGTGCTAGCATCTAGATCTGATTTGACTTTTTCTAAAGATTTACTTGATTATTTGTTTTTACACCTCCAGGATCTTTCTTTTTGCTTTCTTGAGCTCTCTTTTTCCTTCATTAATTCCTTTACTTAAAATTCCTGCTTTAGGTAATTTCCTGTTCAGACTAGCAGCATCCTGACTCCAAGCTTGCTTGTCTCCTTCTAGAGCTCTCACAGGTTTTCATTAATCCTCCTCAAATCCATAATCATTTCTTCATGAACATGCATAAATTCTCTATTTTTGCCAACCTGTTATGATAACCATTTATGTTCACTAAAGCCAACAAAATGAACATCCCTTGCATTACTGCCTTCATCAATGACTACAGCTGCAAGTGTGTTTGTGTAAAAGTGTGAAAATTGTATGTGTAATCAGATACCTTCTCCTTACACACTTAACCAAAAGAGCTTACACACAAATTCTGCACAATGTTTATTCTTTAATCAATCAATTCTCAAATGGCTGGCACAAACCTGAGGCATCCTCTTCATCTGATTGGTTGTATGAGGTTGGCAACGTTCTTGCCCGAGTTGCTCTTACAGGAAGGGTCTTTGTATTATTAGGTGTGGTTGAAGTGCCACGTGGCGATCTCCTTGCATCTTTCCTACCAGAACTACGTCGACATTTACTGGCTGATGAGGAATGCTCTACCTCTGGTGCTGGGAGAAGGTCTGTCCAGGAGATATTATTTTGTAATAAAATGTTTTTCATGAAAGGTTGCAAGAGCAGTGAAGGAAATGCCAATTAATTCAGACTACCAGATCCCATTCCATCCACAAATCCCTATTAGTGCAAACAAGTTGTAATGAATTCACTTATAAGATAATAACCAAACTGGCATATGGAATTATTTGTTAAATATTTGAAGCAGTCATTTAAGTGTGTGAAGCTTGGAGTAAATTCTACCTAAAACCTTCTCCTTTAGGAAACAGGCTTCCAAAGAAAAACAGCAATTGAATGTTGTAGATACGGTACACCTTTTGGGCCAATTTGCTGAGTCTATTCATGTGAGTATACAGGGCAACGGGCAACAGAAAGCGGCGATGAAGGTTAGATGAAATAATATTTTTTGTTGGCAGAAATTTGTGCATGAGCCTTGAGCCTTTGACTTGGCCAGTTCTGTTACTGTTGTGAGTATTTCTTGTTACTTATATTGTGGATCAGTATTTATGACTTACGTGGTGGTTTCAGTAAGGTTATGTCCAATATACTTTACAACTACTACTGGGCTGTTAAATCTCATGTATAGCCGGAGGATGATAAGGTGAGTATGTGATCATGAAAAAAAAAATGTAATGAAATGCCTCTTCAGGTACAGCCTCATTAGATTCCCTGAAGTTATCTCACTGACATGGCTTACACCCTACTGAATCACATCAACCACAGGAGTCCTGTATGGCCTACCAGAGACCGGAGCCAGAACCTGGCCTCCTCACAGACACACAGGGACCAGGGGATTATTATGATCACTCTCATTGAAAAAATATCCAGAGAGGAAGTGAAGCAAAACAAAAACCAGTGTTGAATGTAATGAAATGCAATTTTCTGCATGAGCTCCGCAGGCTCCTTGAAGCTATCCGAACTGATATGTGCTATAACAATTTGGGGTCATCAGTCACAGGAGTTCTTATGCCTACCGGGAGCCACAAAAAACCAAGGTGAAGAGAGGAGAGAGAGCATCGGATCAAAAACCAGGATGCCTCAGGCGGCGCATGAGCAGGCCAGAGGTGGAAAAACGCACGAGAAAGTTTACAGAACGGAGTAAGAAATACCAGATGCAAAGAGCGGAAGAGTAAATTGAATCAGCAAGGTACCTCACCGGCCCGATCTGCTGAAAGAGGCGAAGCCGCAGAAAATGCCCCGGGTTTGGACACCGAGCAAGCAGTGACTGAAACCAAGGCTGGGCCAGCCACCATGGGGCCAGAAGGGGAACTCTCTCCCGATAGGACTCCAGCCGAGCTAGAACCCGAAGCAATAGCTGGACCAAGGGAAAGAGGTACAGGTACCTCCACCTCGACCAGTCCTGCTGAAAAGCGTTGACTGCGACGGTTTCGCAGTCGGGGAAGGGCACCACATATACTGGTAGACACCTTGACCATGACAATGCAAAGAGGTCCACTTCTGGGGGCCCGAATGTACGGCAAAGCCAACTGAAGGAGTTGGCGTCGACTGTCTATTCTGTGGACAGGGGAATGAACCGAGGCAGGCCGTCTGCCAGGATGTTGGACACGCCCCTGATATGAAACACACTGAGAGCTAAACCCAGAGAATTCGGCAGAAGAGTCACTTGAAGAGACCAGCCTCAAAGATCCAAGGACCGAAGACCCCCTGACAGGTCAGGCAATGAACCACCGGGGCGCAGCCCGAATGGAGCTGGATCGTAGAGCTTCGAGCAAGCTGAATTCATTGCAGTGAAAGCCACACTGCTGCATTTCACTGCAAACTCTCGCACTGTGCTGTGGGCCCTATGGAGCGATGGAGCCCACTGCCCCACTATGAATGTTGTAACACTGGTTACAAGTCCCAGATGAGAGACAAGGTGTCTATAAACACATCAAGTGAGAGTTCCTGAAAGTGTCAAGGCATGGAACACCAAAAAACCCAAAGAGGAAGCTGGAGATGCAGCAACCAATGCAAGGCCCTCGGAGGACGAACCCAGCGATCATGAGAATGGCAGAAGAGACGGCCTCAAAGGAAACAGAACAGACACCGAAGCCAAACCCAAGCCTGCAGGTAAACCAGCACAGCGAAGTTCAGACTCCCACACAGCTGCTCGAGCAACCGCCGAATGACTCGGGACCTCTTCAGGAACAGCCGAAGGTGGGATTGCAGCCGGAGCAACGCCGCAGGAGGGAGAGACACGGACGCTGTCCGAGAATCTCAAATAAAGCCTGCCTGCTGAGGTAGGTGTGTAACAAAAAGGAGGCTTGGTCAAGGGCCGGGCCGTGGGGACGCTAAGTCTCGAAATCACCTCAAGATAACCTCAAGGTAAGGCCCAGCCAAGTCCGAACCTGGGACAGAACCAAATGGGACTTCCTCCAGTTCACCAGGAACCTGAACCTGGCGAACTGGAAGAGAATCAAACCCCTATCGAGCAGACAGGTAGACTGACTGGGAACACAAACCAACCAGTTGTTGAGGTAGGCCAAAACCTGAACACCTAGCAGATGCAGACGCGCCACCACGACCCGTGAAAAGGCGCGTGAAAACACGAGGTGCCAGATTCACCCCAAAGGAAAAGCAACAAAAGTAGTAAGCCTGATGCCCCATCACAAAACCTAACCAGTCCCTGACCTCCGGATGAATGAGGACGTGCCAATATGCATCCCGGAGAGATCCAGACACACATCCAAGAACCCGGCTCCAAGAGAAGCCAGATCTGGGACAGAGTGGTCCTCCAAAAGGAGGGGGGCAAGGAATCCAATAGATCAGACGGGACAAGTCCAGAGTGAACCAAAGATCCACACAGTCCTGTTTTGGCACTGGAAACATGCGAGAAACCCACTTGAGGGACAAAGTCATTTCGACCGTGCCCAAGCACACCCACTCCAAGATGACTTGATGGAGCGAAGGGGAAGAAGTCCATCCCGATCCCCTGAGAGGAGGAGTCGCACAACGCCACCACAGGGTGGAAGACACGACCCGAAACGTCCACGAATCGTAGGATCAAGCTTGGGCAAACAGAGCCAGCGTCCCTCCCATCACCCCATCAATAAAGCGACCCACGAAAGGGCCAGCGCCTCTTCCATGAAGCCGACGTATGTGCAGAGCAACCTAGCAGCCGAGGCCAATGCCCCAGATGACAGTCTGGCACTCAACGCCTCCACATCCTCAACAAGCCAGCCCGAGGACAGCTTGACAAGGGAAAATAAGTGCAGGATTGAGGCCAGATGCTCACGAGCACGAAGCTCCTCCGTAACCAAGGCAGCCGAAAGGGAGGGTACTTGAGCATACAACTGAAGCAAGCCATACGAGAAACCACAGGGGTGTAAAGGCACACATTGAGGTGCTCAAAAGCACCCCCCAAGTAAATCTGTAATACCATAATAAGCTCCCACCAATCCAGCGAGCAGGTATGACAAAAACCGTGCCACGCCCCCCAAGCGAAAAGAAAGGGCAGTCTGCAAACCAGGACAACACCGGAATTTCATAATGCACCCAATATGGGGGAAGAGGAACCGAACTCAAAAGAGAGCGGGTCCATCACAGAGGCAAAGTCCTGGTGTCGCAGGAAGTACACACCCAGGGCCTCCTGAACCTCCATTGGGGAAATACGAGAGGTGGAAAACCTCCAGAAAGACGAAACCGCGGAACCCAAAGAAACCCAGAAATGCACCGGGTGGGTGGGAGGTGGGGGTGTCAGGTAGCAGGCAAACTGACCACCAGTAGCACCTATGAAACTTGGGGCAACAGAGTAAGACTACAAACACAAGCCACGCTTGCCTAATAAGAAGCTAAGCAGACCTCTGTCTAAACAAGGAGAGAACGTCAGAGAATGAAAATGAAAATAAAAACAAAACCTTCCGAAGACACAACAAACTGGCAGTCTGAGAGAAACATCGGCTGCTGTGTTTAAGTAAAGCTAGCTGTGCCAGCCGCAGTGTGCCCCACCCAGCCAATACACTCCCCTACCCTGGGCAAGACGGAAAGCCCTAGACCCCCAGATGTACCCCAAGGACAAAGACAATATCAAGCGATGAAGTCCTCAAACAAAGAATGATTCCAGAATTCCCCAGGAAAGATAACCCTGACACGCAAGGGCAGTACACACGGAGCCCCTAGAGAAGGTTACCCTAGGTGCATGCTGCTCCTGTACACTAAGACACCTGGCCACTACACCACACACAGCTGGAACAGCCACACAGGGCAAAAATCCAGAACAATAACCTGAGACCAGAGGTGACTGATATGACCACCAGCACGTCAGTTCAAGAACTGGAGAGGTGGGATGCCGGTTTCCCTATGAGGGTGTAGCGCTACTGAGTGTAAGTGCAAATTGCATGAGAAGTAGCTTATTTGGTTTCTTTCTTTGATAGTTATTTTGATCTTTTGGGATGTAGATTGCACAGGTTAACCAGACAGTAGTCTGTTTTAAGTTGCCTATCTTTCTGGGTCCCTCCCCGGTTGATAGCAATTACGATATATTTTAAATGTAAAGTGCTCATAGGCCATTGCTCCCTACGCCTCTCTGAGGAGACCAGGTTCTGGCTCGTGGTTCCTGGTAGGCATAAGAACTATGACTGATGACCTCAAACTAATGTAGCACATATCCGTTCGGATAGCTTAATGGTGCCGATGGGGCTCCCCACAGAAACTAAAGCACTGATACAACCAAACTCCCCAAAATTCACACAAATATTTCATTAAAAAAATAATTCCGGCAGTTATTGTGGCTGTAATCATATTTAAAGTCTACAGTGGCTTGTTTTGCTTTGCTGACTTTCTGGGTGACTTTCATAGGGAGTGGCATAAATGAGTAACTGTGGAGGCCAGGTTCTGGTTCTCAGTAACTGATATGACCTAGTAGTAAGGCACACTATCAGAGATTAGTAGCTGCAAGGACTCACAAGGGGCTATCCCCAGAAAAATGCCTCTTTGTTGGGCAAATACAGAATCTATAACAAAACACCACATGAATATTCAGATACTTACCCGAGATTTCGTTCTCACTAGATTTGATCTGCATCAGCGGCGATTCCACAAAGCCTGTTCCTACAGTCTGAGCCTTGTCTTTTGGTGGACGACCTCTTCGTTTTTGAGAACCAGCTGTCGTTGAAGCTGGATTACAAGCCAGATTTCCACTAACTTTTACCATTTTCTTGCTGCCCAAAGGTCTGCCCCTTCTTCCAGCTTTCCCAAATTTGGCTCCTCCTTTAACCTTCCTCTTTGGTGCTAAAGATGCAAGAACTGTAATTACAAAAGTTATTCACATCATATTTAAGATTTGCTTATCTTAACTATTGGAACTTTTCTTTATAGGATTTCCAGGAAATGGATGAAAATAGGCCAAGATAAACAAAAAATTTGGTAACAGACTGGCCTAGAAACCAAACTCAATAATCATAGAGTTTAGTTAATGTCAGTTGAAGCTTCTATACATGCCAAAATAACAAATTAAATTCTATAAGGTGTGGAAATTAGTACAGGATGTAAATGTTGTGATATAATGGCCAAGTGGAATGCATGCAAGATATGGTACAGTAACAGAAGGCATATGATGTGCTAGCAAGATATGTAAATGTAAGCAAATAAGATAATTTAAGGCTAATTGATCACATAAAACATTTGCAATCTGACCAAGCCTTTTGGATATCTGACATCACCCTGCTTAGTTTAACCCTTAAAGTACAATATTTGTCAAATAACCCCTGGGCAATGCTGTTATCATCATTATTTAATTTTAGTTCTCATCACCTAGGTTTTATTCAAATGGTATAAATATGGTTACAGTACATATATATGGCTGTCAGGAAGTTAGCTTAAACTCATGAAATTAGTTTTGTTATCTTTTTAATTGCTTGCTATCGACACGATGTTTCCTGTAGATGCCTGACTCCATTTCTGAATTACATTACCAGATAAAATAGCAGCAAAAAGCTGGGTTGCAAGACACTTCCTTTAATCCTTGCACAGTGGCTATGGAAAAATGGCCATACCCGCCTGTGTGCAAAACATAAACAAAATCCCCAAAAATAATTTTGCACTATAGAATTACAAATCTGTATGCAAAATGTAAGAAAAAACAAAAAAAAATGTGTGAACATTTGCATTTTTACTGGGCAGAGGCGCAGAGAACGGTTGTGTGGTGGTTCTGTGGTGTGGTACCTGCCAACACACGATGCCGACTGCCGACAATGAGGTATGCAAGACACCGACTCCGGTGTTCTCCTCGGATCTTTAATCAATTGTTTAACACTTGTTTCTCTTTATTTACAAGTCTGTGTGTTGAATAACTAGATAAATCACATAAGTCATTTTTCCTTGATTGGTTTACCTGGTATACCTCATTACAAGCATAAAGAGTTGTCAAACACCATATGAACATTGTTGGTATACAAATCATATAATTATGACAGACTTTTATACAATGATGATGTGTTTATAATGATACAGTAATTGCATTCACATAGTAATGTAACTATGAAACAATAGCTGGATTTTTTTCACGGGTCAAGATAATGTCCATTACATCTACATAGAGCTATTAAACAACGCTTATTTCCATCATACCGTACATGTAAAACCCAGACAATCGTTTCAATCTTTATATGATAACCGCATTACCCCATGAATCAACATATGATGATAACAGCTATCTAAGGGTTAAATTATGCAAAAATAGATTACATGCAATATAAGTGTACATATTGCATTGTTGGCCTATATACTGTACAGTACTGAACTGAATCTTTTTTTTTTGTCAATTATGTGCAAATAAATAAAGTTATTTCATACATTGAGAAAACTAAGGTGAAACAGTAAACATACAAACAGTTTTGCTTTTTGCAGGTTGGCATTCAATCCCCGACCATCACAGTGGTCAAGTACCATTCCTTCCCTCCGTCCTATCCCAAATCCTTATCCCTTCCAAGTGCAACTGTATATAGTTTTAATGGCTTAGTGCTTTCTCCTATGACAATACAGTATCCATCTTCAGGGGGTTAATATGACTTTTATCTTCAAATTTCTTCTTCACACCCTTCTTACTCCCAAATATTTTAACTTTTGGAACTTTCCCTTGAAACAATGTTTTGTGTTACACTCACAGCATTGTTTCTGTTAATGCATAAGTGCAAACAATGTCAATGGGTCAAGTCCCCATACAAGAACAGTGTAACGTATTGGAAAATGAAGAAAGGGAAAAGAAATGATGAAAGGAGAAAAAGGGTGAGGGAGGTGTAAGGAGTATGGTCAGGGAAAAGGGAAAGTTTAAAATGAGAGGGAGAGAATGAGAGCAAGGAGGAAAGTAGAAGAGTAGAAGTATAATAGAGATAAAAAGGTGGAAGAGTAGAAAGTAAAGTAGAAAGTAGTAGGTTGCTGCCACCATCCATTCAAGTTAGTTATCTATACAAGACAAGGAATGGAACGTGTCTGCCCAGCAATATTATCTGACGTTACCATGTATCAAGTGTAAGCACAACTAGCATGATCAAACTCACAACAAGATAACTATAAATAGCAGCTTCCTCGTATCACTGCAACTCAGATTTGTTCCAGTTGGCAAATGGAAGTGTAAGTAATGTCTTGTAACATGTGTCGATTGTAACACTGTCGGTCTAACATGTGTTAGAGCAGCATATTTCATATTCTGAGGGATAATATTGAAGTTAACTATTACATAGTCCTCATAGTAGAATTTGATGTGCAGACGAGTTTATTTAGAAGTATTATAAATATTTAAGTGGACAAGCTAAGAATTTAATTGAAGACTGTTAAAAGGGGATGTGGAGAAAAAGTAGTTATAGTTTAAGGAAATGAAAGCATTTTCATGTGGACTTACATAACTGAAGAGAAATTTAGTACTATGTTTAAATGACATTGTCATGCTGAAAGCCTGATCAAAGCACAGAAATGGTGACGGGTGATGAGTGAGTTGGAAAAAGAATTGATTACAAAAACTAAAGCAAAAATGATTACAGACTGTGAAGTTTAATCATTATGAGGAAGAGTGGATTGAGAGGCCTCATTTGATGAATCATTAAAATTATAGTGAATACAGTAGTGGTTTAGTATCTTTGAAATCTACTTAAATGAGCACAGGAGTCGAAAACAAATTAAACAAATGTTTGTAAGGAAAACATGACGTGCACGATAAGAAAACATTATCTTACCTTGAGACTTTGGTCCCTCTAGTCTATAGCCGGACATGTCACACCATCCGACAGGATATATATCAGGCGACTGATAGTCTATCCATTGGTCAAAATCACTTTCCCATCCATCAAAATGCACTTTTAGTAACCTTCCTTTCACTTGCTTCACTGTTGCTACACATACCAATCGAGGGTCCATTAAGTCTGCTGATTCTAGGGCCATACCTTCTTCAAAGCCGTGACTTGGTACTTCCTGAATAATGTTAAAAGTGTTAAAATCTTAAATCAATGTTAGAGCCGTCAACTTTGCTGATTCTAGAGCCTTACTTTCCTTGAAGCCATGACATAGTGCTTCTTAATAATACTAACTGGAATTAAAAATCTTAAGCCATTAACTTGTTATTAATGAAAAGTTAAACAAATATTTACAGAACTGAGTGTAAAGTTGACATCACAATTACTCATCTATTGCAATATATATATTTAATAATACAATAATTTTATTATTATGTACACACATTCAGATTATGAATATAATTTTACCTTAAGGATGCCAACAAGGCCAAAATATCAAAAGCTTTAAAAAATAAGGGGGGATTATTGGAACTTTTAAAAAGAATGCTAAACTAGATTGATAATACAATTCACACATTTGCACTTCATTGGGTAAAAATAATGTTCTGTTATTGTAGCTCTAGAAATTGTATTAGACAATTAATAACTAGCACTAATGTAGTTGCACAAACTACAAACATTGCCTGCACTAAATCATAACCGCCGAGACATTTTATTCCATTTCACAGTCATCTTGTGAGACGGATTACCACTATTATTATAACCGCCTATTATTATAAAAACTCTTCCCTGAAATTACCTTTCCTGAACCATCACTGCCTGCAAAATGGCATACAGCTCACAGGGGTTATCCTGGGGTAAGAGTTTCGAGCAACAAACACAGAATGCATATGAATTGTGCCAGATTATTGGTCTTAACCTGTTTGACAGGGAATTTGTCTCGATTCCACTAATACGAACAACATGAACATGATTCCCTTGTGGGGATGACAGATTTTATACTGGGAAGAAGTGATCACAGATACAACCATGTGCAATTAAGGTACAGGGAAATAAATTTATTACATTTAATCCTAGTACACAATTTGAGGGATTTCTCTATACAGTACTATAAGAACTGCAATACACCAAGCTATCGGAGAGAGCGATCTGTAAGAAATTATCATCCCTGTGGATGATACTAAACTGTGAGAGTTGCCCCCTAATCTTAACACTGCAATTATATGACAATGTTCACTATACGGCTTCCTAACATTGATACAATTCAAACGTTACTCAGGACACCAATTTGCGTGCACAACAATAAAATTTACATGTGTGGAAATACTGGTAATCACTTACACATGCTCGCTCTACTTAGTGGCACTCCTGAGAGCCTTCGCTCAAGCTGGACACACCAACTTTGACCTAAGATTCTCTCCAGTCTCGCAGATACACTGCACACCTATTGCAGATGACTGGAAGTGGGTGTGCAACAGGGCTACCAAGTGGGCACCATGAAGGTGAGACAAATGTTACACAATGATCTATCTTGAGGTTATTTTGAGATGATTTCGGGGCTTTAGTGTCCCCGCGGCCCGGTCCTCAACCAGGCCTCCACCCCAGGAAGCAGCCTGTGACAACTGACTAACACCCAGGTACCTATTTTACTGCTAGGTAACAGGGGCATAGGCTGAAAGAAACTCTGCCCATTGTTTCTCGCTGGCGCCCGGGATCGAACCCGGGACCACAGGATCACAAGTCCAGCGTGCTGTCCGCTCGGCTCCCTGTATGATGTTGTATGTACTTGTGCATCTCCACAATGCAGCAGGCCACAGAAAAATCCAATTGCCTAAGTATTGTAGAACAGGTTGAGAACCATGAGTGGTGTCTCGGAAACAGGAAGGGACAGGGAATTTGAAAAATAACTGAGCTAAAAGAAATGTGTACAAGTGAGGAAAAATCTGAAAAGTGAAGTTGTTACTGTATTTCAAAACAAAAGCAGTGTTAACAACAAAGATGGCCACTGCCACAGGGAAGGACAACACAACAACATAAATATTTCAAAGGTTTGTCTGTACAAGAAATAATGTAAGATGGTTTTCTTGGCAGGATAGTGATTAAGGATTTGCTAAAGAATCACGAAGGAAAATTTCTTAAATTAAAACAAAAAATTAAGGTATCAATCATTAATTTTCTAATTTAAAAATAGTATTTTCCAGCTGGATAAGGAAATTACCAGCTTGATTGAAAAGGTATAGAGACAGGAAGAACAAATCAAGGAACTAGTGAAAGAAAATGAGATATGGAAAATGAAGAAGGGTGAATTTGAAGAAATTAACAGGAAAATATTCAAACATGGTGAACAACTCAAAGTAACTCTACAGGCGAGTCCAAACATGAGTTAGGCAAGGATATGCTAAGAGAAACTTCACTGACAGCTCAAATAAAGGAAGTTAATAATGGACTGGAAAAGTACAGAGGTAATAAAAGAGACTTATGCACTATTTGTAAATGAGAAAGAAATGATCAAAGAAGCATACATGGAATTCAAAAACAGAAATGAGCAAATAGATGTAGATATTAGACAAGTAATTGGGAAAACCTGGATACTAACAGTAAATTAATATGAAACACTGCACATAAAAGTTTATAATAACTTTTGGGTGTTTACAAAAGGAAATACCATCTAGGATAGTTAGAGCAGCAGAAGGGGAAAAAATTATTGAGAAAATAGTAGGCTTAGGAGAAGGCCTCATAACAAAGGAAAATATCAGTGATTTTAGGAAGATAGGTAAATATATAAAATACAAGAATTGCCCCTTAAGGGGTGATATTTAATGGAGTGAAACAAATGACAGGGAATTGCATAATGATGAGACTGGGAAACCATGGTCTTTAAAACTGGACCTTTCAAAAGAAGATAAAATAAAACTAACTTTGATGAAGCAAAATGTCTAAATGTGAGTAGGAAAACAAATTATACAAGATGATAGGGACTGGGAGGCCTCTGGAATCGCACATAAAAGTAACCCAACAAAATCATTAGAGGAAGGGGAAGTAAAGGTCAAAGGAAGATGGGGAACATGTTCATGGAAATTCTTTATACTAACATAGAGGGTAGGGGGGGGGGGGGGGGGGTGAGATTAAAAATACTGGAGTTAAACAAGACAGTTTAATGTGTTAGATATTATTGCACTAACAGAAACAAAACTTGAAGACAACATTTTAAATGAGGCTATTTTCATGAGGAGCTCCTCAATTTGGGGAAGTGACAGAAAATTTGGAAAGTGGAGGAGTTGTTGTGCTGTGAAAGAATACCTGAAGATAGAAGAACTAATAATCGACAACCCATTAGTAGTTGAATAATGATGTCCGACGATCTAACGTTTAGGGAGCATAACCAAGCAAATATTGCATCAGGAAGAAAAATGATAGGATGGATTATGAGAACTTTCAAATCCAGGGATCCCATCACGATGGTTGTACTCTTCAAGTCACTGGCGTTTTCCCGTCTCGAGTACTGCTCAGTACTCACTTACCCCTTCAGAGCAGGAGAGATTGCTGAAATTGAGGGAATACAGAGAACATATACGGCACGCATAGACGCGATAAAGCACCTAAATTATTGGGATTGTCTCAAGTTCTCCAAATGTACTCACTAGAAAGGAGACGAGAGAGATACCAAATAATATACACGTGGAAAATACTGGAAGGCCAGGTACCTAATCTACACAGTAAAATAACAACGTACTGGAGTGAATGATATGGAAGAAAATGCAGAATAGAAACAGTGAAGAGCAGAGGTGCCTTAGGCACAATCAGAGAACACTGTATAAACATCAGAGGTCCACAGCTGTTCAATGTCCTCCCAGTGACTATAAGAAATATTGTCGGAACAACCGTGGACATCTTGAAGAGAAAACTAGACTGTTTTCTAAAAGACGTTCCGGACCAAACGGGCTGTGGTGGGTATGTGGGCCTGCGGGCCGCTCCAAGCAACAGCCTGGTGGACCAAACTCTCATAAGTCAAGCCTGGCCTCGGACCGGGCTTGGGGAGTATAAGAACTCCCAGAACCCCATCAACCAGGTATCAACCAGGTATCTAGTTGACATAATGGCACTGTAGATTTAGAATCAATATATAAATGCCTACAGCCCACCAGCCAGCAACACATGGACAAACGTGGAGCTCGATGACAAACAAGAGGGCCTCATAATAGTTATGAGAGATTATAGTAAGAGCAGATAAAGATTAATCACAATTGTTAGCACTTGGTGACTTTAACTTGAAAGTAACAGACTGGGGGGGGGGGGACGACGACGAAGCAAGAATGGAGGACATTAGGACAGGCATATTTGTAAAACTCATCCTAGAGACATTCACTTATCAACATATTAAGCAAGCCACGAGAATGATAAATTTAATATTCACCGTGAAAGAGAAGAAGATATTTAACATTCAGTACATTCCTCCCTAGGAAAAGAGCAACAATATACGCTTGGAAGTAAAATATTGAATACGTTATAATTTAGAAGATAATGGGGAAAATGAAACAGTTGATAAATTTGATTTTAGGAGAGGACACTATGGAGAACTTAGCAAATTCTTAATTTGCTAATGTCGAGAGGACTGAGACTCACAATCTTAGAGAAGAAGAAATAAGAGGCGATAACTTCATACAAGATTTTGAAGGGAATACATAAAGTAAATAAAGGAAACCAATTTCAATTTAATACAGGTAGGACAAGGGGACACCAGTGGAAGCTGGATATGTCAATGAGTTGAAGAGACAAAAGGAGCTCTTGTTCCCTGTATGGGTAGTAGGAATGTGGAATGCACTGGAGGAAGAGGAGGAGGAGGTTGCTGAAGCCAATTCCATCCACAATTTTGAAAAGAAATATGATGAAAACATTAATATTTTGAGGGGTAATTAACATGCCAGGTATAAACAGCTAGGAGACAAGAGTATAAAGAGATAGATCTTACCCCCACATACAGTCATTGATAGGTAAGCACTGTACAAGTTTCCTTCGTACTAACACCATATTGTCATGCCGTACAGAAATGAGTTGCTAGCATTATACATACCGTACAATTTCTCTTCATAGTAACATACTGGCAGACCATACAGACATGAGCAACAGAGAAATACACATTTAAAGCGTGACCTTATTTTCTGGATATGAAGTAGAATAAAAAGCAAGATGTAGGCTTACAACAAGAAATGACAGGACATAGTATACAAAAATCGTGATCTTGCTTCTTACTCTGTTGAAGAGTGCTGGTGGTGCTGCCGTGGCCTGAGTCTTTTTGAGGTAAGTAAACCACGAGAACTGTCCCTCATAGCCTCTCGGGGGAGTTAGGATAATGTTGTTCATCTCACAGTATCCAGCAGGAAAGACGCATGGGGATGTAGCATGGTAGCAAAACCAGTCTGAACACGTGTTATCCGATTCATAACTATCTATTCTTATCATGAGGTAGTTGTTGTGGAGGACCTACACAGAATACAGAGAACAATACACTCAAAGCAGGATCCTTCATATAATCAAAGTGTAGGTTAATGGTCAACCTTCAAAGTACCATTAATTGAAATTTACCATATAAAATCTTGCCCGAAACGCTATGCGTACTAGTGGCTTTTGGTATTGTATGTACTATCTCTATCATTAAATCCAACATTATGTATGTAACTCAATGTATGTACCTTTACCTGAATAAAAATCTAAATCTAAATCTAAAAAATCTTGATAAATGGGTTTATAAACAGTCAAAAATCTTTACTTGCTTGCATGCATGAGAGTAAAATATGTACTGTGTTAAATATAAATGCTTCATTACTGGTAATACGAACATCTAACCAGGACATATTTAAAAAAATACTGGTATACCTCATATTAAATTAAATAAAGGAAAAGTTATAAATAAACTGAATACTGTCAGAAGGGCCAGGGGCAGATCAAAGGGAAACTGATATACAGAAACATTATGGATAATAAATTATAAACAAAAACAAAACCAAGAAGGGACCAAAAAAGGATGCTACTGGAAGGTTGAATGTTTAGCAGAGAATACATTAAACTAACTAACTTCTGCATATAAGATATGCAGAATATGCCATGGTAAATAACATTAGAAGATTGAATAACAAAAGCAACTGTTTTAAACTGCTGTTTTTAGTATTTCATTTTACTACATTTATTGTAACAGTTCTATAATCCAGACCTTCGGTTAATTTGGGAAAAATCAAGTCCAAGTTTTTGTCTGCCAAATTTCATCAAACTCGGACAGAAATCTGGATTAATGGTAGTTTTGACCAGCCTACGGAATGATATATGGTGACCTATGCTCACCAGAAACGGAGGCTGGCTATGTGTGGAATTGCTTAGGAGATTGGACCAAAGTTTACAGTCTGGTGAGAAAGTTGCACATCATATGATAGGTGGAAATTAAAATTTCACTCTGTGAAATTAGCCCATAGGGCGTGGAGAAATATTAAAGCATGACTGGTAACTTTATTAATATAGCTCCTATCATGTTTCTAGTAATTTTCATAAAAGGATGCAACAGTACAAGAAACAGTTGGAGGCTTAGAAACCTTTTTTCAAATCAAATTCTGTTGTTTATTTTCATCTCCATGATTTTCATTCACTAAAATATAGCCTTCATCCTTTGTACACGAGATTTCAATGCTGGGCTATGAGAAATACCCTGGATGTGATTAAATCTTTTTACAGACAGGTTTTCCTGGTGTTTGTCCTTTATGTGATAGGTGGAAATAAAAATGTTGCTCAGTAAAATCAGCCAACTGACGGAGGGAAATATTTGGGGTATAAATGGTAAAACTTAATATGGCTCCAATCACAGTTTTTAATCATTTCTGTAGTTGGACACACCATTAAGAGAGCCTGAAAGGGGTGGGGGTGGGGGGGGGGGAAGGGGGGGATTTTGAAAGCCATGGAGCTTATTTAAAACCCAATTCTATGGTTTGTTTTTATTTCCAATTGCAGCAGTTTTCATTCACTAAAATATAGGAACCCCCCCTTCTTCTTTGAAAATGTGTTTTTGAGGCTAAGGCATGAGAAATATACAAGATGCGGTGGAATCCCTTTACAGTTAGGCTCGTGTAAATTCATGTTTGTGTGGAAATACAAATTATGATGGTTGTGGTACAGAAAAATTGCTACTATGTTCATTTATAAATATTCCAAGTAGGAATTCCTGCTTCCTGACACCATATGATCCAGATTAGTGACTGTAGAGTGCTTGTATATATTTGGCTTTCAATATACTTTTTTTTGTTTACAAAAATATATTTTGGAAATTTATAAATTAAATATATTACCAAACATATTTAACAAAACTTTCCTTGAATTACTGTTGTTCTTACTTACCTTCATGACTGTAGCTACACAAATAGCTGACAAGTTGAGAGGATCTATAGCTTCCAGTTTCATTCCTTCACGAAAGGTTAACTTGGAGTTGCGAAAATATACAGGAATAGGGGTAATGGCAAACAGTTCAGGAGGTGCATCATTTGGATCATAGGTGCCACTAATGCACTTCTCGTGGTAGGACTGGCTTGCAACAATCTCGTGACCCACCTCTCGAGACCATCCCACCGGATGAATTATAGGAGCATCTTCATGGCACCAAAATCCTGCAATATTTTGTTTAAGTATTATTTTAAATTTATATACATACTGGAAGGAAAATGGAAAATTAATACAACAAATAATAAGGATGTTTTTATATTTATTAGACAGACAGATCTATATTACCTTCTGTTTTAGTACAGTACTGCTTTGTTTTCCTATAAATTGTTACCTTGAGGTGCTTCCGGGGCTTAGCGTCCCCGCGGCCCGGTCGTCGAGCAGGCCTCCTGGTTGCCTCCTGTTACCTCCATATTTGACATTAACCTTCCAATCTAATAAATTTAATGACAAGTTATGCTAGAGTTTTTAAAACTCTTTATGAAAACATCTAGGGAGCTGACAATGTGTGTCGGGTGACCGTGGTTACCTTGCGAAGATTTCGGGGCTTAGCGACCCAGCGGCTCAGTCCTCGACCTGACCTCCTGGTTGCTGGACTGGTCAAGCAGGCTGTTGGACACAGCTGCTCACAGCCTGACATATGAATCACAGCTTGGTTTATCAGGTATCTTTTGGAGGCATTTATCAAGTTCTCTCTTAAACACTGTGAGGGGTTGGGCAGTTATGCTCCTATGTGTAGTGGAAGTGTGTTGAACAGTCTTGGGCCTCTGATGTCAATAGAGTTCTCTCTCAGGGTACCTATTGCACCTCTGCTTTTCAACGGGGGATATTCGGCACATCCTGCCATGCCTTCTGGTCTCATGTGGTGTTATTTCGGTGTGCAGGTTTGGGACCAGCCCCACTACTATTTTCCACATGTAAATTATTATGTCTCTCTCCCGCCTGCACTCAAGAGAATACAGAAGTTGAAACAAAAGAAAACTTATAAAATCCCAAGAAACAAACAAATGAAATGAAAAATAAAATAAAAATCAAGTGTAGAATGTAATAAAATGTCATTTTTTGGTGGGTCTCTAAGACCAACCATGGCCTATCAGGGGCCAAAACCAGAAAATTTGGAGTCTGTGGTTTCCCAGGTGTGGAAAGCCTGGGGATTAAAAATCTACACATAAGTTCTGCCTCTGATAGAGATGGAGCTGCAAAAACATGCCCAGGTTCAGACACTGAGCAGGCAACATTGGAAACCAAAGCTGAGCCAGCCACTAAGGAGCCAGAAGGATCACCCTTCCCTAGTAGGACTCCAACCTGGCCAGAACTCAGAGCAACAGCCAGACTGGGGAAAAAGATCTATAAGAACCCCCATCTCTACCAGTTCACCCAAAAAGCATTCACCATATGAACCTCACGATCCATGAATGGAGCCAGGTACAAAGGAAGGTGCCAATTCCCCGCCAATGAAAAGAGGTCCACCTCCAGGTGCCATACATCTCGCGAAGCCAAAAGAAGGCGGTAGCAATGATGGTCCATTCCATGGAAACTGGACAGAACTTGGACAGACAGTCTGCAAGAGCACTGGCCACTCCTTGGATGTGAACAGCACAGGAGCCAAACACCAAGAACCCATCAGAAAGCTACTTGAAGCATCTAGTTCCAAAGAGACATGGACCAAAGAGATCCTAATCCCCCCCCCCCCCACCACCTCAGTTGAAACAAAGAATTATAGGGAAACAGTCAGAATGGAGCTGGAGCATGGAGCCTGGAGAAATCCAAATCCTCTGCAGTGCATGCCACACAGTCGCAAAGCACTAACCCAGACCTGAATAGTCTACGAAGATGTCGAGCGAGGGTGGAGGAAGATGCCATGAAACCAAACCGCGAAAAGGCCAAATATAAACCTAGCGATGCAGCAGCCAGAGAAGGGCCAACAGGGCCCACATCCTACGATAGTCGTGGCGGCGAAAGGGGCTGCCCCAGATGTACCAGAAGAGATGCCAAAGCCATACCTTGCCCATCTGATAAACTATGCAGGCAAAGTTCAGGCTCCTGCACAACAACTTGAGCAGCTGTTGAGTCATCAGGGGTCAACTCGACACCAACAGACAGCGGGTGATCAACAAGTGGAATGCATTGAAGGAAGAGGTTGTTGTAGCCAATGTCATCCACTACGTTAAGAAAAAATGTGATGAAAACGTTTTGTTGAGAGATAATTAGTGTGCCAGGTTAAATTGCTTAGGAGGTGAGGCATAGAGAGCTAGATCTCACTCCCCCCCATAGTCACTGATAGGTAAGTCAGTGTGGTGCAGGGGGAAAGGGGGGGCTGAGTCAATCAGGGGAGCCCCTGCACCACCCATCTCTTCACATTCTTGCCTGGAATCTTGCCAATGGCAGTCTTGAGACTATTTGTTTTACTTAGTGACTGAATTTGTTGTTGTTTTGTTTTAGTGTTGTGTTTCATACTTTCTTCTGCTCTTAACAAGCATCCTTGTCATTATCCTATTTACCTTACTTTGAATATTTGTATATTTTTTTGGTAAAGGATCCCTACTAATTATAGTTCTCTAGTCTTTTTTACATTCAGATTTGCCAATTTCAACATTGTCCAGCTAATATTTGGTAACTAATAACACATTAGTTACCAAAATTATTAACTAATAGCACAGTAGTCTACATCCTCAGCTCTCAATCAAGGGTCCTGGGTTTAATCCATGGGCAGAACAGAAATGGTTGGGCATATTTCCTTTCACATGATGGCTATGTTTATCAGGGAGTTAAAAGGTATCCAGGAGTTAGGAAATTGTTGTGGGTTGAATCCTGGGTATACAAGGCAGGAAATATGGCAAAGGAAGTTTTTGCACTGGAATTGGCACTTTCGAAGTACTGTATTGTCCTCGCCAGTTAAAATTGGCGAGATCCTCTTAACCATGCAATGGTTCCAAGGATCAATGTTTCTGTGGTCTAGTCTCTGCCCATACCTTCTGGTTGGTGAACTGGTCAACCAGACTGTTGGCCATAGCTGCTCGAGGCCTGATGTATGAATTACAAGGCATGAGGTACCTAATACCATGCAGCTATGCCATCAGCCTTAACAGAATGCTAAATATCTTGTCAGACGTGGTAATATGCTGTTGCCATCAATGTTGTATACAGTATTGTGTTTGTATGTTACTCTTTTTGATGCCACATGAGGAAGAAATCCTTGAGTGTGACCCCCTGGGCCCCTGCCATAATAATAGCAAAGCCATCACAGTAACAGCCTTGGAATCATTACAGGGGTTATCAAGGTCCTGCTTGCTTATAGCACAGTGTGCTAGCTCCTAGCTAGTACCATGAGTTAGATTCACCACTGTTTTCCTTCCCTAATTTCCTTGACAAGATCATCTGTATAAGGCCTGTCACAGTGAGGAATAAGGTCAATGAGAGCCTGGCATAACATATGACTCTGAGGTGAACCCAAATGGCCTTGAGTCAGGGAACATCTGAGGAGCCTTAGCTAAAAAAATAATAAAAAGGTAAATAAATATTTCCACATTAATCTTCAATTCTGAATATTCAAATTAGCTCACCATTATCATCCGGAGGCGCTCCATGATATCGGAGATGTAATCTCTTGCCCACTACCTCTGTCACAGTAGCTACTCTCATTTGTGCAATTCTGTTCTTGTCCACAACTTCAACATTTAAACCAGGTCTGCAAAATAATAACCTTGTGACAAAAATATAAAAGATTAAAAATAAAAGTATACTGTATGCATATAGAAACAGTATGAAATACTGTTAGTACAGCTCCACTCTTGTAACCAAAAATAAATCATCGATACTACCCTATTACATATACATCACTATATTCATGGCGTGGGGAAAATAACTATCTCCCTCAGCCCAATCTCCTTCCCCTTTATTGTGGACAATAAGGGTTTGTTTGCATCTCAAGGCAGTTGGCAATTGGGCTATAATCCTAATGCTAATCAAATAGCAAACAAACATATAATCACACACACACGCTGACTTGTGTCACACATTAATTCACAATGTTAGGCTCCTGTGATTAGCCGACTACAGTAATACAAAAGTAATGCATCTTTAATATTTATTGATAAAAGCATTTGCTGTAAGCAACATTCAAAGAAATGCAGAATTACACTTACCGAAACCGTGACTTTTGACTTTCAACTACACGAGACATGAAATTTGTTGGCAGGGTACGGGCACCAGTCAATCGTCGCATGAGGAATTCTTTCCAGTCTCGATATTTATGCTGGATGGTGCGTGGTGGTATCAGAGGGCGACCCTGTGTTGCACACCAGCCAACAGGATGGACTTCTTCAGAACAAAGATCAACCCAAATATCTTTAGAACTGTCCTCCACGAATCCTTCAAACCGTAGTTTAGCTTTGTATCCTTAAAAGAATAGAAAACACAGATATAACGTTTGGAGGGCTTTTTTGTATTATATATGATGAGAGGCTAGTTTGCTCTGCTCTACTAAAAACTATGGATGAATATCTTGGATTATAAATGAAAACACAGTCATTTAAATCACACACACACACACAAAAAGTGTTGAATGTAATGAAATGCCACTTTCTGGATAAGCCCCAGAAGTTCCCCTGAAGCTATCTCACTGAAATTGCTTCCAATTACTGGTCACAAAAGTTGCAGTTCTATTTGGCCTACTGGGGACCATAGCCAGACTTTTGCCACCCCATCACAAAGATGCAGAGAGCGTCTGACATTCCACCATCCAACTAGGGAAGTATCCAGAAAGTCAATGAAGCACTACAGACCACTGCTTGGTTCAAAAGAACCAGTCTCAAAAACTGCCAAATGAACTCCCACAAACAATGTAAACAAGCAATTAAATCTCTCAAAACTAGGTCGAGCTCGTTAGCACCAATCCAGCATCAACTGCTAATCCTGATAAGGAGGGACAGAGGGAGTCAGGAAGCCATCAGGGCTCATCCAGCAGCCCATCCTCTTAAGGTTTCCACATGTCAAGAAAACTGTCAGTTTAAAGTGTCCTCTCCTAACCTACCAGAGGACCCAAAACAGAAAAAGGGAGAGTACGTCACTTTTGCGAGCCACAACCATTTTCTAGTACAGCAGGGGAGCCTCTTATGGTTCCCAGACACTAACTAACCATAGAAAAAAAAACCCTAGGGATTTACCTGGGAGGAGGAGTGATAGCAGGTAAATGGCACAGCTGAGACATAGACACAAGTAACACAAGCATGATGAGGTACAGGGGACACTGACCAAAGACTTTGACTGCTAAGACTTTGTTAGACCTCCAAAACCCGCATGCTCGAATGTCAGCCCAAGACATGTTAGCAGAGACAGCTAACAAATATAGAAATATGCACAGCATATTTCTGATCATGGGAATGAGGGTAGACTGCAGGCTGGCTAAACTAAATAACAATAAAAATGACCTAAGAACTATAAATCTTGGAACAGGGAGATTAATTAAAAGGGATCAACCCACAAAAATACACTTAGGCAGAATCACTGACACGAATGTAGTGGTACATTGGTTACGACAAATGATGTACCCCTGGCTGAAGCATCCAGGCATCATTAACTAAGGGACCTCTCTGGAAGTCCACCGACTTCCAGAGAGGTCACTAAAGTCCAGCGACTTATTCTATGCCAGAAAAGAAAAAGGTTGCAGATGAACAAAATGCCCACCAGGCCCAAAAGAACAGAAGCCCTGCATCCGGAGAAGAGCATGAAGTGCTCCAACACGGCACATGGGAGGTGTGAGTGAGCAAGAACACTGCCCTGAAGAAGGAATCCTGAACTGAAAGGGAAACCATAAACCAGGACGAGGATGAAAAATAAAGGACCAGCATGGCTAAGGAGGTAAATAAGCAGACCTGATGTGAAACAAAGCCCGAAACGCTTTGCGTAATAGTGGCTTTAGGCATTGTATGTACTAGCTCTACCTATAAGTCAACCAATCTTTGTAAAAATTTCTTGTATGTATGTACCTTACCTAAATAAACATTTTATTTTATTTATTTATTTTAAAGCACGAGACAACTGCCAGAACAGTAACCAAAACAGAAAGGATAGCACAACCCACAACCCAGACTTACAGAACAAAGATGATAAGAGGAACAGAAAGAGGCAAAATAAATGCCAAGCAACTTCATACTGCCACCTTGTGGACAACCACAAGAAGGACACCATTATAACAGCCACCTGCCTGGAGAAGGGAGTCCTAAGCGCATGCAGCCGTTGGTACAAACTCCTGGCCACTGCCAACACGCCGATGGAACACCAGCAGGGTGAAGCCAATCAGGTAACCGAGGCCATAGCCGGCTTCCACCCAGTATAGCTTCAACTGACAAACCGACGGTGGGTAGGGACCCCTCTCCTCCTCCTCTGGCAGTGGCGGCCAGGGGGGGGGGGGCATGTTTGGTCGTTGCAAACGAGCGGCGTGATGACGTGTAGCTTGTTAGCTTATTTTTCTTTGGGGAGTTTCTAGTCTGTTTCATCTTAGATTGCAATATTTCTACCATGGGGGTTCTGTTGAAGCGCCTATCTTTCTGGTGCTCAACCCTTGTCGATGGCAGACATGAATACTTTTATACATAAGAGTTTTATAGGCCATTGCTCCATTTGCCTCTCTGAGACAAAGGCTATATTCTGGCTAGTGGTCTCTGGAAGGCATGACTACTCCATAAGACTGAGGCCCAGTATTAATATTCGCTAATATCAGTCCAATAGCTCCAGGGAGCTGATGGGGCTCCCCCCACAGAAAGTATTATCTAAACAGGAGGATGGATTGGTTACCTGCACCTCAACGAGGATGCCAGGTTCTGGCTTTGGTCCCCAGTAGGTTGAACTGATCTCCATGGCTGATGCAATTCATAAGTTAGGGGCCATCTCAGTGAGAGAGCTTCAGGGAGTCACAAGGGAATATTAGGCTGTCAGCTAGCCAGTAAGAATCTAGGGCCTCATAATGCAGCCAATATGGTGAAGCAGACCTAAACTAAATAAAGAAAGGTCCATAAAAAGAGGCAAACCTAGATTCCGTAGGAGGTACTGAAAGAGATCAGCCCTAGCCACCAAAGGAGGGACCCAAGAAAATGGAAAGCTCCAGAAAGACGAAGCCGAAGGATCGTATGACACTTGGAAATGTACCTTGGGGGGTAGTCACATTAAAATCCAAATCATACAAGGAAGGGGGTACAAAAACCATGCCCCTGAAGTAACAAACTTTTGTCCGTCTCAGAAGGACAAAAAAGGGCCAAGAGGGGTTGAAAGGAACCCAAGGACCCTTTCGAGCTTCTCTCCCACCCTGGCAGCCTGTCGAGACTACCCTGAGGCAGAACCGAGATACTCACCCAATGCCTGGAAAAGAAAGGCAGACTTTAAAGAAGATTGCCAGAGTAAGAAGGCGGTTGGAAATTATGCTCTGATACCCTGGTGGGGCAATATAGTTCAAATGCCTATGCACCTGAGTAGGAAGAGGCCACCCCCACGGAAGGCCATGTCACACCCTGAGCCCTGCCCTGACTGTGAAACCCTCAGACATTTCGGGGAGGAACAGATGCCGGGCAGACCGTACCCAAAGGAGAAGGAAGATTAGGCACAGGCAGAACCATGGTGGAATTTACCAACACTTCTAGTTCTGGGTTCGTAAACACTAAGCGAGCACACTCCAGAGGTATCAAGTGGACAGTGAGCTGTGAATGATGGCAGACAAAGTAAACCTGCAAAACAGCAGCTGCCTGAAAAGCTTTCCCTTCAGAAGCATGGATGGAAAAAAAAGTCACATGTGGAAGGACAAAAGTCACAGGACTTAGGATTGTAGGTGTCACCGAGCTGACAGGCAGCATGGCGAAAGCAGAAAGAATGATCGTGGCACAGTCGATGAGTACCTCTCAAACTCACAATTACTGTACTGGATAATCAGTTTAGCATGAAAAGCCATCTGGAATCATGCCAAAAACACTGCAGGGGATTACTAGGGCCTAAGGAAGTACAAAACATGACACGCAGACACTGAGGATGTTCACTGAAAATACAGTCAGCCTTTGCAGCCAAACCAACAGGAATGTGAAGGCTGACCACAGCATGCCATATAAAACAATTGAGCAAACCGCAGTGCAGCCCGCACCAACCAAAACATGCACCCCCCAACTAAGGATCTGTTGGTGGGGGCCAAAAAGACCCTTGAACCACAAAAAGACCCTTGAACCACCCAAGGTAAGGTACTCCACCACAGTGAGGTAGCCTTGAAAGAACTCCAGAACACACCAGAAAAGCAGCTGTCAGTGCAGGGGGGCGGTGCCAGGGAGCACCCAGGGAAGTCAACCTGAACGCATGCAGCTCCAGGCACAACACAAATCAAGTCAATGCAACTTAGTGCATGTCTCAAATATTTTCCTACATAAATATTTGACTCACCAGAAATAGCGACCACGGTAGCAACCCAAAATGCATCTTTTGTAACACCCTCTTCTCCACACGCCACCTCCACTTTCATTCCAGCACTCATTTGCTCCCAGCACTCAGACATGGGTGCCTGTAGGGAATAAAATGTGATTAAAATGATATATATTTTGTTCTTATTTAATAAAATTCTACAATTAGTTGCTGTTTGCACTCTTATACCTAAATGACTTTAAATAATATATCTTAATATAAATTTTTAAAATTGTATAATTTTATTTCTGTGGCTGCAGTCAAATGGGGAAAAACAAAATCGCTGAATATAATGAAACACCGTATTGTAGGTGACCTGAGTAGCTTTCCAGTTATTTACTGTAGTGTATTGTGCTTCCCATTATTTGTCATCAATAACAATAGGTTAAATATTTACTTATTCTTAACATTTATACTGATCCAATCCCTTTATGTGAGTAATCCCTATGGGTTTTCAATACTTTGTTTTTTTCCACCCAGATGTAGGATATTTAAATAGTTTAACAGTTTAAGAGTTAAAAATGATTCCATGTAGCCTTCCACTCTGTGCATATTATTCACTCATCCATGTTTCCCTATCTTCTTGGTCTTTCTGTTCTTCTCCTTACTTCAAAAACACTTTTTCACTTTTTCATTGTTCATCCATAGCCACACCATACAAATACACTTTCCTAAATTTTATGATTTCCTCTTTTGCACACCACATTTTCCTTTACTTTTTAATTCCTTACTATATCATAACACCCCAAAATCATCTCAGAATCTACATTTATACTTCTCTATCATTTTGCTCGCATGGCTATTTCCTAATGGTGTAATTTAATGTGTGTAATGAAGTAAGGGTGAAGAGGTAGAACAGCCTATTGACATAGCTCGAGTGCATGGGGGAGATGTGTAAAACTCTGGTTTGTCTCGGAGAGGCTGCAGGATCCAAGTAAGTTAGGAACAACTTCTGGTTTCAACTCTTTTAACCATGTCATAGCTCAGTCAATTAAGGCAGCGTCTAGGATGATCTCGGACGTAGGTTCGAATCCTCGTCACGGCCCTTGTGGATTTGTTCATTGATGCATCACGCTATTGTGATTTCTGTGTGTAGTCTGCATAATCTTGGATTTCATTTTCTTACTCACACATAGGGTCAGGAGCTGCAAGTCTTTCAGAAAGTCTTTAAGCCACATCATTTCCTATCTTACTCTTCATAACCAAGCTTTTGATGTGCAAGTTATTTTCCTTACATGGCTTACTGTTTACAGTCCAGACATTTCGCTCCATCCTGGGAACTTGCCATCAGAAGGAAGCCTGCCATGGCAACTCCACAAAAAACTCTAGTTTCTTCACCAGTTAACAATCTCCCACAATTATTTTTAATATTCCCAGTTACAGTTTCTATGTGGTCAAATTTTTAAAATATGAAGCTTATAGTTAGCGACATTATAGAAATAAAAATTTGTAACGGGGTAGCGAGTATGAACTGAGTGTTATAGGGCTCAACTAAAATGAACCATATAATAATCATGCATATACAGTAATATTAAGGTATGTAAACAGATGGCAGTGTGAGTCCCAAAATTGGAACGGTACCAAATGAGGCAAGGCTTCTTTTTTTCTTAAATATAGGTACTGTACTATACTTGTAGCTACCAATATTATGCCTACTATTTTGGAAAGGACTTATAGAAAAGGTCTTATAAGTTCATAAAGGAGATGAAACATTAAATGAGATGCCTTGATAAGATGATCTGGATGTCCCCCTATCAAGGTCACCATAGACAAAATTCTAATGAAATGTAAGTATTCAAATTAACAATGTTTTGATGGTGAAGGAAATACCCTACAGTATGACAGCGAATTTCAGTTCATTTCTGACCCTATACATTTCTTCCAACCCCACTAAAAAAAAAAAAAATCTATCATTCCAAACCAAATGAAGGCTCTCAAAAAGTTGCATAAAGAATACTATGTGCCTTAAATCAAACTCAGTAACTTACATGTCTGAAACAGCTTACAGGCACTGCTTTAAAATTGGAGTCATCAAGGTATGAAACAGACCAAGAAAATGTTCCGTCCAGATCAATTGTGGACTCAGGTGGGGGAAGATAGGTGGGTGAGACAAGTGGCTCTGAAGGCATGAGAGATGGCTGAGGTTGTACCACTTGGCTGGGCTTAGATGGGGTTGCTGCTGTGGGAGACGGTGGGGATTCTCCACAAGGTACACTTGCTGGTTGACCAATAACCTGAAAGATAAATCTCACAATTCACTCACTTTATTTGAGCAATTTAGCTTTACAGTGCTTATTTTCAAAATACAATGCTAATCTTTTAAACAAATTCAAAATTCCATGCAACTTGCTTTAATGAACAATACTATTATGCAATCAAAATCTTTACCTAAAGCTAGGAATGTGTTTCCCAATACAAAGGAAAATTAAAAAAACAGCATTGAATGTAATGAAATACCATTTTCTGGGTGAGCCCCGGAGGCTCCCTGGAGCTATCGGGCTAATATGCGATACATTAGACAAGGGCATTAGTCAATGGAGTTCAGCCTACCTGAGACCAGGAGTCAGAACCTGGGCCCCCTCAGAGAGGCACAGGCAGCAATGGCCCCTGAAAAATCCCTGTGGTTGGGGGTTTTCCTCATCTGCCACTGACTGGAGTTAGGCACCCAGAAAGGTAGGCATAACAAAACAGACCCCCACATGGTAAGAAAATTGCAACCAAAAACTGAACAGAGGCAGAACCTCCCTCAAACCCCAAGGAAACAAGCAAACGTCACACCTCGCTGCTGCGCCGCTTGTCCGCACAGCCCTCCCCCTACTGAGGAGGGGAATGGGAGGGGGAGGGCCTCCAGTTTGGAGGCTAAGCATCAAAACAACAAAAAAAACGCCGACCGGAGGGGGAGGGTGCCAGAGAGCCTCTGGGGCTCGCAAAGAAAATGGTGTTTCATTACATTCAATGCTGGTTTTCCATGGGGAGCCCCTCCAGCTCCCTGAAATTACATAACCAAAGACTCAAGGATCCCTCCAGAAAGTGGACATCTCGTTCTTCGCCAAAAAAGAAGGCAGCAACTGAACAAACCACCTACCAGGACCGAAAGAACAGGAATCTGAGCCGGAGGAGAGCATGAAGCTCATCAGCCCATCCCCCAGAGGCCAATGCTAACAGAAAGAGTGCCTTGGAAAAACAATCCTGAATCGATGGGGCCACCACCAACTGAGGAGAAGAGAGAAAGAGAGAGTCCCCGGTCCAAGGACCAGGACAGCTCAGGCGGTGCATGAGCAGGCCGAAGGTGAAACAAAGCACGAGAAAGCTTGTGAAACAGGGCCGAAGCCTGAATGCAAGCTGGAGCGGCTCCGCCAGCCCCACACGATAAGAGGTGACAGTATTGGACATCAAATTATGGTCCTGAAAAAGACTAAGAAATAAAGGACAAAACCCAATCGGAAATAGAAGACAACCTACAAAGAGAGAGAAAATGATGAAAAGAACGCCAAGAGACTTCATACTGTCGCTGAGAGGAAGACTCAGCAAAAGAGAGCAAAATCAAGGTCGAAGCGACTCACACACCCAATTCTGGGTCCCTAAACCCAAAACGGGGCAGCTCTGGGGCATCTGACTAGGCCACTAACTGGGCGAATTGCTGTAACGGGGGGTGAGGGAAATAACTCTATCTTGTCCATTATTCCACCCCCCAGTTAACTAACGAGGCCGGGGGAAACAGCTCTCTCTAGTCCGTTATCCCGTCCCCAGTTAGCTAACTATTCTAGAGCACCCTCCAGAGTTCCTAAGGCAACCTCTCTCGTTCAACACCTTGTAAACCTAGGTATTTGACTACCTAGGTGCTAAAACTACAAGGCGCCGTCACTTGATCAGTTACCCGAAACTCTAGAGAGAACTCTAGAATACAGAATCATTGCCACAAACGTATAAGTGAAAACGAAAGGAAAGAAATGAATAGTGAAGTAATTAGTGAGGGTTTGGGGTGAGAGGGAGAGAGGTGGGAGGAGCGAGGATGGTCATTAGTTGAAAGTGAGAGTTTAGAGAGGGGTGGAGGGAGAGGTGTAGATAGGTAGAAGTAGAAGAGTAGATAGTAGAAGTAGAAAGTAGATAGTAGAAGACGAAATGCTGCCACCATCCATTCATGATCATTACATACGAGACAAGGAATGGAACTTGCCTGTATCACAAAATTCTCAAAAGATGTTATCATGAGTTCATTATTAGTAGTTCCCATCTTTATCATGTACTCATTCTAAACCATGAAACCAGTAACTACAGAGGCTTTCTCACCTCAACTCAAAATCTTTAGGGAACAAAGTTAAACACAATTTAAATAATAAATTCATAATTATATTTCACATGAAGTATCATAATTTAGCAATTCAATTAAAATGTTCCAGTTTAATATGCAAAGTGAGTCATCATCCAAGAATCTGAGAACCCTACAACTTGACTGCCCCTGATCATCACACAACATATGTAAACACGACCAAGTCACCTTAATGTTCACTCACCGAGTACTGAGTCTAAGTTGAATAGAGAGGGGGGGGGGGTCTGTAGCTTGACAGAGACTGTCTCGCCCCTGCCGGCCGACAGCCTCCCTGGTAGGGAGCAGGTCTCTGCTCTCGTCTGCTGTTCTGTCTCTTAATCCTTTTTGCTGGATAGCTCTCCGAGTTTATATTGGGGAACCTAGTAGCTAACTCCGCCCACAAGTAGATAGCCTCCGGCACTACCAAGCCACTCCTTAAACGTCGGCTTGTTTGAAGGCTACCAGCCTACAATTAAGAGCTTAGCGGAAGCAAGGTGAAATTCTCATGATCTGACCTCAGGTCACTTGAGGTCATTAACGCTTTGAGGTGTGAGATCTCAGGCAGACAACTGGCGCCTTTCCAAATCCCTGTCTGTGACTCATATTCTATATATATTTTAAATAAACTAACCCAAACACTTTTACAGTGTTACATCTCCCCTTCTCCCCGAAATAAAGTTTTTGCAACACTGCTAAAGCAAGCTAGCTGTGTGCAACAACTTTATTAACGAAAAAAAAAATACATCCTAGCTAAACAAATATACAACATCCTACTCTAAAAAATGAAATATATAGACAGACGTCCATTGTCTCTGGCTGGGCGACGTCACTGCTTGGTCTTGTAGATAATCCTGTACCACATTTCTTCAACACAACTGCCTCCGTCGCTTCTCCGTCGTTAACGCACAACAACACTTGGTCAACCCGAAAGCCGTTACTACTTGAACTGAGCACAGGACCGTGGAATTCGGTTGTCCCAGCTGATCTGTAATTGGCCCTACGTCAGTCACCATGAGAGACGTATATTGGGGTTCTTCACAGCTATAGGGACTACAAGTTTCGAGACCTTCATATAGTTGCCAACAGTAGAAATCCCATCCTACTCTTCTTCCTCCCTGTTGCTCCAGCACGCCTCCTTCAGAGAGCTACTTCTGACAGCCACATCAAGTCCGCATGACACAGGAAGAATCACTCAACAGAGCAACATGCTTGTAGGAGGGGCGGCCAGTCAAGGCAACGATCCTGTCTTGCAATTACGCTCCATGCAATAATGCTGACACCAGCAAGGGACACTAGGTATCGTGTCTCAGCTTGGCTTATCTTCTTCTTTCTTCTCTCTTCTCTTCTTCTCTCTTCTTTCTTCTCTCTTCTTCTTCTTCTTTCTTCTCTCTTCCTCCTCCCATGGGTCTTTGACAAGCGACCTGGGGTCCATTGGGGGTCTGTCCGTCCTGGGGTCCATCCTGGGTAGACCGATGTTGGTGGGACAGACTGGAGTCGTTGTTGCTCCTCTTCCATCATTACTGGGTCGTCTGGGGCCGTCTGCAGAACGACCTGGGGTCCACTGGGGGTCCGTCCGTCTTGGGGTCCACTGGGGTCCGTCCGTCTTGGGGTCCACTGGGTAGACCAATGTTGACCGACCGAGAGGGCTGCATCTTGGGGTCCCCTGGGGTGGTGGTGGTGGTGGTGGCCCTGACATCCAGGTAGGGGCTGGTCGTCGTGGTGGTGAGGAACAGCCGTGAGTGTGGTATAAGGCAGCCGTCTCCCTCTTCTGTATGTGCGTCTCTCCTCTCTTCTGGCTCCCACCTGTGAAATGAACAGAAAGGCGACAATACGTGTTCCCAAGATGTTTGTGTGACCCTGTCGTTTGTATAGGGTTACACAGTCCTATCATACCGCTCTCCTCCTGGCAACAACTACACTTCAATTTTTAATAATTCAATTAACTCTGAATGATATTGACTTGGTGGAACATAAAACAGTAACAGAGTAAAGTTAGAGAAGAGAGAATAAGGTCATCACTACTTTTAACTTGTCACAAAAAAAAATCAACACTAATAGACAAAACACTAGCCTAAACTTAACTGTACCGTTCCTAATCTTAAGTACATAATTAACCATTACTCCCACCCTTAACCTACAGCCACCTACGTGACCCAGAGTGTCTCCCTAGCTTCTCCGCCGGTCAACAACCCCAAACTGTTGCCACCCCTGTGACCAGACTATCTAACGTCGAGCGTCCCCAACGTGAAGTCTACTGACATACTAAGGCTCCCCCTAGCATGCTGTACAAGACCAGTACACCTCGGGTTATTGCGTTCAAATGGAGTAAAACAGTCGATCGCAATAATCTGAGCAGAACCACTACTTAAACTATTTAAAAACTACACCTGCCACTCCCCACTGACCTGGAGACCAGCGGTGGCTGGGTGTCCCCGTGGGACATGCGAGGTCACCTGTCACACTCAGCTGACCTGCACTACCAACACCGCTAAGTTCCCAAATCGCCAAATCTTATTACTAACATAAATCACTACACACGCAAGTTCTGGTGAACATTCCCTGAACACCACAAAACTCACAAAATCACTAAACACAACACCAGAGAATCACTATCTCCTAACCTGAAAAAAGTTCGCTAACTCGCGAATATTAAACACCTGTCAAGATCTCCCTGATAGCGCCTGAGCGGCAAAAAGACACGTGGGACTGAACAATGTTAAAAGAACACCAATACCTTAAACATTGTTCAACACCGCTGCCATCATTGTAACGGGGGGTGAGGGAAATAACTCTATCTTGTCCATTATTCCACCCCCCAGTTAACTAACGAGGCCGGGGGAAACAGCTCTCTCTAGTCCGTTATCCCGTCCCCAGTTAGCTAACTATTCTAGAGCACCTCCAGAGTTCCTAAGGCAACCTCTCTCGTTCAACACCTTGTAAACCTAGGTATTTGACTACCTAGGTGCTAAAACTACAAGGCGCCGTCACTTGATCAGTTACCCGAAACTCTAGAGAGAACTCTAGAATACAGAATCATTGCCACAAACGTATAAGTGAAAACGAAAGGAAAGAAATGAATAGTGAAGTAATTAGTGAGGGTTTGGGGTGAGAGGGAGAGAGGTGGGAGGAGCGAGGATGGTCATTAGTTGAAAGTGAGAGTTTAGAGAGGGGTGGAGGGAGAGGTGTAGATAGGTAGAAGTAGAAGAGTAGATAGTAGAAGTAGAAAGTAGATAGTAGAAGACGAAATGCTGCCACCATCCATTCATGATCATTACATACGAGACAAGGAATGGAACTTGCCTGTATCACAAATTCTCAAAAGATGTTATCATGAGTTCATTATTAGTAGTTCCCATCTTTATCATGTACTCATTCTAAACCATGAAACCAGTAACTACAGAGGCTTTCTCACCTCAACTCAAAATCTCAAGAAAAACCAAGAAAAACCTATCCTGCAATGCAGCCGCTGCCTAGCCCCTAAGGTCTTCAGAAGAAGAATGGCTAAGGTGGCGAACGAGAGGGGAACAGGTCCCACATGACTCCGGGTCGTACGTGTCACTAGCCCAACAAGCAGGATGACAGAGGCAAAACATATGATCGTCATCCCGAGACAAGAGGCAACGAACAATCCTCAAACTCGCACAAAGCGAGAGGGGACTTGGAAGAAATATCCAAAGCTGCTTCAAACCCCACGGGATTTACCAGGACCCACAGGAGGAGGAATCCCGACGGGAAGCCCAGGCACTGGTGTAACAGAAGCCGGTTATACCCCATCTAATACTGTGCAAACTGACCCCAGGAAGCAGTGTTTGCAGCCTCGAGGGGCCCAAAGGAAGATCAGCAAGCACAACCTAGGTGAACCTAATCGGAAGCTAGGCAGACCTCCACCTGGAAAGAAAAAGAAAACTTGAAACTTTTGAAAATACACCACAAACAGAGACCAGAGAGAGAGAGAGGCACGGCTCCTGCGATTATGGAAGCTATGCTAACACCGGGGGCCCCAACCAGCAACAAAAATACTCCCTACCCAGACAAACTGAGAGCCCCAGATGAAGAGCCCCACGACCCCTACTGAACCCCAATGATGAGGTGAATGACAAGCGACACCAACCTCAACAGGAGTGAAACCCTGAACGTCTTAGGGAAGAAAACCCTGAACATGCAAGGGCAGTACCTATCAGGCGCCTAGGGTAGGTAGCCCTAGACACGTGCAGCCTGAATACTCTATAACACCTGGCCACTGCACCAAACCACACAGGGCAAAATCTAGGCAGGAGAATGAGGCAAGAAGTAACGTCTGCTCTGTACGACATCAGTCAACGAACTGCCGGTGTCAGCACTTGGGCCGGCTGGGAGGATGGGGGGGGATGATCGCTAACAAGCTGGCGCACTAGTTCTTCCCCCCTAATTCCTCTTCGGGGGATTGGGGGGGAAGGAGTTCTTGGGCTCTGTTCTTTCATGGATTGCAATGTGTTACCAGTAGGGGTTTGTAATGGTTCGCCTACCTTTCTGGGCGATACCCCCGGTCAATGGCAGACATGACCATATTCTCAAAAAGTGGAGTGTTCATAAGCCATTGCTCCCTGCACTTCTCTGCGGGAACCAGGTTCTGGCTTGTGGTTTCCGGTAAGCAAGAACCCAAAGTAACTGATGCTTCTAGACTAATATAATGAATATCAGTCGGTTAGCTTCAGGGAACTGACAGGGCTCCCCTCAGAAAACGAGATAATTCAACTGTGAATTATTGCTTCAAGTGTATGTATGGACATCCAACCACAAAGCCATTACACACCCATCATTTAATTCAAAATCACTGAATTATAACTCACCTTTTGCACAGGAATGGACTTTTTCTCTGGGTCTTCGACTGGCTCCTTCTCTGCAGCATGATTTTCTAACATGTGAATGGAAGGTGGAAGGGGACCTCGGGCACACGCTAAACTACAAAATTTTCGTTCTTTTCCATAAAAAGCATGTTTGACCCCAATGGCACCACATTTTTCACAAACAGCTGTTTTGGAAAAAAACATTTCATTAGACTAACTCAAATAATTAATCTTGGATCGTAATACTGTAATGAGACAATAGGCAATAAATAAATCCAATCCAATAATAAACAAATAAATCTATAAATTCAATGCTGTATAAAGAAGTACAAATTAGAAAATAAAAATAGTACAGTATTAATATATCAAGTGTTTAACGTAAAAGAAAAAAAATTACGACAACTGAAACAGTTGGTAGACACCGGAGAAAGGGGTAGATGTGGAAAGCCCGCCCAGCCGTCTCATACTGCCACCATAAACGCACAAATGTGACAGCAATAGGTCCACCACTCAGTCATGATATACAAGGCTTAAAAAACTCCATATGAAAAGATCAGCAGAGAGCCCCGAGCTATACAGGTCAAGCCACTGATCCAGTGGGAAAAGAGAAGACTCAGGAAGGGAAGAGGATGGAGACAACAGGCCAAAAAAGCCAGAAACCAGGTTTGAACTGGTCAACTAAGAGCCAGGAGGAGGAGTTGGAGGAGGCCAGTTGACATCTTCAACTTTGCCAACAGAACAAATAGTTGGAATGGAGGGAATAGGTAAAGATAAGACCTCCTTCCCTTATTTAAACAAGAGGTATCAAAAAGGCAAAGCTTCACAATCTAGCAACAACAGTACATAGACTAACAGCCATCAATTTCACGTAGGTGAACAGGTCATCTTATGATAGCTGATATCATCTTATGATATCTTGGTAAAGCAAGAATGACTTGTCCAATGACTACTACTTCGAGATTGGACAAAAATAAGACAATCTACAAGGCTTCCAAAATGTCCCCAAGTGAAGACTGAGCCTGACAAGAGAGAGGGAAGCCAAAGCTCTGTTAAAATTCCCACTACATGCAAAGAGTTCAATGTCCCTGATTAGCATGGTGAGAGCTGGTGACGAGCTCCCAACTGAGATCTGACTTGATCTCAGCTCAGTTGATCTGTGAACAGCTTGAGCAACAGAAAAGAAATGTGCCTACCACAAAATTGAATCTCAAAATAACCCAGAGAGGAAAATGATGAATTAAGATCCTCTGTGGGCAAGGCAGGGCAAGCACTACACAGTCTCAATTATGGAAAAATAGGATACCCACCAGAGAACATGATACAGTGCCTTCAGCCAGATACAGCCCAAATGGTAAACCAAGCAGGTGAAGCTTGGCCTGGCCAAAAGGCACTTGAGGTTGTAAATGAAAAAATAAAATTTCCCCAATACGTCAGCAACGGAAGCACAACTGAAACGGCTGACCTCAGCAAAGAAAATGAGACAGCTCTGGCATTCCAAACAAGGTCCAGTCAAGTTAAATTCCAGAAAACATCAACTGGACTTTCTGCCAACTGACCAGAAAGCTGAGATGGGACAACTGGGAAAGAACCAAATCTCTAGTCATTAGACAATATGAATGACTGGAAGCCCAAAACTAACAAGCCACCCAGGAAGGCCAGAACTCAGAACCACTGCAGATGAGGGTGTCAAAGGACTGCTGGAGTCAACAAGTTCAGCCCAAATGTCAGAGCTTGAAGGTCGTAAAAGAGGTGCCCTACTCAGAACCCCAACCAATCCCTGAACTCAAGAGTGGATGCAAATGTGCCTTGAAGCACCGTAAAGGTCCAGAGCAACATACAAAGATCCAATCGAAACCAACTGGCAAATCTGGGATGTGAGATAAAAAATGTACAGATTGATAACAGACAGATCCAAAATGAAGGAAGGTTCCAAAGTCTCTCACTCAGAAACAGGCGAAAAAATGGACACCTACCATAAGGACAGGGTCACCATGAGTAATTACCATGAGCACACTCTTGACCAACAAACTGATTATGATGCCACTGATTAGAGGAGTAGATGAACCAAGCAGGTACCTGAGACACCTAAGGGAAAAACCCAACCAAATGAAAATCTTGAGACACCATTTGATCCTGGGATGCCCAGACATCTCAGAACCAAGTGCGCTGAAAGTTGCTCAGATGTTCCCCACCACACTGTCACATTGGTGTACTACAAAAGGGCCAGCAGTAGGAACTTCGCCAACTGCTGGACTAGGGCGAGTGCTGAAAACACTCATTGGCTGTCGAGGTATAAAAAAAAAGTGGAATCACACACACCTTGGTAACCAGCACACCCGAACCCCTACCTCAGCCAGCAGTCCAAGAAACACAAACACCAGACCATTAAGAAGATAGAACCTGGATCAGCAGAGGCAGCCAAAATATCTGGCTGAGAGTCTGAAAGCCTGCCAACAAAACCATCCCTTTAAGGAATAGGAGAGAGAGAACAGGGAAGCAAATAGAAGGGGAAAGTAACCAAGTGAACTCCTGGAAAGAATTGAAAACTGACAGCCAGCAGGCATGACAAGCCACAAAAACTGTCACCACATTCTACAGGAGAGGAATGAAATTTTTAAAACAGTACATATCTACATTTGTGGCAACAAACCACAGGACAAAGGATGAGAGATCCTTGCCAAAGGGTTAAGGCTGACTCGCAACTGCCATGAGTAGATCTGCGCTGCACAGAAACAGAGAACCTTCACCAACCATGTGTGCGACTTACAGTTCACAAATAAAAAAAAGGCAACTTGCCCATCTGGATGTGGAGGTGCCAAACTCTGACATCATTGGAGAGGGCAGGCATGAACAGAGTACAACTGACCACCACAAAAACCTGAAAAAACAAGGAAAGCTTCCTTCAAGTAAAGCGCCTGCATACTACAAACATTCTACCTCTTGTCGAAGAAAAACAAAGGCTTGCCCTTCTATGGGCCATCAATGACTCCTCGTTTTCATGCCCCATTTCCAATATTATCCTGATTATTATCAGGGCTTTGCTCAGGCATGGGAGTGTGGGACTAAGTGGTGCTGAAACCCTGGTTGGCTAGTACTGTACTGTCCTCTGGTGGTGAGAATCGGAAGCAGTGAGGTGGCACTTACCTAGGTTATTTTGGACACCTTCGAGTATTGTTTGGTTTTATGACTGTTTTTTGCCTTCCTTTGAAGTGCTTCCTATATATGTGGCATCTTATAACACCTTCAGCTTCCCTGAATGTGTCGAGAAGGCAGCAGTCTGATCCCTGCTTCAGGGTTTGCCATGAGATGATTTGGGATGCTTTTTGAGATAATTTTGACCCTTGGATACCAGAGCATATGTTCTGGGGAATCACTAAGGGGCAACCAGAAAGAAGTGCTTCATTATAATCAATGCTCTATTTATTATAGTACACTGAAATGAAGAAATAATACTTATTTATAATATCACCTACCCATTCCTTCTCGCATGATGGGAATTGCACTGAGATCTGTGTCCTTTTGGTATGCAATTGGAGTCTTGAGTTTTAATGCAGGATGGTGGTGAACCTTCAAAAGAAATATTTGTGTTATTATTGTTATTACAGAAATATAAAATGTAGAAAAAAATGTCCTACAAAATATTTAACAATTAAAACAATTGTGAGATAGTTTTATATACAGTACTGAACTGTAGTGGGTGCTCAGTCTTAACAAACCTTATTATTAAATTTCTGCACTGGCTGAAGAGTTTGTGTTTAGTGCATCAAACAAATGTTCATTTCTGTGAGGATTGTTCACCTAAGCCACCATTTTGTCAATCAAACATTAACCTTAAAGTGCGGTTATTGTCATGCATACATACCAAACTAATTTGGCACATGTCAGTTTGATAGCTTCAGGAAGCCGACAGGGCTCCCAACAGAAAACTGAATATTTCAAATACCTTTTATGAAAGCAATGATAGTGATGTGTTTTACAAGTAAAAATGAAATGTCAGCAAGCAATGGACGCTACCTTAGGCTTCTTAGATTTAGGTATAGGCGGTGGAGATTCGTCAGCTTGTCCCACCATTCCAGGCTCTGTGATTGGGGGCGTTCCCTGTTGCTGCATGACATGGCTGCCCGAAGAGTCTTCGTCATACCCATCATAGGATTCATACATATACTCTGGTTGAGTGATGTAATCTCCAGTGTTGGGGTCATAAAGCTGCAAATAATATTTACATTGATTTGTTGAACAAGAAAATACATAACAATAGTTCAATAAATAAATGTTGGATAGAAAAATGATTAATAATTGTATTGCACTCTACTAAATATATTTTACTACTATAGCACTATTCTTAGAAGATGAAGCTTTACAAATATGAAATTCCCCCTTCAACTATCATATATAAGAATTATATAAATAACAAATAAAACAAAATTTTTACTATATTGTTGGTTCGGAATGTAGAAAGTAATAAACATAATTTTACTCTGAAATAAGCTAATTTTATAAAAAAAAAAAAAAATGTATAGGTGACAGGTGAAGCCAAACAAAGTTGATGATGTGCTCAGATTATCAACATTTTTTAGGGGGGGGGGAGAGGGGGGGGAGGGGGGGGGGGAGGGGGAGGGGGGGAGAGGGGGGGAGGGGGGAGGGGGAGAGGGGGAGGGGGGGGGGGAGGGGGGGAGGGGGGGGGGGGGGGGGGGGGGAGGGGGGGAGGGGGGGAGGGGGAGGGGGGGGAGAGGGGGAGGGGAAGAGAGGGGGGGAGGGGGAGAGAGGGGGGGAGGGGAAGAGAGGGGGGGAGGGGAAGAGAGGGGGGAGGGGGGGAGGGGGAGAGGGGGGGGGCAACAACTGCCAAGATCATAGTGGAGAAACATCTTGACCCCCATGTGAGTATGGCCTCTCCACTCATTCCCACCCATTAATGTTCTGGGCTTACTTAGCTGCTCACCAATGTGAACAAGGTTTACAATCATTTTCCATTTTCTATAAGCTATATAGGTATAAACTACAGTAACTATAAATTTGGTGTCAAAATATTTGCAAATGTTTTGCTGTAGAGAATAGATGAAAAAACAATTGTATCTATAATAGATTTTACTCTCTCTGCATTTCCAATTACAAACATAGTGAGCTCGACAGGTTCCACTCGGCGATGCTTGAAATGTTTACAATCATTATACGTTTTCTAATTTGTGAGAAGGTGGTGGAGGCCAAGCCCATCAGTAAATTTCAAAGCGTTATACGACAAAGAGTGCTGGGGAAGACAGGACACCACGAGCGCAGCTCTCATCCTGTAACTACACTTAGGTAATTACACACACACACTGAGGGTGAAAAGCCTCCTGGACCCAACAGGCATGTCCACTGGTGTCAGAAAACAGCAGCAGAGTGGGGCTCAGCCCTGTTCGAGAAAACCATTGCAACCTAGGTAGCAGTAGAAACAAGGTAAATGACCATTCCAAAGTTTGAAAGCTAGTAATTCCCTGGAATACAACTTAATATGTAAAACCAAGAGCAAGAGTAGGTGTGGAACCTGAACAGATACCAAATGAGCAGGAGTGTAATAGCCTGGAACTAACAGGAATTTTCAAGAATAGTCACTCAAATGCATAAACCAAGTGCATGGTGTTGACTCTTAATAACCCCATTGAGCCGAAGTAAGTACAACTCATAATAAGGACAACTAAAGTACCCCACACTGGAACCTCATAAATCAATCCAGTTGATTGATTTATGAGGTTATAAATCATATAAATCATACCATAAATCAATCCAGTGGAGCACTGCTCAGGGAATCCAGTTCGAAAAAGAGCATTCCCCCAAGAAAAGACTCAAAATCCTAAGAGAGGAAAACTGGTGAAAGTCAATCATCATGATGGGGTCAGGGAAAAGACCCCAAAACAAAGCAGAGGTAAATGAAAGGAAAGACACAAACTGGCAGCCATGCCAGTTTGTGTCTACTAGCCAACAATGAGGAAGTTCACTTAGCTCAAAAGAATGCAGTTAGTCTCAACCATGTGAGATATGAAGGGTCAGCTGTTTGAGAACCATAGGTGGATCACCAGTGACCACTGAGACCACCTGATGAAGCTCAGGGTATTCAGCTAAATAAGGATTAGCTAGTTCAGAGTTGTTTGACAATGGAAGATTTCAAAGCATTTACTTGTAAAGAAATATATTTTTTAAGTGCTTCCTTTCTTGTTGGGTGACCACAGTAATGGGTTTGACCAGACAACACACTAGAAGGTGAAGGGATGACGACGTTTCGGTCCGTCCTGAACCATTCTCAAGTCGATTGTCTTGAGATTGTCTGTCTCACAATCGACTTGAGAATGGTCCAGGACGGACCAAAACGTCGTCATCCCTTCATCTTCTAGTGTGTGGTCTGGTCAAACTACTTCAGCCACGTTATTGTGACTCATCGCCTGCACCACAGTAATGGGTTTATCTTTAATTTACATGAGCTTCCATGCAGCAAAGTGGGGTAAGTGACGATGGTGCATGCTCCTGGCATGCAGAAAAAGTAAACTGGGAGCCTGGTATTTTCACAGTTGTCCCAGTGTAGTAAGCTGAGGGTAGCTACTTAGAGGTGTTAATCCAGAAAACTCAATGTTTATGTCATATGATATTTATTAGTGACATATTAAAAAATTGTAAAATACTGTATCCCATAATCCTTTTTATTTTAGAATCTTGATCAGGTCTGAAACAAAACTTGCAGCAGTTCTGATCTAGAGGTGCCACTGTACTGAATAATTGTTAGAATACAATCTCTTCTGTATATGAAAATAAGATAAAATTTAAACTGAAATTTTACCATTTGTGTGTGTTGGGTAGGAGCTGGCTCACTAAAAGAGACTGGCGTAGGAACGAGCGGTCTTGGGTGATCTGAGAGCAGTGGAGCTGCTGTGCCAGTATTCAGCATCACCTCGGCTGGATCAGCTGGGTTGAAAGATACTCCTGTCACTCCGTACCAGAGCATCCCCAGGTCTGCAGAAAAATTATTGTCTGCAGAGAAATTATTACATTCATTATATGTCAAAATTATAATGATCACAAAACAGCAACAAATAATGATTACAGTACAAATTTAACCATAAGCTGATGGTTCAAGTATAACGACAAATTTGCAGGCATTCACAATAGGCCCCATATTATATGAAATACTTTTAATGCATTCTGATGTGTGGTTGGGGGGGTAATAATCAAAATGCTTAAAGACTAAACCACACACCAGAAGATGAGGAGATGACAATGTTTCGGTCCATCCTGGACGATTATCAAGTAGATTGTGATGGGAGCGAGAGGCACGGCATTAAGAAAGGCATGAGAGAGGCGAGGAGGAAATTCATAGAGGAAGGCAAGAGCAAGGCAAAGGGTACGGATGGGATGGGTGTAATAATGGAGTGTAAGGGAGTAATACTGTAATTGAACATAAGAATGGGAATGTAAGAATAAGAGGAAAATAAAAAGATAAAAAGGGGGGTTAGGGGATAGGGGGGGTCACATTTGCTAGAAAGGTTAGAGAATTTGAGTACAGTATGTACTGTGAGAGGGCAGAGTCAGCAACACCAAAGCCAGGACTCAGGTTCATGTTGGGTATGTTGTGCATCAGAGCCAATTCAACAAGACGACGTTTGTGAAGAGTAGAGGCAGGAAAGATTTTTTTTAGAGGAAGACCAATTAATAGGATGATTAGAATCCCTAACGTGACAGAAGAGAGCATTGTTTGTGTCAGCAGATTTAACACCTGTTTTGTGTTCCTTATGTCTGTCATTTAGTGTATGGCCAGTTTCACCAAAGCATTGGAGAGGACAAGATGGACAGGAAATAAGAGTAGACACCAGCAGCATTAGAAACAGGAGGAGCAGTGTGAACTAGATTACTACGAACAGTGTTAGTTTGTTGAACGACAAACTTGATGTCAAGAGGATGAAGGGTATTACTGTAGTGAGATTTTGGAGTTCAGATATGAAGGGAAGGCAGAGCACAGGGGAACTAGTGTTGGAAACTGGTTTGGGATGAAAGAAATTTAGTTTAGCTTGAGAATAGGCACAGTTGATAAAATGTAAGGGTAACCAAGGCGAGAGAAAGAGTTGTAGATATGGGAAATTTCAAAATCAAGAAACTGAGGGTCACTGATGTGTAGAACACGGAGGAAGAGAGAGACGAGAACACTTTTCTTAACAGTAGGAGGATGGTAGGAAAAGAAGTGAATGTACATGCCACTATGCATGGGTTTGCGGTAGACAGAGAAAGAGAACCCGGACACAGAGCTGTGAACATGAACGTCAAGAAAAGAAGGAAGAAATAAGATTCCCATTCAACTTTGAAATGGATAGAAGGAGCCAGATTGTTAAGAAAGGAGAGGAAAGACTGGAAAAGACTAAGGTCATGAGGCCATAAAGCAAAAATGTCATCAACATTTTTTTTTTGCTTTATGGCATCATGATCTAAGTCTTTTCCAACCTTTCCACTTCTCAATCCCAATCTAAATGCTTGCCTCAACCTTTATCCCTTTATGACCTGTTTTTTGAAAACCTGATTACCCATATAAGACTTTCAAATGCTCCCAGATGATATCTTGCTGATATGGCTCCACCAATACTGGATTACATCAGTCACAAGAGTCCTGCTTAGCCTACTGGAGACTGGAGCCAGAACCTGGCCCCCACACAGAAGAGCAGGCAGCAGTGGACTATTAACATCACCATTCACTGGGAAAACATCCAGAAAGTCAGTAAAACTTTACAATTGTAAGGTTCATAGAAAACAAGGCATCGAGATGGCCAAATGAATGCAAACAATTCAGGCTAAACAACTGGCTTATTTGAAACTAGCTGGAACCTGTTAGCCATCAACAGTCAGCCCAGAGCTCTGATACACAGCCAACTCCAATGGTCAGAATAGAGCTGATAGATAATAAACCGATAACCTAGTAGAGAGGATATGAGTTAGGGAGCCACAGAGGCTCTACAAGAAAGAGGCATTTCATTACATTCAACATGAGTTTTCTGGGAGGAGCCCCCTGGTGGCTACTTGAAGTACAGTGAAACAAGAAAAGAAGAGACTTACCAGGGAGAAGGAGAGACAGTAGAGGGGGTATTCCCAAGAAGAGACCACAGGCTGAGAAACCCAGCCCAGTGTCACACAAGACCAACTGAGGCCAGTGACAAACTAAATACTGGTCCGCCAAGACCCTGTTAAACCTCCAAAATACTGTACCCAAGCTCGAATATCCGCCCAAGAGAAGTTTAAAAAGAAAAAGCCAATGCTTTGATTACACCGCAGACAATCTGAGAAATGAACCTTGGAACAGGGGACCAAGGAAATAGGGTCAATCAACAAAGGTTCCACTGAAGCAGAAAAGTGTAGGCAGACAGTGGCAAAGTGCTGCCACTGGACGCAACAAATGATGCACCACCGGCCGGACCAACCAAGCATCAATCAACAAAGGACCCCTCCAGAAACCAGTCAACTCACGCTTTGCCAGAAAAGAAGAAGGGTGCAGACAAACAAACTTCCAATCAGGGCCAAAGAAACAGAACCCCTGCCTCCAGAGAAGAGCATGGAGCTTCCACAATCCTGCAGCTAGAGGTAAGAGCCAAAAAAACACCACTTTCAAAAAATATCCCTGACCAAAGGGAGCAACCAAGAACTGAGGAGAGGAGTATCACGACCCTATCAGGAAAACAAGATGAATTAGGAGCAGCATGAACCAACTGGAGGTGAAAGATCGCACAAGACAACTTGCAGAATGATGCCGCAAGCCTGACATATTGACCCTGACCCTGTGAGGGTTGGTGAGTAGTGGTCACGAAGCCCCAATCCAGAGCCGAGATGCCTGTGAACACATCGAGTGCCGGAAGAGGATGTTGCCAAAGAAATGAACACTGAAAAGCCAAAAGATGCCATTGTAGGGTGGAGTGGGGCCTGAACCCGATGGTCCTGGCAGTGGTGAAATGAGTGGAACCATAGGAGCCATTACAGTGCTCAGAGCCAACCCTGCCCTAGGGAAATACAACACAGACAAAGTTCTGGCTATGGCACAACCTCTCGTCCAACCAATGAGTCACCCAAGGCTGATCCAACACCAGACAGCAAGGACACTTCAGGTAGAGCAGAGCTGCAGAAGGTACAAACAGAGACGCCGACTGGGAGTCCCACTGAGGCCCAGCTAAGGCAATGGGATGGAACCAACTTGGATTTCTGCCGGGTTGCAAGGAACCTGAACCTGGCGAGCAGGTGAGTAGCAGGGCAGTCAGGAGACAGTGGATGGGCAGGTGAGTAGCAGGGCAGTCAGGAGACAGTGGGTGGGTAGGTGAGTAGCAGGGCGGTCAGGAGACAGTGGGTGGGCAGGTGAGTAGCAGGGCGATCAGGAGACAGTGGGTGGGCAGGTGAGTAGCAGGGCGATCAGGAGACAGTGGGTGGGCAGGTGAGTAGCAGGGCGATCAGGAGACAGTGGATGGGCAGGTGAGTAGCAGGGCAGTCAGGAGACAGTGGGTGGGCAGGTGAGTAGCAGGGCGATCAGGAGACAGTGGGTGGGCAGGTGAGTAGCAGGGCGATCAGGAGACAGTGGGTGGGCAGGTGAGTAGCAGGGCGATCAGGAGACAGTGGGTGGGCAGGTGAGTAGCAGGGCGATCAGGAGACAGTGGGTGGGCAGGTGAGTAGCAGGGCGATCAGGAGACAGTGGGTGGGCAGGTGAGTAGACAGTGGGTGGGCAGGTGAGTAGCAGGGCGAGCAGGAGACAGTGGGTGGGCAGGTGAGTAACAGGGCAGTCAGGAGACAGTGGGTGGGCAGGTGAATAGCAGGGCGATCAGGAGACAGTGGGCGGGCAGGTGAGTAGCAGGGCGATCAGGAGACAGTGGGTGGCAGGTGAGTAGCAGGGCGATCAGGAGACAGGCAGGTGAGTAGCAGGGCGATCAGGAGACAGTGGGTGGGCAGGTGAGTAGCAGGGCGATCAGGAGACAGTGGGCGGGCAGGTGAGTAGCAGGGCGGGTGGCAGAGCTTACCAGTGAGAAGGCACGCAGTTGCATGAGATACATTGGTGCAGTGGGCGAATTTCTGACTAGAACTAACACAGGAGCTGGCCACTCCCGGACCCACCCCAAGACCCCCCATCCCCCCCACACCGGACCCTCCCTGCTACCTCCATCCCATACACCGGACCCTCCCCACTACTTCCATACCCGTATCCTGCCACCAGACCCTCCCCTCTACCTCCATACCACCACTGGACCCTCCCTCTACCTCCATTCCTCACATCAGACCCCCACCCCACCACCGGACCCTCCCTGCTACCTCCACCCCCCCCCCCCCCCACACAAGACCCTCCCCACTACCTCCAGACCCCCATCCCGCCACAGGACCCTCCCCGCTACCCCCCAGCTGTAGCCTCTGAGCCATGTCTGGACGGTATTAATACAGTAGACTTCCTTGCTATCAGCTGGTGGAACAGGAGGCAGACTGCCCGAGTGCCTTGAACATTAAACACTTATTGTTTACTGACTGGTTGTGGCTGTGAAAGCCTGATTGACTGTGAATGAATGATGACTGTGAATGAATGATTGACTGTAAATGCCTGATTTACTACTGTTAATGCCTGGCTGACTTTATATACCTGACTGGTTGCTGCCCCAACTGTGAATTCTTGCCTGGATTGATGTGACTGTAAATGACTGGTTCTGACTGTCTGCCACATAAGAAGCAGTGAAATGTGTGAAAGGAAAATCTGGAACCAGTGATTCCTCCTCACCATCTTCCATACACCAACAAGAGTCCTTAGTAAAGGTAAAGTGCAGATAAATGTTCACTTATTTTGTTTATGGCTTATATTTGTACCCAATTGTTTTGTGTATTCTGTATAAAATGTATTTTTAAGTTAATATTGTTCGGGGTGTGGAACGGATTAATTCAATTTACATAATTTTTATGGGAAAATTCGTTTAGGTTTATGAATTTTCGGTGTACGAACCGTCTCTTAGAATGGATTAAATTCATAAACCAAGGTGTGACTGTATGATAGTTCCCTATGTGATAGTTAGCTTCAAAGTACATTCTCATGAAATGAATGAGTCTCTAGGAGCAATATTAATGCCTTATTGCTAATGCTTTTTAATGTGAACCTGTATCCTATTTGCATTATTTTGGAAGTTTAGGTTTAAAAAAAAAAGTCTCCACTAATCATTACTCCCAGATCTTTTTCACATTCAATTTTTGCGATATCATTACTCAACATATTCAACCAACATCCTATTACTTGTATCATTTTCTAGGCTAAGAACCCTAACTGGTACAATTGCTGGAGTTTATTTACATCTGCCAATCTTTCATCAATTTTAAATCATCCTGCAAAGATTCTTAGCCCAAGTTTGAATGTCTTTCTTGCTTCATATGAGTTATCAGCAACTGTCATATGATTAGTTGTCATACAGTCATGCAATGCCATCGTGGGTGGGTTAATAAATCAGCACCAATAGGCTAAACATTTATTGCCCCGTGTTTATCTTGCCCTTTCTTCCTATTCCTGGTGAGCATAGGCCTAGTTCCTTTCAACTACTGAACCTTACTTATCAACTCGGTAACATTTTCCTCCAACATCAACCACAGATGTTACTGTATTAGTTACACCCTACCAGTAACATGCTCGACTCAACAACACATAATGGGCCAAATGACAAGTCGAACACATAGAGCCCGAGTATATGGACATGTACATGGGAGGAGCAGCACAGGACACAGCACCGCTCCTGTGCCAGGTAAGTCCACTACGAGCTCACCATAGCCCGTGCTACTTGCCCCGCTCCTGTGTCAGGTAAGTTACGGGCTCACCGTAGCCCGTGCTACTTGGAACTTGTTCCGAGTAGCTGAATCTATAACAACAACAACAAGGAGGAGGAGCAGCAGTATGGGGCTGACACCCTCCACACCCATGGGGTCCACTCCTGGCCCACACACTACTCTTACTCACGCCTCTTCCCCTGACAATAAGCTAACAATCGACATTTCCCTGCAATGATGCAACCTCGGCTCATTAGCAACGTGCTCGTGCCTCTCGTCTGCAGTAATAATGGCTGTTGTTATTATCACATTGTTCCGAGATAATTTACCAGAGCCAGCGGCAGTCTGCAGCATCAGCCACATTAACACATTATTTTACCCTCTTGAAATACCACACGGCTAAATTAAACTATGACTCTGCTCACCCCAGATGTACCTACCATCTTGGGATGCCATCATTGGGTACAAAGAGACAACTTTCGAGCATCAAATGAGATGAATTTGGAATTTATCCAAAGCTTCACTCACAACCGCATCGATCAAACCAAACAATACAACTACGACTGCGCAGGCGCGAGCATTTTTATCTCAAATTTTGTTAGAGTTGACAAAGTGTCTTAAACCTCGAGCCACTGGGGCGGCGCGCCTTGCCTCAGTCTTGCCAGTCATGGGCAATAAGTAAAACTTCAATTAATAAGACTAAGTTAATCAGCAATAATAATTTATACGGCTATTTTTATTTTTTTCTCCGTGATTGCTGACTAAAATATTGGAATAGTGTCACGGCAAGATCTTTGTTCACATCAATTTTGATTATAATATTTCAGAAAATGTAGCAGCTCATGTTCTTTAAATTATAATTCGTAATTTTTTTAAATTATAGTCCGCTGTACTACTTTTTGTTTTAAGATAATTGATGATTTAAGTGTTAGTCAGCTGAGACACTATCAACGTTTGTAAACAAAGTTTGTGTCACATTCTCCTGCTTGAGGAATATTTAATAATAGATTTATAAATGTAAGATATATAAAATTACATTTCATACGTGGAGAAACATACATGAGTATTCCTATAACTTTCTGTAACATATATTATGTCAAGCCTGTGCAGCTGAGGAGTTTTCTCAAGATCTAACTAGGAATGTTGATTCGGAAGTTTATTATAAGACATTTCATTTACCTGAATTTACCTAAGGGCCACTAACACTAGTGGCTTCGACGAGGACAGGAAGCCGGCGGCTTGTCAAAGGTTCCCCTCATTTATCCTGATTGATTTTATTTTAGCTGTAATTATTTATGGTGAACTGATGGGTAAAGGTTTATTATAAGTAGTAAGGTACTAGTTAATAAATATAACTTTGTGCAATTATTTGTTTTCACAAGACATTCCTTAATGTTCTCAATTTCCTGTTCTATAGGCATCTACCAGATCCCTAATGGATTTTAGGTTGTCTGGTCCAGTTTCCACTTTTCACAACTTCTCTACCATTTAGCTCTACTTTCCCATACAGTACTTTTTGCCATACAGTACTATGCAAATTTTAGGTTAACTTAACCTAAAGCTTAACCTAACCTAACCACAGGATTCAGTTCTTGCACCAGTAATGTTCATTGTCTACATAAACGATCAACCAGTTGGAATACAGAATTATATGAACATGTTTGCTGATGATGCTAAGATAATAGGGAAGATAAGAAACCTAGATGATTGTCATGCCCTTCAAGAAGGCCTTGACAAAATAAGTATATGGAGCAACACTTGGCAAATGGAATTTAATGTGAATAAATGCCATGTTATGGAATGTGGAATAGAACATAGACCCCACACAACCTATAAATTATGTGAGAAATCTTTAAAGAATTCTGATAGAGAAAGAGATCTAGGGGTGGTTCTAGATAGAAAACTATCACCTGAGGACCACATAAAGAACGTTGTGCAAGGAGCCTATGCCACGCTTTCAAACTTCAGAATTGCTTTTAAATACATGGATGGTGAAATATTAAAGAAATTGTTCACGACTTTTGTTAGGCCCAAAGCCAGAATATGCAGCAGTTGTGTGGTGCCCATATCTTAAGAAGCACATCAACAAACTGGAAAAGGTGCAAAGACATGCTACTAAGTAGCTCCCAGAACTGAAGGGCAAGAGCTACGAGGAGAGGTTAGAGGCATTAAATATACCAAAACTAGAAGACCACATCCTCGCATTTTTCTTCTGAACCCCTCCCTCCAACCTATCCTAATCCACTAGACAGTACTCAATAAACTAGAATGTGAATTTTACATCAGCCTCTGCTTCTTACATCAATGGTACTCATTACACTAGCCTTAACTCAAATGTATTTACAGTATTACATCCACTGTACACATTTAACAACCCTGTTCGTATCATAAGAAATGCTAGCTCAGGGTTAGCCTTTTTTGAATGTTCTCATGTGATCAAATTGCATCTAGTTTAATATACATTATTTAGCAAATATGTTTGAAGTACCCCATCATGACTGATAGTTTTTTATATGCACAACAGGTCTGAATACTGGAAGTCAAATCCACGGAAATTTTGCGACTTTTGTAAGTGTTGGATTGCCGACAACAAACCCAGCGTAGAATTCCATGAAAGAGGCAAGCGACACAAAGAAAATGTTCAAATCCGCCTTGCAGAGATGGGAAGGAAAGGCCAAGAAGACTATGAGGCTAAACAGCAGGAAGGAGACTTTCTTAAAGCAATGGAGGAAGTGAGTGCTGACTCCCATTATATGACCTTGTTTTAGCTATAATGTTTCAGTGTTGTGGATGATTTAACAAGTCTCTTTATATGTCAGGTAAACACCCACACCCCCTAATACAGACATTCTTGTATACATTGTTATGTGAAATGAGGTACTGCAGTTATACCCACCTGAAGTTATGCTCACATAGCATGAAAGAAACAAAAAGCTGCATAAACATTGCAATGTGAATATGGGAAACAGGAGTAAAGTAAAATAAACAGATTTAAAAATATAATTTAATTTAATAAAACAAATAAAAGTTACTTTAACGCCTGCAATACGACTGTCTGTGTACACTTGATATAATAACATTAAAAGAACACACAGGTTGAATACTAATTTCAACTCTGTGACTTGGACACAGATACAACAAAGTAATACAGTATAAGTAAAGGCTACAATATACTTTACCAAACACAACAACTCTTATTGAAATGCCAGAGCAATTTCACTAAGAGAGAAGGTGTCCAGCTGTGACAAATGCCTGAACCTGACTAAAGGTGAGGACTCGTCTACCTAATGACAACGCCTTGCCCAGACACTTGGGGCACAATTGCCCCAACTACCAGCCAGTTGCTAAACTAGGCGTCATCACCATGGAGGTGCAACACTCGGGATGAACAATCACATACAATCGTGTTACACAAGAGAATATACCATTTATTTACATAAAAATACACACTGGACAATGAACTAAACTCTTGAATGAACATAAAAATAACAATGACTGCTGCTTAGAAGATGTTACTACTCAACTTGAGGAGGGAAATTGCATGACAACATATACACACAAGGACACATGCTCCTGCATAGACTACACATTGCTTACTTTATTGTGCTATCAACAAAAATAACAGCACAGAGCCACCACTGTACCACAACTGCCACTAAATCAGCAAAATCAACTTCAAAACCAAAACTGCTACCACTACTACACCACATCCACCACATCACTAAAACCATCTTCATTACATCAACAGTCACCACAACCAATAACACCAACTACCACCAAAAGCTCCACAATTACCACCTCTAAACCATCACCAACAACACACTATTAAGCTTTTCTTATTTAGAACTACTAACTTCACCAAATCACCATCACAATCTATCCTGATTTTTTTTAAATATATATAGCGTCTTAAATGGAGGAATTTTTAACCAATTGGATATTATGTTTTAAGTTGTTTCATTTATAACATATTGCTTGCTTTATTCTGTTTTAATTTTGGCTTGTTAATGATACTGCACTTAATATGATTAGTTTGAAATTTAAATACTTTTGTCTTGAAATCATGCTTTTTAATGTACAAGTTTCAGTATTGATACTTCTTTATGGTATTTTAGTAGTGACAAAGGTATACGACATTCTAAAACAAAAAGGCATTGAGAGAATTAAAACACTTTTCTGAGGAGCCAAGTGGTTGCTTCCCTGACTTTCTGAGTCAGGGTCCTCCCAAGACACTGCCAAAATGTCAAGCTATCATTGACCTTTGGTCCATCATAGCAAGGAACCTTGTAAATAGTCTTGCCATGTGATTCGTGCAGGGAGAAGTGGAGAGTACAGCAAGAACAATTTATCCCCTAACAGTCTTAACACATTCACTGACCTGGCGGGCCATCAGCATCGCACCATAAGGTAGGCCTGGCATTGCCTGTGAGCACACAACCCAATGTTAAACTCTTTCACTCACAACGTTTATACAGTACTTACTAATAAGAATAAGTAAAAATTAATTGTTGACGTCGTGCCCCGAACTGCGTTGTATTGTTTTAATGACTACGCAAACGTCATCACAACGCCAAAGTGTTAATTTTGACAAAATAGAAAATGGTAAATTTTGTTTGCCTGACTATGTATTAGCCATAAACATTAACTTATGGACTTGATTCATTTATATGTATCATTTGAAAAGAAAGAAGAAAACAAATCTAAAAATCAATACTCGTCAGAGAGAATCTCTGTCTGTCTGTCCGGAGTTGAAGGCCAGATACTTGAAGCTAGCCTCTCACAACTTTGCAGGTTGAATGGTCTGGGAGTACAGAATGGGCATAGACTGATCAGGGTAGGCTTAAGTTTAATGCTTTAAGAAATATTAGCTTTTATAGAGTTTTAATGTTTAATGTTAGTTTTATGGAGTCAAGTGCAAAATAATGTTTCTGAGAAACCCATACAGTATAAGTTATTTCAATGTTTGTTAATATTAAATTTTCTGAGAGAAGGAAGAGATAGAGGAGGACAAAGGGGGAACCATGGGGATAGGGATGAGGGAGTTAAGGGGTGGATGGGATGAAGAGTGGGGAAAGGGTGGAAGAAATGAAAGGAGACCCAGGTGCAGCTAGGCAACTCTTCCATATATATAAAGAGAAATGTATGTCTGTCTCAAGTTGAAGGGAAGAGGGTAGGGAGATGGGGATGGAGGAGGAGAGGTGGAGGGTGAGATAAAATGGAGAAAATGGGAGCAATTAGAGGAAAGAAAGGGAGAGAGGGGAGGGGAGAGGGTGGGAAAGGGATCTGCTTATTTCCCTGTGATTAAAATCCCCACGTATTAGGATCTTTGCTTTGGCTCTCCATGCCAATGTGGTTGCCTTTTCTGTTATGTTCAAGCTTGTTTCATTACATTTATCATATTCCAGCCTAGACCTTCCTGTAGTTAATGGAGGGTTATAAATAACAACTACAGTACTATTATCTTGTAGGTCGTCATTGTTATTATATCTAGTATGAAGTCCTTTTGGTTGATTGTCTCCAGAATCTGTCTTCTAAAAGCTCTAGTGTTGTTATAAAGTAAAATAAAGAACAGTAAAGTTCTAGTAAAGTTGTAGTCCTACTTAAATAATTTACAATTAATTATATCAGTAGGACTATAACTTTACTACTACCTCCCTCTTGTTTATCCTTTCTTTTCTTTCCATATTGCATTCGCTTTTACTTTTGTCTACTTAACTGCGATGACATGAGGATGCAGTTCTGCCACCCGTTCTTGCAGCTCTACCCCTTTATTTGTAATGCCATCTGCATTTCTATACAAAAATTATTATATTACTCATTCACTGGGGTACAGTACCTAGTTTCTTCCTGAGTGTGTAAGATTATCCCTCTGGGTTAGTTCCATTCCAGAGGGTGGTATTTGTGAATGTTAAGCTAATCATCCACACTCATTCCCCTGATCTCTCTCCTCACCAGCCTGATTAGGCCCACTGTCTTGCTGTGTCTGATTATCCTTCTGGCCTTGCCTTGCCTCTGATGGTAGAAGGCAAAGGAGATGTAGAGAAGATGGTGATGATGAAGAAGCTGTATTCCTGTCAAACACACACCGAAACTACGACATTGGTACAACATTTGAACAAGTTTTAACACCTCCTAACCAGTTATAACAACCAATATAGCAAGTTGTAACAACATTCTAATACATCATAAATACGTTAAGCCAAGATGTAACAACTTTATTACAAGTTGTAACAAGTGGAAAATAGAGACAGTTATGGTTTGTGTTTCCAGGGTTAAGGATGGTGGTGGTAAGTAGCAGGGGAGCTGTAGCCAGGATGTTTATGATGGAGGTTGGGGGATCTATGATGGAGAGAGTATGGGAATTGTAATGAGGATAGTGATGGTAAGGAAGCTGTGGTGAAGATGGTGATGGTGAAGGAGCTGTATTAACACTCGCATTTTGTAGGGACTAAAACATATCATTCTCCTACGGTAAATGTTCTGATGATGCTAAAACTCGCCACCCAATTGATACTTATAAACATCTGTATATTCATCGCTGTCGTGCATAATCTATTATAAATACACTTATTTTTACTTGTTTTCTAAAGAATTAATTTGAAAATATTTTGACACTAAATTTATAGTTATAGCCCAACAAATAACTGAGAAAACAGAATGATTGTAACAAATTTTACATCTCTGAGTGGCCCGTTATCGCTTGGAGTAGAATCGAGAGATTTGTTCTACTTTTTGGTAACATAGCAAGCTGGCTTTCTCCGTTGGTGGTTCATTTGGAGTACTCTCTGTTGTTTCTCTTCCAATTACACGACAAGACTATTTTGAAGGTTCCATGTTATAGTGAGGTTGAAGGTTGATGGGAGTGTTCTGGGTGTTTATGGTTGTTTGCTTGGAGGAATCATGCGGGGGGGGGGGGGGGACCTTGCTCAGAAAGGAATATTATTAAAATGTATGAAATAAATTTTTTTCTTTACAAAGGCAGCACTGAAAGCCTATAAGAATGACATTGAAGAGAATCCTGACCTGACAGGCGTTAAGATCAGCGAGGTCGCAGCGGCAAGTAATGCAGAGATTGTTGTTGGCAAGAAAAAGACGACAACAGATACCAAGACCTCTGAATTGCCTGTGACCAAGAATTGGTATGAAGCCAAATCACCAGAGGGATACACATACTATTGGCATACTGAGTCAGGAGGTAAGATTTGTTATGTTTGTACTATATCCTTTCACAGCAATATTCTTTCATGCATCCAAGTGCTTCATGTAGCTTATGCACAAATTTCTGAACCAGTGTACAGTATCTCAGTTTTGAAAGCTCAACATTTTAAGGGTTAACAAATAGTACAATACCAGTACAGTATGTATTTATTTAGCTCTGCTAATCTTTTAATTCAAATGAGCTAATCACTGAAAAGACCAACGCCAAACCTACACCACTACAAATAGTAAACTAATACTTTCATTGCCATCTCCAACAAACTACCACCATCAACAATCAATTGCAAAAACTAACTTCATCAACAAACTACTACCACATCCTGTTTATGGGATCTCATTTATTGATAAAGACATCATTATGATTCATTATAAACACAATAATACATATAAATGTCCAGTAGCACGTTAGTGATGTTTGTATTTATATAAATATACAAGCAAGTCACAGTGAAGTGGAAGGATGGTTGTGCGTTACACTCTAGATCAATTATAGTTTTTACTTTTTTATTTACTTAACATTTAGAATTTCACATTTCATTGTACTCTTATCACACAATGAAAGTGGGAGAGCATTTATAACATCTTATTAAAGGAAACTGGTACTCAGGGACCAGGGACCACATGTTTGCTACATTCTGCTTGCCAACTTCCTGTGTTAATGATGTTCACAATTGTAACATCAATCTCAGTGACCACCTAGATGGGAATATATGACAACACATGGCATAACATGAAGTATGTGACTAGTCATGGTGGCTGTGGCATCAGGCATTATTGGCATTAGTTACTAAGATGTGACCTAATAGACAAAGCATAACTTGTGTAGCTGAACCGGGGAGACGCACTCAATGTAACTGACATAACTGAAAAATTATAGTATAATTGATTCATATATAAATTATGTCAATCATATGACAATCACACTATAGAATGAAAAACTTATGTGAAAGATCTAGGAGTAATTATGTCAGAAGACCTTACCTTTACAGAACACAATAAAGTGGCTGTCACAACTGCAAGAAAAATGACAGGCTGGATAACAAGGACCTTCCAAACAAGGAATGCCATACCAATAATGATACTTTTCAAGATACTAGTGCTCTCTAGGGTGGAATATTGTTGCACTTACAGCCCTATTAAAGCTGGAAAAATTACTGACGTAGAGAGTATGCAAAGATCCATAACCACTAGAATCCACTCTATAAGTCATCTAAATTATTGGGACCAATTAACAGTTCTAAATCTGTATTCTCTAAAGCACAGGCAAAAGATACATAATAATCTACACATGGAAAATATTAGAGGGACTGGTTCCAAAACTGAACACGGAGATTACATCACATGAAACCATTAGGTATGGCAGGATGTGCAAAATAGCCCCATTGAAAAGCAGAGGTGCAATAGGTACACTGAGAGAGAACTCTATCAACATCAATGGCCCAAGACTTTTCAGTGCTTCCCTGAAGGGAAATAACCTCCAGCTGGAGATAGGAGGATCTTTGTCTAAACATAAAAGTAATTACTAACTGACTGGTCTCGCAGTGTTCAAGAGAGAACTCAACAAACTCCTCCAATCTTATCTTGAGATTATCTTGAGATGATTTCGGGGCTTAGCATCCCTCCAGCCCGGTCCTCGACCAGGCACCCTTTTTGTTACACAGCCCCCCACCACCCCCAGGAAGCAACCTGTAGCAGCTGTCTAACTCCCAGGTACCTATTTACTGCTAGGTAACAGGGGCATCAGGGTGAAACAAACTCTGCCTATTTGTTTCTGCCTCCACCGGAGATCAAACCCGAAACCTCAGGACTACGAATCCGAAGCACTGTCCACTTAGCTGTCAAGCTCCTACATTGTACTTCAAAGGGTACCTGATCGACCAGGCTATGATTTATACGTCAGGCTGCAAACAGCCGCGTCTAACAGCCTGGTTGGCCAAATGACCAACTGGGAGGCCTGGTCAGAGACCAGGCCATGTGGACTTTGATCCCCAGAACCTCCACAAGGGAGCCACAAGGTTGGTAGGTACCATTATTGTCATGTCCCTCGAGGGAAACTGGAATAGCCTTTCTCACCAATTCTCTAGATGCAGGATGATAGTAATACTGTACATGTAACACTGAGAGTTACCTGTACCCTTAGCTGGATGCCTTGCTTGAACTCATTTAGCCATAAGAGAAAGGTTGAAGGCTTTTGTATACAATATGGACTTTAGAGGTATATATGTTCTATATTCCTTTATAATGAAACTTTCCAAAGAATGAATTTAAGTGCTAATGCAGTGACTTGGACATGGTTAAACCCCATGTAAGTTAGTACCTGATACTATTGGCATTAAGATTCTCTATTCTTTGTGTACAATAAAGGCTACAAATTTGACCACATGTGTATCTGAACCACCTACATAATCAAACCACTCAAAATCAGTCCCTCTAGACATTATTTGATTTATATTGTGCAGTTGGTTTTGTTCAGCATACACTTGTACAATGTGGATTCTAACCATCATTTTCTGGGGGACCCTCTTGTGGCTTCCTGAAGCTACTATTCTGACATGGTGCCATCAGTTGCGGAGCTCTTTTTAGACCTTTTAGGCAGACATAATTACACTAAAACAATGCATTAATAATATCAAATATATGAAACTATCAAACATTATAAAAACAGTTACTGATTGTTAAAACTGTGTTAACTGGTAGTTAATGTATGTGATCATGATCACAAACAGGTGATCATGAGTGCGTATGATCACCTGTTTATGAGCCTAGCTCAGTTTCCAGTAACTATTGTGTCCTGTTTTCTTCGTCATAAATGTTTCTAAAGTTTTCAGTAGCTTTGGCACATATTACCTTATCCTATCTTAGTGCCAATTCTAGCTACTGTACTTCCCAATTGACTTTTTACCACACAGCCTTTATAGTAATTTGAAATTGTATTTTGTTCTACCTATTTCTAGTTACAAAGGATCTCCCCTATCTGTTTTCTTATATGCATTTAGAAACCTATAAGCTAAGTAATAATTATATCCCCCAATGTTGACATTTTCAAGACCTTCAGCTGTATACAGTAATTCAATTATATTGCTGTATACAATAATTCAAATTATTGTGAATTAAATTTATTTTGTAATCAATTTTGTTGCATATTTTTGTTGTTTGCTACTTTATCAATACGATTTATTTAGGTGTACAATTTGTGTCTATATAGCCAAATAATTTTCTTGTGTATAAAAAATCTAGAGATCATGATAATTAGCTATGAATATTGTACATTCCTCCATTTTCAGAATCTACTTGGGATGTTCCAAAGGAAGGCTTTCTTTCTATTGCTGAACAGGAAAAATTAAACAAAAAGAATGATACCAAAGATACAAATTCCATTCATAAAAGTACCGCAAGTAAAACTAATTCATCAACTGTAATAGCAACTCAGAAATCTCAAACTAATACAACCCCCGTTTCCTCTGGACCAATAGAGTATGGACCCGCACCAAAAGCCAAAGCTTATTCTTCTTGGCAAGAAGTTAAAATGTAAGTACCGTAGTACTAGTGTTTGTTGATTTGAGGCTTAGCATGAGAAATAGCAACGTTGATTTTGCTTGAGTCTTTTCTCGTGGCATTACAGTGGAACCTCAGTTTACGAATGCCCCACTTTACAAAATTTTTGGTGTATGAGCTCAATTTCTTTGAAAACATTTGCCTTGGTTTATGAGCTTTGCCTCGCTTGGAGAGTTTGTTGATACACATATGGGATGACCGAGCGTGTGGTTCCTGGTGACAAGGGCGAAGCACACTTCAGTTTTTTTAAGTTAATATTTTTGGGAGTGTGGAACGGATTAATTCAATTTACATCATTTCTTATGGGAAAATTTGTTTCGGTTTATGAACCATCTCTGGGAATGGATTAAATTCGTAAACGGAGGTTCCACTGTATATTTCCCTTTACCCTCCAGGAATAGTGCCTTGTCATAGGGGCTACCAATCCATAAGGCATTTGAGCATGATTTATGAAGTGTGCCCAACCTTTTTTTGTATCAATATGCATGATGATGGGAACAATAGTGAGGCTTTAGAACCTTGCCCCAGAGGCACTTTTGTGGAGCAACAGCCAGGTGATGTAATAGGTAATGAACCCTTAGTAAACAAAAAGAATCGTTATGGATGCACTTGAATCTGATCTCGGCCACACACCTCAAAAAACCAGTGTTGCATATAATGAAATGCCATTTTCTGTGAGAGCCCCAGCTCCCTGGAGCTATCGGGCTAATGTGTAATACATTAGACCGGGGCATTAGTAAATGGAGTTCTGCCTACCAGAGACCACGAGCCAGAACCTGGTCCCCCTCAGAGAGGCACAGGGAGCAATGGCCCTGGAAAACCCTTGTAGTTAGGGATATACCTTATCGGCCATCATGGGAGTTAGGCACCCAGAAAGGTAGGTGTAACAAAACAGACCCCCACAAGGTAAGAAAAATGCAAACGAAAGCCGAACAGAGAGGTAGAATGCCCTCAATTCCCAAGGAAACAGGCAAATATCACACCATACCTTCTTATTCGTCCGGGGTTCAGGGACTGGTTAGGTTTTGTGGTGGGGCGTCAGGCTTACCGCTTTCGTTGCCTCCCTTTTGGCTCAAATCTGGCACCTCGAGTGTTTACACGTCTTACCAAGATCGTGGTGACCCGTCTGCATCCGTTAGGGGGTTAGGGTCCTGGCTTACCTCGATGGCTGGCTGGTGTGTGGCTCCCAGTTGGTCCGCTTGTCTGCTTGCCAGAGGTGTGGTTCTTTCCCAGCTCGCCGGGTTTGGGGGAGGAAGTTCCATCCGGTTCCGTCCCACATTTGGACCTGGCTGGGTCTTGTTTTGGACTCTCGGACCACTTCCATGTTTCTACCTCTGGAGTCGTTGCTGCGGCTCCGCCTTGGGCTGTTTCTGTGGGGGTCCCCGATCACTCGGCGGTTGATTGAGAGTTTGAACTTCGCTGTGCTGATCTACCCACTGTGTCGGGTTTGGCTTCAGTGTCTGTTCTGGTTCCTTCGGAGATGCCCCTTCTGCTTTGGCCTCTGGGGGGCCCTTGAGTCTGTTGCTGCGTCACTGGCTTCCTCTTCAGAGTTTTCAGGGCTCGGTGCCATGGCGCCTACCCGAGCCCTCACTTGATGTGTTCACGGACACGTCTCTCAGCTGGGGCTTTGTGACCAGGCCAGTCAAGGGCGATGCGGTCTGTCCTTCTGTCGGGCTCACAGCACGGTGCAGGAGTTCGCAGAGGTTTGGCTGTCGCTTCGGAGAGTTCGGGTCGCACGGTGTTCGACCATTTGGCTCCATTTGGACTGTTCTCCGGTGGTCCATTGCCTGAACCGTGGGGGTTCCCTTCAGTCCTTGCCTCTTTGGGGCTGGTCATTTCGAGTGACTCATCTGCTGGCTTCTCGGGGTTTGGCTATCCATTTGGTTCATATCCAGGGAGTGTCCAACATCCTGGCAGACAGCCTGTCTCGGTTCCTTCCCGTTCACGGAATGGACAGTCGATGCCAAGTCCTTCCATTGGCTCTGCAGGACATCCACTCTCCTGAATGTGGACCTCTTCACATCAGCGTTTCCCGAGCTATGTGACGCCCTTTCGGCTGGATTGGTCGAGGTGGGGTTACCTGGAGTCCTACCAGGTGGCGAGTAATCCTAATGGCGCCTTGGTGGCCAGCCCAGCCTTGGTTCCAGGTGCTGCTTGCTCGGTGTGCAAACCCGGGACGTTTTCCATGGCTCCGCCTCTTCCAGCAGGTCGGTCCGTTCTGCTACACGGCTGGTTCAGTCTTTTACTCCGCTCTTTGCGTCTGGTCTTTTTGACACGGGTTTATCACCATATGTATGGTGATCAGGTGGCTTCGTTAAGTGTCCCACCTGAGAGCTTCATCTCGGCAACAGTACGAAGTTTCCTGGCATTCTTTCCACCACTTTCTCTGTAGGTCGTCGTCGTCTTCTGATTGAGTTATCTTGTCCTTTGTCTTGGCTTTTTCAGAATCCAAAAGATAAATTCCCATTTTGTTAAAGGATAATAAAGTTATTTTGTACAGCAACAATTTTGGTCATGAAACTTTGTAATCCAAAACTATACATGCTCGAGTGATTTTTTAACTCCAGGTCTTTAAGCTATAGTACATAACCATGTTCTTTTCAATATGGCATTAATGTAGTTTTCTTTTACATACACAGCAATGAACCTCAACAGACCATAGACTACCAACTTCCACAAATTGTTGAAGAAGGATATTATGGTCCCGAAGTGTCATTTAGGAAGCCCGAGGTCTCCTTTACAGAAAAGACAGTGACGCTCTCAGCCAGTGATAAAGACAACAGTGGTAATACTGGATTTAAGAAGAGAAAAGCTACACAGGACATTAAAAAGTGTATGAGAAAAAGAAACAATGATTTGTAACTTTTTATGCCTCCATAAATTTACAATAAGCTCTTTTGTGAATAAATAAATTTTATTTAATATTTTTTATTATTATTTCTGAACAGCCAACCTACACATTAGAATACCAAAATACAATAACATTTACAGATTTGTAAATCTTTATTGTTGGGTGCGAAGAACATTTCAGTATTTGATAATCAATTTAAATTTTAAAGGCCTAAATATAAAGAACTGTATAACAATCAAAAACTATAAAGCACTTATTAATTTTCTATATAAAAAATACATCTGCAGCCTGTATGTAAACTGGCAGTTGGCACTTTGTTTTAATGACCCCAATAACGTCATCTCGAAGGCAATTCCCGTACACAGTGTGGGACATGACATTAAGCGTTAACAATTAAAACCATTTGTAAAAATGCCACTTATTGTCCGATTAATATGGGACTTTTTTCCAAAATGCACGTCAACATCTTTCCATTTTTTGTCTAACCCACGTGCCACGACACCGCTGTGTGGTTGGCCACCCACGCAGGAGGCTCATTGTTTTCATGACCACGCTCATGACTACTACTGCCTATCCTAGAGTCGAAACGTGTGTCCGTTCCGTTTGTTTTACTCGGGTATTTTTTGTTACAGCCTTTATGAACACAAAAACGAATGATACAGCGTAACAAATAATATCGGGAATGAATAACTACTGTACTAAAAAATGACGAAAAGCAGTTTTTTTCACATGGTCTACTTACTAGTACAAAATGGGTAATAATGTTGTTCTATTTACCTTATATGCATATACAATACAATGGAACCGCTACTTACAGATTTTTTGAGTTACAACCCCAATTTAGTCCGAAATCATCTCAAGATAACCTCAAGAAGATAGTCAGAAAATTTGACTCTCTACCTCTACTTTCACCTTTGTGATATACACATGGGTTGATAGAGCGCGTGGTTCCTGGTGGCACGGATGACCCCGCTTAGTGACGATCGTGCTTGAATTCATTATAAAGCATTTCATTGTTTTTCCAGCTGTTTTGCTTTCTAAACATAAAAGTAATTAATTATTATTGTATATACCATGCCCTCGGTTCCTCAACAATTTAGACATGTGCAGTATGGGAAGAAATGCAAAGCTTTGTTGAAACGCCTCACCCAAATCAAGCTGTCCAGAGAAGTCCTCAGTGCTTGATGTTATAATGGAAGGGGACACCCAATCCAAACAGTAACACCTTTCTTCCTCCTCCTCCCTGCCCCACCCCCCCTCCTCACCGTCTTCCATACACCAACAAGTCATCAATAAAGGTAAGCTATAAATTGTACATACTATAGTACAAAATATGTGTGTATTATGTATGAAATATATTTTGAAGTTAATATTTTTGGACGTGTGTAACAGATTAATTCAATTTACATTTTTTATGGGAATTTTTTTTTCGAGTTACGAATTTTCCAGTTACAACCCGTCTCTGGGAATGGATTAAACTTGTAAATGGAGGAGCAACTGTACCTTTAGAGCATTCTATTACGAACAATTTGATACCAAAATGAACAATGTACCACGAAAATTGAAACGAGAAAACTGTCATTAAAGTGTGGTTGTGCGCTCACAGGCAATTCACGGCCTATCTTACAGTATGCTGCGGGTTGCCCGCCGGGCCATACAAAGTGTTAAGAAAGTACACTTGAAGGAAAATAAATCAAGTTTAATGAATTATACTTTATAATTTGTAAATTACAAATACAAGTATAAAATAATACAGGATGAAGTACAAGCCGTCTTGAGCACTGGAGTTTACCTCCTTTAACTTGTAAGACCTGTAATTCCAAATTAGAATAAATACACATGATTAACATTTTTTCCAACAATTATTGTAAAGGTCAGTAAATACTAAATTAATCCTTAAACTTAAACCAGATTACATGAAAAATAGGTTAATTTGATGCCTTATTATATAGATGCCAAAATATATTAAATCAGTGTACAGTAACTTCTCATTTTTTATATAAAATGTTAAAGTAGTCCACTGTAAAAAGATCATGCATGAATAATCAACATCCACATCAGTAATAGAGCAAAATATAGAACATTTCTTTTCACACTATAAGCAATTTATCAAATATATAAATCCAAACCAAAATGTAGAATACTGCTCATTTTTATAATAACTCCATCCCCACCCAATAATGTTTATTCCAATCATCTACATAATCGTATATCCCAACCCATTCTAGATCATGGCCTGAAACATGCCTTGGAAGCCCATCTTGCCAAACTGATCACACAATGGGCAATCTACACATTTTATTTTGAAATATTATTTTGTTTACCTAATCCCAAGTAAATGTATAATTGTCAATCCCGGATTGGCAATCATTATTTCGTTTACCTAATGGTAAATGAAATAATGATTGCCAATCCACAAGAAGTTGACATAATAGCACTAGATCTCTACAATCAGTATAAAAAAAAAAAAAATGCAATCAGGATGATAAATTAATGATCATAAATGCGTATAGTCCACTGCCATGCAACACATGGACAAAGGAGGAGCTGGATAATAAATGAGAGGGTCTTATGACAATAATGAGAGAGATTATAGCGAGAGCGGATAAAGATTGATCACGACTGTTGGTAGTCGGCAATTTCAACTTGAAATCCATAGACTGAGAGGCATATGAAGCTAGAACAGAGGACATTAGGACCTGTAGATTCATAAACCTCACCCTGGAATGAGTCATGTATCAACATGTTAAACAAGCTATGAGGATGAGGGAAGGGGGATGTTCTCTCCATGCTGGATTTGATATTTACTAGGAAAGAGGATGAGGTATTTGACATTCAGTACCTTCCTCCCTTGGGTAAAAGTGATCATGTCTTTTTGGGAATAAAGTATGCAATGCGTTATAATCTGGAAGAAAATAAGAGGTTGAAGCAGTTGGAAAAACCTGATTTCAAGAGAGGACATTATGGGGAACTTAGAAATTTCTTTAAGGAATTTGACTGGAAAGACTTTGTTAGGAAATAAAGTGAAATGGATGTCAAGTTTTGTGAAATATATAAAAGGCACAAAATTTTTTATACCAAAGCAGAGATGTAGAACTAGGAAACAGGATTGGTTCAACAGAAGTTGCAAGAGGGCAAGAGACCAAGAGACCAAAAGACACAAAAATGGAATCAATATAGTAAAAGGTCAAACCTCCAAACATACCAGCAATACAAAGATGCGAGAAACAACTACACGACAGTGAGGAGAGAGACAAAGACACTTTGAAAAAGGGACAGTGGAAAAATGTAAAACAGAACCAGGCCTATTCTATAAATTCATAAACTACAAACTGCAAGTACAGGATAATATTCAGAGGTTGAAAATGGGAAACAGACTGACGGAAAATGAAAAGGAAATGTGTGAAACATTAAACGAAAAGTTCCAAAGGGTGTTTGTATAAAATGAAATCTTCAGGGAACCAGACAATAAGAATTCCAGAGAACAGAGCATATAGGTGTGTTTACAGATGATGTGGAAAAAATGTTCAAGGAGCTAAATAAGAAAGCAGTTGGCCCAGATGGAGTTTCACTATGGGTTCTGAGAGAATGTGTACCCGACCTCAGCATTCCACTTCAACTGATTTTCCAGGCATCCCTGTGTACAGGAGTCATGGCAGATGTGTGAAAAGGGCTAACATAGTTCCAATCTACAAAAGTAACAGGGAAGACCCCCTCAATTATACACCTATATCATTGGCAAGTGTAATCATCAAAATATTGGAAAAAATAATTAAAGCTAATTGGTTAGAACACCTGAGAAAAACTATATAATATCAGATATACATAATAAATGAAGTCATCAACTGTCTACTTTCCTAAACTCTAGTACATATTTAGTGAAATTTATAAGACACTAACAGACAATTTATATTTCCTTAAAGAAAGCCTTTCAAAAACAGCTAATGTTTGTAAAGCCATTTTTAACCCTTAAAAATGGTTAACCAACAAATATTTGTTAAATTCAATTTATAATCTTTGTGTATTTGTAAGTTGTCAAAGGTAATGTCTTTTTCCTCTTGTTTTTACAAGACAGCAGTGAACAAAATGAGATGACAAGATGTGTGACACGATTTAAAAAAAAATGAAAGAAACTTTTAAAAAACAAAGATGAAAAAAGCAGAGGGCATGCAATGAAATTAAAAGCAATGTTAATGCTAACACAAACAATACGTCCTTCCGCAATATAGTGTACTTGCGAATAGAATATGATTTAAAATATACAGATGGGAAAATAGTCTACAATCTTACCAAGATAATCATCCATTAGAGTGCCAATTGCAAACTGAAAGAAAAAAAATTAATACATTATTATATTTAAACACGTATTTGTATAAATGTATGTTTATTGCTCATATTTATTTTCCTAGCCAGTACTGTACTCTATAATCCCTGGGACACTACAAATATCAGCGCACAATGAAACTTTCAATCCTCTTATCGCAACATAATTCAACAAATGGTTATTTTAGCAATGGAGGAAATGAGGAACTTAAAAATAAAATAAGTATAATGCATAAACATAATAGTGTCATCTAAAGTTTTATTGATTCAGTAAAACTGATTCTACCAATTTAATCTGGTTAAAAAGCTGTTTAGATAGCTACATACATCAACACTACTTCCCACTAATGAGGTGTGGGATGCATCAGCTTAGGAAAAAAAAAAAAAAAGGTGAATAGTAGGAATAAAATAAGGTCATAGATCTTTTATTATTCATAATATATAGCATCTTCCACTATATATAAACCCCATTACATTTCAGCAGTCATCCAGAGCAGCACCCCACTGCTTCACAAGACCAGGCATGTAGTACAGTACCCCTCTTGGATTGTCATGTACATAACCCATCATCCTAAATTAATAGTCCTCAGCCTTATCCATTACCATATACCATTCATTGTTCATATTCACTTTCTGCTTACACCACATGTCCCTAGATAAAATCTTTGATGAATTTCATTACTTTGATATCGACCCTTAATATCAAGAGAAATGGAAGAGCAGTCTTCCTGCTCTTGCACTGGCATCGTAAATGATATTTTGGAACTCTAGAATATTTTTCAATGATAGAATACAGCCAAACTAGCTTAATGCTTTTTTATAATTATTTAGGGAAATGCTGTCAATCTCTGGACATTAGATGCTAAAAATATATATAGCTCCTGCACCACTGCATAGAACAAAACCAAAAAGTCCTAGAAATTTGTTGAATATAATGTAGTTCAAAAGTTTGTAGTTTGTATAAGATTCCTTTAATCTTATACAAACCTGTTCAAATAAATATTATATTATTAATACTTCCATGATTCAGTGCAAGTTTCTTATGGAAATCATAGTTTTTTTAATCAGCAAATTTAATGGGTAAACTATACAGTTCAGTCTGCCCAAAAGGTTCCAACAGCAAAGTCAAAACCTCCCTAACACCAGCTGCAGAAAGTAAGAGGCTGTCCCGTTACCCAGACTGTCTGGGTAATGATTACTCAAGTCAAAAGTCAAGACCCGAGAAGGCATAAACTGGGACTCGTCATATTTGTTTTGTTGCACCTAATACTTTTTGGTAAATTTTTCCCAGTTTTGTGGTTGATCTCTGATCTGCTTCCCATGTCTCACCAAGTGAGCCAGAGTCTGGTCCTGGCTTGCGATAGGCAGTGGATGGGGACATCAGGGGCCAAGTGGTACCAGAGTTAAAGCTCAGGAAACTACTGAGAAGTCCCTTCCAGGAAAATGCCACCAAACAATATGAAAACACCACTGAAGAGTACTGACATGCCCTGCTACCATGTCTCATAAATTCAGGTCTTAATGCTCAGTGGTTCCTGCACAAAGAACCATCAACTATATGAATTTTTGGTGACCTTTACTGTCCTTGAATACTAGTCCCTCCAGACACACATGACCAGACATCCAAGAACCAGGACTTTATTTTAGGAGTCTTGCTCAATCCATTAGTATAGATCATAATATTAGTGATAAGCTAGTGAAACTCCATTGGAAATGAGCAATATATGTCAAATGTCTGGAGACTGGCACCAGGGTGTTCAGGGTTTTTGTTTTGAGATACAAAATGGCAGCATTTGGACATTTAACTTAATATCCAACTGGGTACTGCATGAACAGTATTCATTCCAATGTCAGTTTATAGAATTTTTTTTTTTTTAATTCATACCATACATGTCAAAATAAGATAGTGACTATCTTAATTATTTCATCTCGTCATCATGACTGCCCATCTTTTTCCTGGCTTTCCTCTTACCTTCAAATTCACTAAGTTCACTCTTCATCAATCTGTTATTTATTCAACATGCCCAAATTTTATTAGTATACTCTCGTCAATATTATGGTTCATTTACTTTCGAAAGAGTTCCCACACAAGAAGTTGTTCTGGAAACTGGAACATACTGGAGGAGTGGCAGGGAGATTTTTTATATGGATGACAAATTTTCTTACAGAAATGAGGGCAATACTCAGAGGCACTATCAGACTGGAGAAATGTTACTGTTGGCGTACCAGAGGGTTCAGTTCTAGCACCAGTAATGTTCCTTGTCTATATAAACGAGCTACCAGAAGGAATACAGAATTATATGAACATGTTTGCTAATGATGCCAAGGGAGGATAAGAAACTAGACGATTGTCATGCCCTTCAAGATGACCTGGACAAAAGTGTATGGAGCAACATTGGCAGATGGAATTTTATTTGACTAAATGCCATGTTATGGAATGTGGAATAGGAAAAAACAGGCCACACACAATTTACAAATTATGCAAAGAGCTTTAAAGAACTAATAAAGGTGGTGATCTAGGGGTGATTCTGGATAGAAAACTGTCACCTGAGGACCATATTAAGAAACACTGAGGAGCTTATGCTATGCTTTCCAACTTCAGAATTTCTTTTTAAATATATGGATGGTGAAATATTGAAGAAATTGTTTATGACCTTTGCAAGACCAGAATTGGAATAAGCAGTGGTTGTATGGTGTATCTCGAGAAGTGCATCAACTGGAAAAGGTGCAAAGGCATGCTAAGACTTCCAGAAGTTAAAGACAAGAGGCTAGAGGTGTTAAATACTGTATGTCAAAGCTAGACGATAAAAAAAAAAAAAAAAAAAAAAAAAAGAGGCATTATGATCACTACATACAAAATATTAACTGGAACTAGCAAAATTTATTAAAAAGAATTCTTGAAACCTCAAACTTTAAGAACAAGAAGTCAGATTTAACCTGCAAAAATAAAAAATAAAGCTGCTGAAAAAACATCAGAAATTTCACCTCAAGAAACAGTAGTTGACGGTTGGAACAAGTTAAGAGAGAAGGTGGTGGAAGCCATAACCATCAGTAGTGTCAAAATATTATAATAGTAAGTAATAATTAGTAAAATAATAGTTTCAGAGTATTATATGACAGAGTACTAGGATGACTGAAAAGCACTAGCATAGTTCTCATCCTGTAACTACCAAAAGTAATTACACTCGGGTAATTTCTCTATATTTCTCCACGACATTTTCACTCCTAACCGTATTCTCAAAATAACAAGTTTCTCAGATTATTCATATCTAATTCTCTTGTTCAACCACAAATGTCTTGGAACCATATATAAAAGTCAGCACTACCACTACTTCATGCAGCTCTCTAGCTATATTTACCACAATTTCTACATGCACCAGCCATTTTTCTTCCCTGACTGACCTTACTTTCAACTTCAGCTGTACAAATTCCTCCTTTATTACTCACACATCCCAGATATTTACCAATCAATTACTTTCAGCATTTTACCACACACATTTATTTCAAATAATTCTGATCTCTCTCTACCTCCATAAATTAACTTTTGTACACATGTATTTTTCAGTTCTCTTACACAGTAAAATATTCAACAAGTTAGTCCCACAAGTGTTATTACTTACAATATCTGTAGCATCTACTCTGGTACCAACAATCTTCACTCTGATTTCATCATCCTGCTGTATAACTACTTCCTATAAAAAAAAATCCATAATTAATACACTTCTTACAGAATTGAATTTAAGTCAATCTATTTCAATGCCAACTATACTTTTGCTACATTTATATATATTTAACCTGTGACATTTAAGCATTTTGCACACATGATCTATGAACTGAATTTTAATGTTTATAGAATTTTCCTGAGCTATCTTCTCAAGATGGTTATCTTGAGATGATTTCGGGGCTTAACGTCCCCACGGCCCGGTCCTTGACCAGGCCTCCTTTTTTGTTACACAACCCCAGGAAGCAGCCCATAGCAGATGTCTAACTCCCAGGTACCTATTTACTGCTAGGTAAACAGGGGTATGTATCACCGTGAAAGAAACTCTGCCCATTTGTTTTCGCCTCCACCGGGGATCGAACCCGGAACCTCAGGACTATGAATCCGAAGCGCTGTCCACTTAGCTGTCACGCCCTCAGGCCCAGGTGAGCTAAGAAATATTTCAAAACCCAAATGGGCTGACAAGTATTTTCCAATACTGTATTCTGACGTGTTCTTTACATTACATGTATAGAGAGCATTACATCTAAATCTTACTCTTTGCCCTATGTTAGTATATTACTGACCAAGAGAATGTTGGTTTAATACCAGTATGTAGTATGACTTCTCTCAACCTTATTCAAATTTACCCCCTCTACAATACAATTCCTATGAGCATTCTCATACTGTACAATTTTAGCACGGTATATAATAAATGACCAGTGATGTTTGTTATACTATTACAGTATTTCCTGTTACTTAAATCGTACTCAAAGTTGCAAGATAAACATTGAATGCACTGCTCACCACTGCAATCATCATGATACTTACTTTTCAGCTCGTTTGTTAATATCTCTAGTTCCTCGGCAGATGTGGTTGAGATGTCCTTCACAATCTCTTGTACCATCATCAATATTTGCCAGATTGGTCCATTACCAAGAACTTGCATGCAAGTAATATTTACCTCTTAACCGTTTTCTAACAGGAGTATCACAAAAGCTCTAGGATGTACCTTAATATATACTGCATATTTTCACTTTTAAAGTCTTGTGAAGGCTTAGCAATATAGTAATTTATATTTTGGCTTCCTCTGAGTTTAGTCCATTTCTATATACAGTACTCTGCTCATTACTAAACCTAACTATATTTGCAATATATACTGTACTGTATACTTAAATAATATAGAAATAAGCGAGGTGCATTTCTAGGCTCAAATTAGTATCTTTTTGTATTAAATTTCTATTATTCGCCCTACAGGATTCAATTTGTGGAGCAATAAACCTTTATCCGAATAATGCAAGCTGCAACATTCTACTTAACAATACAGAAAAAAACTTACCAATATTTTGTTTTATTATCTTACCTCATCTCTGCTTTTGTAGCATGGAGGGTTAGAGTTTGGGTCAAACTCAAGATCTTGAGGGATGGACTGAGGAGAAAATATTTGTATTTATTTATTATATATATATATCTTTAAATTTATATATACAAGAATTCTTACATTCCAGTACAGCCACTAGCACGAATAGCATTTCGGGCAAGTCCTTAATCCTATTTTTTCCCAGAATATGACCCGCCAAATCATTTAACAACTAGGTACCCATTCACTGTTGGGTGAACGGAGGTTACAGTTAAAGATTGGCGCCAAGTACTGTAAATCCTCCACAGCCAGGATATGAACCCAGGCCAAAGCACTCGCGAAACGCTAGGCGAGTGTTACCATTTTGCCACAGGGACTGTATTTTAACTCATTTAACTCAATTTTGAACTTTTATGTTAGTTTAAGATTAATTCTTAATGCACATTTGTATCTAGATGCTAGCAGAACACTGCTGGTTCTTATTGTAAGCCAATCATGAGGGACCTACACTAATAAACTATACTAGTACCATAAGCCTATGTTCACATATATACTCCCCTACCCCTTCCACCTCCTCTGCAACCAATCCCATCTGTTCCATCCCACCCTCCAATGCCCCTCTCCTCCCCTCCATCCCCAATTTCCCCCCACAACCCCCTTTGTACCTCATCTTCGGTATGACCCCCTCACCTCGTGACCCCTCCAGCCTCTTCCCCCCCCCTCACCTCTCCACTGCCTTCAAACACCCATTCTCTCATGCACTCCCTTCCTGAGGAGCCCCCCCACCTCCCACTTACCCCCCCTCCATTCTTCCCCAAAACCTATACCTGTCCCTAGCACACCCTCTTTCTGACTCCCATCCTCATTCTACCTCTCAGACCCACCTCCCTAATTTCCGAGACCCCATCTGGGCAATTAGCAGAAACCCTGGCACAGGGGTTTCTGCTCCTTCAGTCCTGGTAGTCGGTTTGTTCGCTTGCAGCCGTCTCCTTTTCTGGCGAAGAATGAGATGGCAGCTTTCCAGAGGGGCCCTTGGGTCATTGATGCTTGGTTGGTCAGGCCAGGGGTGCAAGTGTTGGGTCCGGTTGCGGATCTTCGCCATTATTTGCATGCCTCGGCCTCAGTGGCTGGAAATGCTCTTTGGGTTGATCCGGTTTCCCTCATTTCCTGTTCCAGGGCTCTAGTCTCCCAGGTCGTTCGCAGGGTTATTAAGTCTAGCCAGCAAGCGGTTTATCCTCGTGTCCATTATGTTCGCAAGTTTGCTGCTTTGGTTGCCGTCTTTGGCAACACCTCTTGGCCAGACATTCAGGCACGGGGGATTTTGGAGGTCAAACAGGGTTTTGGCCAGTCGTTATCTAGTCAACGTTCCTGGTCCTAGTTAGTGGTGTGTGGCTTTGGGTTACAGGTTGCAACCAGTTATCTGTACTTCGAGTTGAGGAGCGAGTGGCTGCTGCCTCCTGGGCAAGTCCCTCCTTTACTTGTCTTTGGTTAGGATTTCCAGGGTGCTGGAGGGGCTCCCCACAGAAAACCAGCGTTGAATGTAATGAAACGCCATTTTCCGGGTGAGCCCCGGGGGCTCCATGGCATCCTCCCTCCAGTTGGCGGTTTTTCGCTTGGGTTTTGATGATCAGCCTCCGAACTGGAGTTGTTGAGTAGCCTGTGCGGGAAGGTTTGGGGCTCCCCCTCCCAGGGAGAGAAGGGCTACGTGTACAAGCGGCACGGCAGCAGAGTGTGACATTTCTTTAAGTAGGGGGAGCTCTGCCTCAATTTGGTCTTTGTTGCAATTTTCTTACCATGTGGGGTCTTTTGTTATGCCTACCTTTCTGGGTGCCAACCCCCAGTCAATGGCAGTTACTATAAGCACTAACAAGAGGATGGGCTGCTATATCTGATATGAGAATGAGAAAAAGTACTAAAACAAGTACAGTACCATGGGGGACTTGAGCTTTTCCTGGTGGATGGTCTTGATTTTACTTTCAATTTCTCTTTAGGGTCTGTTTATTAGGAAATTAAAAATTCATCTATTTTGTCAGTAATTCCTCTTATGTTGGGTGCATTTTGTGTGCAATAACACTATCACATTTGTCAAAAGCATTTGTGAAATGTGTGTACATTACATCTGAATTTTACTTTCCTTCCATGGCATCTTTAGTCGTGTCATAGTGGTCTGGTAATTGTAGGGCAGGAGCATTCTGCTCTGAACCTATGTTGTCCAGGGTTATGTAGGGGTTGTGGCTCCATGTGTTCTGTAAATTTACTACTTAGCACTGCTTGTAAATCAATGCTTTTTACTGATAATTGATATAGATACAGAAATTTCACATTATGGCTCATTAAATTCAAGTGGTCAGATTATCAAAAATTAAAATATCTAGGTTACTTACATGTCTTGAGATAAAACACTGCATGGGTCCAATTTCACAGAAGAGACCAATTTTGTTTATCTGTGTAACAACAGCATCGAGGACTTCTCCTTTAAATGGGCGGAAGACAATGGCTTTATACTGAAAATATAAGAAACTACATTACACACAGAAATCACAATAGCGTGATATATCAAATGAACAAAGGTTTGGTAAAAATCCTGGTTTGTGTCTCGGAGAGGCTGCAGGATCCAAGTAAATTCAGTAGAATTTCTGGTTGCAATTCTTATACCATGTCGTAGCTCAGTCGATTAAGGCAGCGTCTGGGATGTTCTCGGATGCAGGTTCGAATCCTCATTACGGTTCTTGTAGATTTGTTTATAAGAAACTACTTTCACATGATCTTCATATTTACTTTAAGTTCCATTGCACACTTAAAACCAAATAAAATAGGCAAGGTTTTGCCTATTTTTTTTTGCTTTTTATGTATATTTTTTATGTATAATTTTATGTATAACTTTTTATGTATAATTTCCTGACATAGTTACCTTACTATACTGTACCAAGAGTTATACTAATGACATTGAATACTAAAAATGGCCAAAATAATAAACAGATGATAGTCACAATAACGTGGTTGAAGATATCATGACCAAACCACACAATAGAAAATGAAGAAATGACGACGTTTCGGTTCATCCAGGACCATAATCAAGTTGTGAAACAGAGTGGAAGAGACAAGCATAGAAAGCATGAAAGTGACATACAAGGTGAGGACCATGTAAGAAAAGAATACAAGAAAATAATAAGAGAAAGGGAAAATAGGAGAATAGGGTACAGTCAATGAAAGGCAAGCTCTAAGGAAAAAAGAATAGGAAAATGTATATAAAATATATGAAAGTTAGAAAAACCAGAAGATAAAGAAAACTTCAAGAGGCCAAATGGCAAAGAGAAAAAGAAAACCTATTAACATAAGAGACAGAAAGGAAAGAGCCTAGTGTGGGCAAAGCTTAAGTCAGGTCATGTTTATTAAGAAGATTAGAACATTTAAGTATGTACTGTGAAAGGGAAGTACTTTCTTCTGTACATGACAGAAGAAAGTTATCCCTATCTGAAATACCCAATAATTTGGATGTAGTGTACAAGGGGCTAGTCGAGGAAATAAGTTACACACTGTAAATTTACATTTATTTCCATTCTACTAAGAATTTTTAAATTATGGAATTAAAAGAATACAGTAATAATAAAATGAAGTGATTAACACTAACCTACCTATTAGGGTTAACCTACCTTAATTGGGTACAGAACAAATCCTCGGCCAGCTTGAATCATACCAGATCCAATGTGATCAATTGTTGTTACAGCAATGACAAATCCATACCTGACAAAAACCAAGAATTGAATGTAATGAAATGCCCTTTTCTGACTGGCCATCAATGGCTCTCTGAGCTAAACGATGGTACAGTACATCCAAGCCTTAGGAAGATGCACCAGGTCTGAGACCTAGCCTTGCCAACTAGCAGCCAGGACCAGAATCTGACTCTCTCAATGAAGCGAGATTAGCCTAGAGATCACAGATCAACTGAAAATGGAGAAAGAACCAGCACTGAATGTAATAAAATGCCTCTTTCTGGACGAGCTCTGGTGGCTCCCGGAAGCCATCTCACCGAGATGGCTCCCGACTACAGTACAGTACTAGGTCACATCAGCCACATAGTTATGTCTGGCCTACAAGGGGACTAAAGCCAGAACCTGGCCCTGGTTCACCGAGGCAGAGAGAGCAAGTGACACTGTCATCCCACCGGGAAAGCATCCAGAAAGTCGGTGAACCAAAACATACTACTGCTGGATTTGAAGAGACTGAAGCCTCAAAACTGCCAAATGAACTCTCCAAAAATGTAAACAAATACCAGAAGACAAGGGACCAGGCCAAAGGGGCACCAGCAGGTGCCAAATAGCAATGTGCAACAAGCTCAGTGGAGCACAGGTACACCCCAAGCAGAGTCAAAGGCAAACAACCAGGTGAATCTCCCAACTCAAGCCACGAACCCAAAGACGAGTTACGGAGAAAATACTGAAAAGCAACTAAAGCAGCAAGGAAGTGAGGATAGATCACTGTAGACCAATGGCTGGTTAAAGCTAAAATCTCGCAGAAGAATGCCAGGAAACCAATGAGATGAATATATGGTCCAACACCTAGACTTTCAAGGCAGAGCCCAGGTAACCAGTCAACAACAACAACAAGCAAAATGTAGACGAGACTAAACCCAGAAAGAAAGGTAAGGGAGCCAAAATGCAACACCCTGGGGGAAGAGGTGCCTGCCTTTTGCTGCCAGCAGCTCATCTATCATCAAAACCTCGAAAGGCACATGCCAAATCCCAACCAAACCCAAACCAAAAGGAAAAACCAGAAAGCCAGAGAAAACTGCAAAATATATCTTTGAGATATATATACAGTACAAGAGTTGTTACATTCTTGTACAGCCACTAGTACGCGTAGCGTTTCGGGCAGGTCTTTGGAATACGATCCCCGCCGCGAAGAATTGTTGTTACAACCAAGTACACATTTAACTGTTGCGTTAAACAGAGGCTACAGTTAAGGATTTGCGCCCAGTAAATCCTCCCCGGCCAGGATACGAACCCATGACAAAGCGCTCGCGGAACGCCAGGCTGACTGAAGAATATATAGCTACAGGACACAAGAGCACCCTCGATAAATTTGCAAATCAACACAGGAGCAGGGCCAGGCATAATCACAACACAAATACACCACCAACTACTACACTTATCAACAGGCCTTAGTAGTGGACAACAGGTCTTTTGTATCGTTCAAGTCGATTCCTCTTTAGTTACCTTACAGACAAGGAACCCCACTAAGTATCTCTGGTGGGGCAAGGGACATGCATGCAGACAACAGAGAATAGAAATCTTGAGCCACGGTCTGAGCAAAATACAATGCTAGGGCAAATGCACTCTTGAGTGACAAAGCACAATAATGAATAAGAAAGAAAACTATAACAAAGCAATGGCCATGAGCAGAACTGATGTTCCAGGGAGAACACCACCTAGTTTAAACATGACGTACAAGATCCACCCCCCATCAGAGGAACAATTCATCCTATATTGTGATCAAGCAAGTGAGTGAGGAGGATATGCAACTGGAACTTTAGGTGACCTGGGCTGCCATCTGGTGGTGGTCAGGCACCACAGTTATTTACCCTGCAACAGCAATGTTTCCCTCATTATGTCTGAACACTGAATTTTCTTTAAGCCTTTGCTCAAGTTGCACTTAAGTTTCTAAGGAGTTTTTCTTAGTTTTGGGTTGATATCTGATCCCATGCTCCCCCTGATCTTGCATAGAGCCAGATTCTAATCCTGGATTCAAGTGGGCAAAAATGGGTCTCAGACCTGGTATGCATATCTAGGGTTTGGATGGACCAGTGCTTAGGTCAGGAAGCTAATGAGGGACTTCTCCCAAAAGCCAAATTCCATAAGAAATGGATATTGAAATAAATACTTGGCCTGAGCAGTATAAGCAAATTGTCACAAATACACACAGTGTACAAGTACACAAGTACTGTACTGTATATACACATTACAGTCAGTGCAAGTCAGTCACTTATGGCTGACTGGATTTGAGCTTTTAAGTAATGTTGATGTCTTTAAATAAAACAACTGCAAACAAATGCCAAATTGATAATTCAATCACACGAGGACAATGTACTATAAAAAAAAAAAAAAAAAAAGTATTAGATTAACCCTTATATACCCTTAGCCCTTTCACTAGAGTACATGCTGGATGGTTTCATTCTCACCGAAGATAAAAATGTAAAGCTATTAATACCGTTGTTCCCATTTTTTTATTGCATTTCGAGTATAGTAATGTATCTGGGATGATTTTGTTCCAAGAGAAAATATGTTAAAACTAAATTTCTTAACATTATGCATTACATTTTTCAGCAAGAAAAGCATAAAATGTAATGTGACACCCTCTTCTGGTGGGACCCCAGCAGCTCTATACAAGATTATATACAACATGGTAATTCTTACTTTCCGGTACACGTGCCCTCCACCTCTGTGAAGAGCATCTGCCGGACTGTGTCCATCAGTTGTGGACCAAAGTATCTGGGGTGTAGCAGAATCTCGTGCTCAAGAGAAATCTGTGCAAATGGAAAAAATTAGTTATGTTGAACTTAAATACAGTAAAGTAATGCAGGGGTTCTCAAACTGGGATATGCATACCCTGGATACTCTCTAGTGTGTTTAGGTTTCAAGGCTGCTCGAGTGTAAGTGTGGGTAATTAATTTGACTGGCAGACAAGATACAAGTCCATAATATTTATATTTACTAGTATGCTCAACCTCAAAATGGCAATTTAAGTTATACAGTATTTCTTTAGTACTGTACTGCCACTTTTTTGCAATTAAACACGTTTTTCATACACATTGGTAACAAAATATTTTAAAGCCATGTTAAATCTTCCACATCCTGCTTCAGTGTTCCCATTTTTTTTTTTTTTTATACACTAGGCGAGTACGGCAATAAACAACCTTTGACTTTTAAGCAGGGTTGGAGCTTTCCAATACCATAGCCAAGCCTTACCCTACTACTGTAGTCTTCCCTGAATCATGATCTACCAATCTGCTTACAACCAAGTTATCAATTACTGCTGGGCAAACAAGGGAATGGAGTCAAGGATTGGAGCCTTGTCAATCTTCCCTGTACAGGATTCGAACCCTTACAAAATCATTCACAATGTGTGGGGCGAGTAAGCTACCACTATACACACTTATTTTCACTTAAAAGTTAGGGCAAAAACCCAAGTAAATTTTCTGCAAAACCAATGGTAACGTTCTCTTAAGTACGAAGCAGAAACAGGACCGAGATAAACAAATCCACAAGGGCCGTGACGAGGGTTCAAACCTATGTCCGAGAGGATCCCAGATGCTGCCCTAATCGACTGAACTACGACATGGTAAAAGAATTGCAACCGGGAAATCATCCCGTTTTCCCAACGGTTCCTGCAGTCTCTCCGAGACAAACCAGGGTTTTATGCGATTCCCCCATGCATAGCTATGTCAAGCTTGACATAGCTCGAGTGCATGGAGAAATTGCGTAAAACCCTGGTTTGTGTCCGAGAGACTGCAAGAACCATTGGTAAATCAGGATGATTTCCCGGTTGCAATTCTTTTACTATGTCGTAGTTAAGTCAATTAAGGCAGCATCTGGGATCCTCTCGGACATAGGTTCGAACCCTCGTCACGGCCCTTGTGGATTTGTTCATTTGATGCATCATGCTATTGTGATTTCTGTGTGTAAAGACCGAGATTCTCTAGTGTTAGAACTGGACACGAACAAAGGTCAGTGTCAAACAATACCGAGGTATTTGTGTGCTCATTCATATCATATGGTCAAGAATAGGTTTCTCAGATAAAGGATTACTGACCACTTTTTGCCCAATCTGTAAACCTAATTCCTGTGGACAGCCATAATTGGGGTATTTATAGGGCCAGGTTAACCTGTAACGAAGCGATATTTCTACTAAAGGGAGGCTATCTTCCATATAATAATCATCCTTTTTAACATTAAACAAAAAAATTCTTTATTGCCCACCCTTGTTCTAGTGTATATTTCATGGTTATTCTAGGGTATACGGTCCGAGTTTTCTCTAACAGACAAACCTTGAAACACAAAGTACTAGAAAGAGTATCAGGAGTATGCATACCCCAGTTTGAGACTTTAGTAGTCATTATAATATAATTTACTGAAAAAAAAATAAGAGAAATACAGTAATACTTTATCCTAAAGTTGCCAGTTATTGGCCATCCCCAGCAAAAAATCATCTAATTAAAACAGAATCAACAGAACAAAACAGAAGTGTGGATTAAAAGAGAATCAAAAGCATTTAAAAAACTACTAAGGACTGTATACTGTAAAGCACACATTTAAATATGCAAATATAAAATTGTATACATAAAATTAAACAATTTGCATACAGAATTTTATGGCATCATTTCAAAGAAAACCGACAGTTCCAGATTTTCATAAAGATGATTCCAAGGGACTCAACGTGCGTAGACTGGCCAACCTTACACACAGTGGCTCAACAGTTTCTAGTCTTTATTAGACCTTCACATGTATATGGAATACTATGCTCTTCAACTGAGCATCACATGCCGATTTTATGCCTTTATGTTCCCTTTCTTGTACAGTAATATGGTAACTAAATTTGCATTTTTCCAGATTTTAGAGTAGATGTCACCCCCCCCCCCCCTTTTTTTTTAACCAATTGGGGTCTATCTCATTTATCATACATTCACAACATGAATATTTCAGTATTATACACTACAGTACTTCCATCAAGAAAGTGCAAAAGATATATGAAAGCCATGTCCATGGAAAGCTTTTTTTTTTTTTTTTTTATAAATTGCAACATATACAAGACCTTACCTAACCTAATTTATTATCTATCTTAGAAATTCTAGGCCTAATATAGTACATACATGTTCTACACTAGGCAGAGAAATATTGAAGTTTGGTTTTTTAGCTCACTCCCCCACTTAGACTAAAAAAATGAATAGTAAAAAATGTTTAATGGTGATCCAGCACTTCATATTGGTACTATCGATCAAATCGTTACTTTAAGTACACTATCATTTCAGGAGGATGGGCTGGTTAGTGAGGTAGTAATCCTGGGACAAAATGCTTTGTCCACCACTATGTTAAAAGGATAAAATTAACTTTGCATCAAACTCTTCACCAAAGAATTTCAAGACCTATCTTACGCAGCCTAACTCAACTCACCCAATGTAACATAAAGAGATACGGTACTCTGTTTTAATCCTTAGAAAGTGAGCAATGTCAAAATGACTGTCTTAGACTTAGGAAAAAAAATGACTGTGGCAAGTTGGGTATCCACGGTTAGCCAAACCTAATCTCACATTAAACAGAAATTACAAGCAAAAAAATATAACAAAGATGTTTGGTATTCACTGCAGACTGATTACATTTACAATAGGCTACCTTGCTATTTAAACTGGTACTGTATTACTTTAAAATCTCATGCAGGAAAAAAAAAAAAAAAAGTTTAGTGTCTTAAGATGTTCTTTACAAGCTACAGCATTTCTCAATAATTTGCCGCAACAGTGGTACAGCACATTGCCACACTGGCCTAAATATCATGTGTTCACAATCCTTAGCTTGGGTAAGAGTCATATATTCTTATTAAAGTCTACAACAAAGGTGCTTGCCTCTAATTAAATACAGAACTACAAGAAATACAGAAATTGTGCTCTGCGGCCACTATTCATCAGCACTCAAGCCACAGGCAGTTTGTAACTAAAAATCTCGCAAATCCTGAATGGTCCCCAGGACTATATGCAATTATTATATACATACATATATATATATTTTAAATTCTATCTTAACTTAACACATGACAACGCATGATACATGCTGTATATAGAGCATAAACCCGTCAGGAAACAGGAAATATTAAAATTTTAAAGTTGAGCATTTAGGTGAGGAAGAGTCAGGACAACTCGCCCTCCTGAAGGAGGCGGCACAAGTTAAAGTGTTCTTATATTAACCAGAAGACAACGCTGGCCGCCCACACCACCACCCCCCTGGCCGCCCACATGCGGGGCGCCCACCCTCCAGGCAACACCGTGCAGGGAGACAACATACATGGTAAAACATGGTTGTGGTAGCCGCCTGCTCTGGTGCTGGCCGCCAGTGTCCTCACCTCCCTGTGCTCTCACGGGTTGAGCTCCAGCTCACCACCTCCCTTCGCATGCACATCAATGGGCGTTCCTTAAGCTCCATTGAAATTATATGATATGATGTTTCTTTCTAAATGGAAATTTTGTTGATAAAATATAAAATTACTGTATTTTTTTAATACATGTGCGCATTCTAATTGCTAACTTATTCAAAGTTAAACTGCTAACATATCTTGAAGTCTATAAAACAAGAATTGCGTATCTATATAAAATAACATCAATGAAATATAAAATAATGCAATAAATGTCTACAGATGTGTTTTAAACATGTTTTCAAGTATTTTAGATGTTTTAAAAGGTGCTTTTGTTGTTGTTGTCTGGTGTGAGGTCACTTCGTAACAAGTCGCTGAGGCTCTCATCTGTCTGCTCTTTGATGATGCGACGATGTACATTGAATTTTGTGACTAGCTCATCAAGATCATAACTTCCTTAGCTAAATGATTTGTGAGGTTCAGTCCCTAAGCCCACTATGTGCCTCTGTAACACTTTCCACTGCCGCCCACAAGATGGGTATGGGGTGCATAATAAATGTACTAAAATAACTGCTATGCAGACATTTGAGCCATTGCAAACAGTGACAACCGGCTGCAGACTCTCCTTGATACACTTGCAAATAAATGTATTGAATGTGGGCTTATAGTCTCCACAGGTAAAACTAGGACTTAATTTATGCCCCCCCCCCAATAAAAAAATCATGATCAACGCATTGAAAACTGCGAGCAATACAAGTACCTCGGTGTGACTATTAATAGTTACATTATAAGTGAACTACAGTTTAAGCTTAAAGAAAGGCTAAGTCCTCATAAAACGCTTGCTGGAAAGCACATTGGTATTAATGCCAGAAATGTTATGCAATATTAATGTTGCCTGACACGCTATGCGTGCTAGTGGCTTTACAAGAATGTAAAAACATCAATGCTATGCACTCTTATAAACCCAATGTACCTTCTTGTATATATATAAATAAATAAATAAATGTCAAATATGCTAGAACGCTCTACATGATGTTCATCAGGTCACTAGTCGACCACCACCATGCCCTGTACCTTATTAGTCTCCCTAGCAATAGGCTGAAAGCTTTAGAGAAAATTCAAAATGAAGCCACGGGGATAATTCTTGGAGCCCCAGATGCACAAGAATCGTCAGCATGAGGGAGGAGCTGAAACACCCAATCATATGTGAAAGAATTGAGCAGCTCAGTACTACCTCCCGTGTAAGTAAGGGTGAGGAGAGATCCAACATCACCCTTACTACTTAGAGAAAAACTGACTAGAGCTATTTGTAGGTGGGAGAGTGTTGTCAACGCACCAGCGGGCAACCTATATGCAAGCTGGTTGAGTAGAAGTGTTGCCAATCTCATTAAACTGACTATTCCGATTGTATGCAACGTACTAGCCAATGATATTTCATTATATCTGTACCATGCAATACAAGTATCTTACACGCCCATCAGCAAAAAGACCAAGGAACACCCAGCACTCCTGAAAGCAACAACACGTGAACCCATTGATTCCTTTATAAATATCTCACGAGCACTATGGGATGGATCTGTTCAAATGTCAACAGGTCGCACTGCAGCAGCCTGTAGACTATACAAAGACAACATATGTACACAGACCACAAGTGTGAAACTGATTTAACTGGCTTAGCTCCATAGCTAGAGGCCTAGCTCGCGGCTGAGTGGACAGCACTCTGGATACGTAGACTCCCCTGTGGACCAGGGATCGATCCCCTGGCGATTTCGGAAACAAATGGGCAGTTACTTTCACCCTGATGTCTCTGTTACTTAGCAGTAAATAGGTACACCCATTGTTCCTCGCCGGTGCCGGGAATCGAACCCGGGCCAAAAGATTACTAGTCCTGCGTACTGTCCACTCAGCTACCAGCGCCCCTTGTGTGTGTACTCACCTATTTGTACCTGCAGGATCGAGCATTGACTCTTAGATCCAGTGTGTGTGTGTGTGAAAAATCCATTGATTGATTGATTGACAGTTTAGAGGCGGGCCGAAAGAGCCAGAGCTCAAACCCCCCAAGCACAAATAGGTGATTACGCTTGGCCTCGCGGCTGAGTAGACAACGTTTGGGGGTCGTAGTCCTAATGGCCCGGGATCGATTCCTGGCAGAGGTGGAAACAAATAGGCAGAGTTTATTTCACCCTGATGCACCTGTTCAATATCAAACTCTAGCCCCAGACAACACTCGATGTACCCTTACTTAAATCTGTGAATATGTTAGATATTAAGTCACTGCACATCCTCTCATGTGTACTCTATATATTTAAAACTCTGAACTGTGATGTCAATCCTGGCCCTAAATGCTTCCTAGAAGGTTGTAACAGAACCCATGGGCACCACACCACACCAGAAACAAATACCTATTTAATATTCCAAGAATGCGCCTTAACCAAACTAGAAATGTTCAACAAATCAAGGGACCCAGCACACCATTATCACACAGCACTGCTTTTGTGCCAGGTAAGTCCACTACGGGCTCACCATAGCCCGTGCTACTTGGAACTTGTTCCGAGTAGCTGAATCTATAACAACAAGGGACCCAGAATGTGGAATGACCTTCCCAATCATGTCAAAGGCTGTACCTCTCTCAACCAGTTTAAGAGGAAAACTAAGTTCTACCTAATAAACTCCACGTAACCTGCCTTACCCCCCCTAAATGTCAACCCATGTCTTGTTATTTTCAAACAATACTGTTTGTTGAGCAAGTTGTAAAATGACTGATTTCTGCCATGTCCCCGCCCTTTTTTTCTTTTCCTACACAATTTATACGTTAATCTTAAAGGTAATAAAGCTTTAAAGGTAATTAAGCTTTAGTCTAAGTGTTTTTCCCCATACCTTGCATGGTATTGTATGTACTAGCTCTATCTAGAAATCCAACATTATGTTTGTAACTCATCATCTATGTATGTACGTACTGTTACCTGATTGATGATTGATGAAGATTAAGCCACCCAAAAGGTGGCACGGGAATGAATAGCCCGTAAGTGGTGGCCCTTTTGAGCCATTACCAGTATCAAGAGCTATTACTATATTATATATAGTAATAGCTATATATATTATATATATAGCTATATATATTATATATATAGCTATATATATTACTGGAGATCTGTGGAGGTGCGACTGCACCCTGCGTGACGGGAGATGTCTCCCGTGTTAATGTGTTAAGATGAAGATGAAGCCACCCAAAAGGTGGCACGGGTATGAATAGCCCGTAAATGGTGGCCCTTTTGAGTCATCACCATTATCAATAGATGATACTGGAGATCTGTGGAGGTGCGACTGCACCCTGCGTGACAGGAGATGTCTCCCGTGTTAATGTGTTAAGATGAAGATGTAGCCACCCAAAAGGTGGCACGGGCATGAATAGCTCGTAACTGGTGGCCTTTTTGAGCCATTAACAGTATCAATAGATGATACTGGAGATCTGTGGAGGTGCAACTGCATCCTGCGTGACGGGATGCAGTTGCACTGTTACCTGAATTTTTACCTGAAACGCCATGCGTTTTAGTGATTGAGGTATTTGTATGTACTAGCTCTGTCTATAAATAATCAGAATGTTTGTAACTGCATCTATGTATGTACTTTTCCTAAATAAAATATTATTATTAAAATTATTATTATTATGAATAAACATTTTGATTTTGATACTTTTGGTGCGCAAACACATCCAAAATACGAAATATATATTTTTACAGAGGTAATATATGAACGAAACGAGGAGTGTGCGTGTGCGCGTGAGCGGTGTGTACGAAGGGCGGGCCTCCTTCCTTCACTGTGGCCGCCAGACACGCGCGGGTGAGTGCCAGCTGCTGTTCTCCTCATCTCTTATTATCCTCACCATCCGCGCCCTCCTGCATCTCACATCTCGGTCTTTCCATTCCTTGCATCCTGCCGCATCTCACTGCACCTTATTGTGGGTTTACGGTGCAGTTTGGTATATATTTAGTCACATATACAGAATTGTAAACATTGGCAGCCTGAGTGAGGCCTGTAGCAGTGTGTGTGGCGGTTTATTTATTTATTTATATATATACAAGAAGGTACATTGGGATTGTGAGGATACATAGTAATAACATTCTTGTAAAGCCACTAGTACGCGCAGCGTTCCGGGCAGAATTTGGTTTGTGTTCTTTTTATAATAAGTGATTGTGTTTATAGGGCTCCTTAGAATTAACCAAAGCCTCCTTATATTACGTAAATAATGAATAAATCATAATAGTTGTTTACAATAATGTTGGTGCTAATTCTAGAACATGGAAAAGAAAACAATTTTACTCGCGTGGGAGTGTCTATACAAGACTGTCGCCCACCACCAATTTCGGCCTCATTTCGTAATATTTCTTAGTGGAAAATTTAGTCACGTTCTACATTTTGCACCAACGTTATAATAAGTTATATTTCCTCTTTTCCATAATTTGGATAATTAGATGGATCGTTTCACAGTATAATTAGTTTGAGACCTGGTTGATACATGGTTGATGGGGTTCTGAGAGTTCTACTCCCCAAGCCCGGCCCGAGGCCACTAACAGGATTTATCTATAGGGATGTGATAATTTTAGACTGCTTTGTAACTGATTTTTTTTTTGAGGGGGGAGGGTGGATAGATTTTGGTCTAATGTATGCTGTAGGTTCAGTTTTGTTACCATAATACCTTGCCGGTTTTGCCACTTTAGGTATGGCATTGTAATCTCGTACAGGGCATTTGGCATGTAGGCATTAGTTTCATATTGTCAGGAACAGGAAACCAGTTAGGGTTTTTAAGGTGCCTCAGGACCAGCTTTCCTCAAATGCCAGTGTATGCGTTGCCCCTAAGACTTCATTGTGTGTGAATTCCACAGTTGATGTAGTGTGCGTGTTCCGAGGGTGCTCGTGTGCATGTGCGTTCAGTGGTTGCTCCTACTGTAGTGTTTTCGTTTGAATTTGGCAATACTGAAATCAGTTACTGAAATTATTCCTAAATTCATTGCAAATCTGCCTGTTGCATTCCATATTTCTTTACCGATTCTGTGCCAGCTCATTAAATTGTACACACTTTGAGGTTTTCGTGTTACAATCTCGACGGTGCTTGTTCCCTCACTCGTGCTATATAGTAGTAATGGCTTGGCGCTTTCCCCTGATAATCCTCCCTCCCTGACTAGTAGTCATGAATGTTCTGTTTTCTGGTCGGACAGTACTTGTGCTTTCTCCCAAAACCCTGGCAACACAATGTGGTTTTTCGGCTTCGCAACCATTTTCACAAAGTTCAGTGACTTGAGCTTTTCTTTACCTTGTAGTGTGCTTTGCTTCCTCATAGCACCCCTCACATTGATTGCAGCTGCTACCTTTTCTGTCCTACCTTTCTTTTCAGTAACCGAGTTGCTCTATATACAGTAGTTTCACACGAGGCAATTTCATGGGGTCTGGGCACAATACGTAGGCTGTCAGGTGGTAAAAAATAATTAAAGAACAAATATTGTTACACAATAGCACTGCCATTCAGAACTGGAGAAATTGCTGAGCAGAATGTACAAAGAAAGGTCTTTTGTTGCCCGAGTCTACTCGATAGAACATCTGAAGTATTAGGACTTTAAAATGTTTAAATCTGCATTCTTTAGTGCAGCCAAGAGATAATAGTACACTGAAAATATTGGAGGCTGGTTCCAAATCTGCATGGAAATAAGTAAAGACCAGGAGTCTTTAATTATTTTAAAGTCTGTTCTTAGTCCCGAGTCTTTTCAATAGTCCCCATTGAAAAGTAAAAGTTCAGGAGTTAAGTTGAGAGAGAATTCTATCAACATAAAGTGCCCAAGACTTCAATACTCCCTCTAAACATAAGGGGCATTACTAGCCAACCTTTCATGGTGTTCAAATGATAACTTGATAAGACACCTCCAGCAAATACCTGCTCATCTGGGCCTGGATTCACGAAGCAGTTACGCAAGTACTTACGAACGGGTATGTCTTTCCGCAATCTTTGACGGCTTTGGTTACATTTATTAAACAGTTTACAAGCATGAAAACTTTCCAATCAACTGTTTTTATTGCTATAAACAGCCTCTTGGTGCTTCCGAGCTCATTAACTGTTTAATAATTGTAAACAAAGCCTCCAAAGATTGAGAAAAGATGTACAGGTTCATAAGTGTTTGCGTTACTGCTTCATGAATCTGGTCCCAGGGTTGACTCAGGCTACAGGCAGTTGCATTGAACAGCCTGGTTGGCCAGTCCACCAACCAGGAGGCCTGGTCAGATCGGTCCGTGAGGATATTGGTACTCTAAACCAATGAAAGGTAATGATACTGGAACCACCCATATGCAGTACAGTACCTTGTTCAAAAATTCCTGTGAAGAATATGCCTCTGTAAACCTGTGCAGTGCAGCAAATGTCAATTTTCTCATCTCATGTTTATGACAAGTGACATAGTACATGAGGGATCTGTAGGCTGTATGAAAGGGAAATTTTACTTTATTACCCCACAAACTGATATATATGATACTATATTCTAAGAAATAATTTCCAAGTTAACTATTTATAATAGATTCCTCATCATTAAAATCTTCATTTCAAACAGGTCTTGAAATTTGGCATGTCTTTAATGGTTTCTATCATGGGGTATCAGTCAGTGGATTGGGATGCACCAGATATGGTTCCCATCTTTTTACTTAGGGGGGGGGGGCATGTTTCCCAATGTGGCAGTCCATATAGAATCGGTGAGACTTCTTAGCATTACAGGGCACATCTAGGCTTCCACAGGTGATTGGCACTCTGGCTGGCCCTTGTCACTTCAGGGTGACAGGAGCAGTTTACAAGTTAATGTTCATGATATCATTTGTATTGAGAGATGCTGGGTATAGTGACTGGGAAGACTTCACTAGATGGGCTATAATTAAAACACAGTACTGTAGAGTACAGCCTGCTGCATTTGTATTTTGACATTAATGGTAATGGTTAGCAGAAATTATATGCTTTAAACATCATCTATACTATAAACATCTATACTGTTTTATTTCACTATTCTTCATTATGTTTCCAGGGTGAAAAGACTAAAAAATGGCGAAGTCAAAGAATCATACCAATCACAATCAGAACCGCAAGGCTCACCGGTAAGTACTTTTAGTTTATTAGTTGTTCCCTTTTTCACAATTTCTTTTGTATGGATGATTAAGCTTTCCATTACAGCATAATTTTATAGTTAAACCTAACATAGCAATTGTCAAACCTAACCTAACTTGGTAATTCATGTTCTGAATATACTGTAATATAATATTAATTGGAATAAACCCATTTGGAAAGAAATATTTGAGAACAAAAAATCAGCGCTTGTTAGGCAAATTGGGTCTTGCATAATAGGCCAAGTAGTGTGGTTTTCATTACTACCCATGATTTTGTATGTACTTGTCTAATTGTGCTTGAGGGTATTTAGCTTCAGCACTTTGATCCTGTCTCGACTGTCAATCAACTGGTGTACAGTTTAGAGTCTATTGGGCTCTTATATCTACATTTGAAACTGTGTATGGAGGCCACATCACTGCCTAATACATTCCATTTACTAACTACTACGTTAAACTGTTCTACGAGTTTTTCTCACAATCTTCTCCATTCCCTTACATGATATGCAAGTTTGGGCCACTTGCCTGTAGTTCAGTGTTTCCTGTCTGTCTCCCTTTTTGTATATCAGGACTACAATAGCAGTCTTCCAAATTTTTTAGTTCTCCTGTTACCAGTGACTTGATATACACCATTGAGAATGGTAGTATCCTCTTAGTATCCGTGGTGAAATTCCATCTGGTCCTACAGCCTTTGCCTTATCAAATTCAAGCAAATGCTTCTTTACCACCCCACTGGTAATCTCTTAACTCCTCCAGTGGTTAGATATTCATTTTATAGTTTAGGAACCTCTCCTTGCTCTATTGTGAATACTACTTGAAATTTCTTATTGTATTCATCACACGCCTCCTTTTGTGTGTAATTACCCAAGTGTAGTTAACGGATGAGAGCTACGCTCGTGGTGTCCCATCTACCCAATTCTCTTTGTCGTTTTAACACTTTGAAACTACTGACGGTTTTGGCCTCCACCACCACCTCGCATATTTTGTTCCAACCCTTTACCACTATTTGCAAAAGTGAACCACCCTTGATGGGGTGGTTCTCCGGCCACAACCATGGCGGTCTCTGGGCTTGGAATCCCTGTGCCTTCTTTCACTAACTTTGAGGTCGCTGGAACCAATCGCATTGGTGTTTGCCTTTCTATTAGAGACTTTCGGCACTGTATAGAGGGGGGAGGGGGACCTGCTGCATGGGTAACAGCTTCTCCTCCGTATCAACCTACCCTGGCTTTGCGCCTTGGAGAGACCACTCCGGACCGACAACCAGAGCGTAATTCCATAATCTCCCGAGACTGATGAGTGCCTACTACTACAATTGTCTGCGTCTATCTTCCCCAGTATCTTACCATCATCCACAACCGTGTTCATATAATTCTGTATTTCCTCTGGTAAATCGTTTATGTAGTCTATGAACATTTCTGGTGCAAGAGCTAAACCTTTTGGTACTCCGCTAGTAACACTCCTCCAGTTAGAGACATTGTATCTGATTATTGCCCTCATCTGTCTGTTGGTTAGGAAATTTTTCATCCATGTCAGAAGTCTCCCTGTCACCCCTCCAGCATGTTCCAGTTTCCAGAACAGCCTCTTGTGTGGGACTATCAAAAGCCTTTTTAGGTCTTGATTAACAGCCAACCCAACTGCCTCTTTCTTGTAGTGTATCTGTGGCTCTTATCATAAAAGCCAAGGAGATTTGTTACACAGGATCTTCCTGTTCGAAAATCATACTGTCTGTCTGTGCTATTTTGGCATTACTGTACTCTTGTGTTGTGTTGTCATTTGGCTTTACTATTTTTTCTATTTTTTTAACTACCACACTTGTTAATGACACAGGGTCTACAATTTAGAGGTTCCTCTACTACATACCATTTTATAAATTGGTACTATGTTTACATTTTTCCATATATCTGCTAAGATTTCTGTGCACAAGGATGTCTGGAATATTAATTGGAGTGGAATGCTTAGCTCAGTTGCACATTCTTGCAGCACCCAAGGTGAAATTCCATCAGGTCCAACTGCTTTTCTTCCTAGCCCCATCAGTAATTTTTCCACTTTGTTTTGCGGTAACTCCGTGTATTTTATGGTTTGTTCTGGAATTGGTATTTGGTCTGGCTCTGAAATTTTAATTTTGCTCAAACACACCTTGGAACTGTTCATTTAGCATTTCACACATTTCGTTTTCATTCTTAGTATTCCTGTTCGGTTCTCAATCTCTCTTTTATTTTTTATATGCAGCTTGCTTTTAATGAATTTATAGAATAGGCCTGGATCTGGTTTACATTTGTCAGCAAAACCATTCTCAAAGTTCCTTTCTACTTCTCTTCTTACTGCTGTGTAATTGTTTCCTGCTAGTTTGTAATGCTGGTATGTTTGGCGGTTAGGCCTCTTTCGATATTGAACCCATTTTCTTGTCTTTTCTTTTTTCTTTTCTTTTCTTTGGCCCTCTTGCAATTTCTGTTGAACCAATCCTGTTTTCTGGTCCTGCATCTCTGTTTTGGTATGAATGTTTGTGTGCCTTCATTGTATGTTTTGCAAAATTTGACATGCATCTTACTTACTTCCTTACCTAGCAACAAGTCTGTCCACTTAAAGTCATTAAAGAATTTTCTAAGCTCCCCATAATGTCCTCTCTTGAAATTGAGTTTATCAACTGTTTCAATGTTCCCATTCTCTTCTAAATTATATTGCAGAGCATATTTAATTTTGAACAGGACATGATCACACTTTCCTAAGGGAGGAAGGTACTGGATGTCAAATATCTCTTCTTTTCTGGTGAATATTAGATCCAGTATTTTTGACCAGACCATACACTAGAAGGTGAAGGGACGACGACGTTTCGGTCCGTCCTGGACCATTATCAAGTCGATTGACAATCAACTTGAGAATGGTCCAGGACGGACCTAAATGTCGTTGTCCCTTCACCTTCTAGTGTGTGGTCTGGTCAACATACTTCAGCCACGTTATTGTGACTCATTACCTGCAGATCCAGTATTGACGGAACATCCTCTTCCCTCAATCTTGTTGCCTGTTCGGCACGTTGATACATGTCTCCAGAATGAGGTTTACAAATCTGCCTGTCCAAATGTCATTTCTTGCTTCGTTGACCTCCCAGTTTATTGCTTTCAAGTTGAAGTTCATCAGTACCAACAATTGACTTATCTCTATCTGCCCTTACTACATTCTCTCTCATGGTCATTATGAGGCCCTCTCGTTTGTCATCCAGTTCCTCCTTTGTCGATGTGTTGCTTGCTGGTGGGCTGTAGGCATTTACGATTAGCAGTTTATCATCCTGATTCCAGACCTGCAATGCCAATATGTCAACTTCAGCTTCTTGAGGGGTTTTTGATTATTAACTTGCCTTCAGGTGTTCTTTCACCAGCACATAGCCCCCCCATCTTGTCATATCTTTGTTAGTGCGACAATATCTGACCTCTAGCTGAATTATATCTCTTGACTGATATTTTTTCTCGGTTTATCTATGTTAGTGCCTTTGTCTTTGGCCCTTACGTCCTCTTCCTCTAATGATTGTTGCTTTGTTTTTATGTACAATTTCACTAGCTTTCAACTGTAGAAAAAAAAAATCAATTCTATTCCCATTTAGACGTTTCGCTTCATCAAGGTTTGTTTTCGGCTTTTCTGTCTTCTTTTGAGAGGTCTTGTCGTATTGACTGAAGTTTGCCAACCTCATCACTGCAATTTCCTGGCATTTTTAAGCACTTCTGTCATTTCTTTCACTTCTGAGTGTGTGCTAGTATGTATGTATTGCATAGAAAATTCTTACTGCTAGAAGTGAAAGAAATGAAATGGAAAATATATAGACAAGCAAATGGGGTGTGAAGGAATAGAAAATGTTGAATTACCAGGTCTGTGTATACTGGTACAAAAGGCAAATCAGCAAATTTGAAGTGTAGCCAATTAAAAGAATCATTTTGCAGACTAGTGCCCCTCTCAGTTGTGTTGAGAAGCAAACCAATCTATTAAATGTGAACTTGTATGTTGAATGTATTGACTGAAAATATAGTATAGAGAATTGGATGACTTGTGTACATTTACTCATAAAAACTATTTTGCAAGTTAAGGCATATATTCTAAATGTTAAGAAGTTCATATTAGTAATCTTTATATTTTGTTTTCAGTAATCCCATCCGTCGCCCCAAAAAGTCAAAGCATCCCTCTATGCGTGGAGTAAGTTAATGAAGCATTGTTTACATTTTCTTAATTTTTAAATTTTACAGATTTAGGTTCAATAGTTAACGTTTTCTTGGTCATTTAAATCGAGGAAAGCCTGCATATATTCTGAATTTTTTTTTGTTTCCAACCTTTACTAGTTACATAATCTCATCAAATTTGATGTACTGTATGTAGTTTTAGCAGGAGATAGGTACATCTGCTGCTAAGAGCAGACTGCTAAAAGTGAAAGTTGGCAAAAAAAAGTAGGGGTGGTGGAGAGAAGAGGAACTGTAGGAGATTGTGGACAACAAAGAAGTCCTAGATGTGGGTTAGTTTAAATACCTGGGCTTTGAAGTCAACATGATATATTTTCTCATGTTTAGTGTCTTGGAGAAGGAAAGTGGCTGGTGTAATGAAAGACTGTATTTAGTGTATAGATGTGTTAAGATTTGGAGAGAGGCAGATAGACTGCATAAAGAAGTTAGTGCCTACCCAAATGAATGGATACAGAATACTAGTATACTTTCATGTAGAATGCAGATAGCTATACTTTTTCACTAAAGTTTGATTTTTATCCTTTGTTCATTTAACATTCATTGCAAACTTAAGGGATTTTGATTACTTTTTCTGATAGTTTATTGTGTTTATAACTCATAATTCTTAGCTACATTATTGCTCATGTATATCCTATTTTTACTAAATGTATAATATGGCAACTGATTCTACTTTGTAAAAATAGGTTTCTTATTTATTATAGATTATAAGAATGTTTGATTTTTTTTATGCAAGGTTTTGAATATGTTCTTTATCACTTGTGTAATTAATGTTGAAGCCATTTCCTGTAAAAAGAAAAGCAAGATATCAGCAGATGTCTATGTGCCTAAGGTTGTTTTTAGTCTTTTTTTTTGTTTGTTTGAGTATGAGGAAAGTTAAATATTGTTGGAGGTATCCAGGTAGTTTCAGAAGTTGCTTGTGACAGTTATCAAATTGGTATAAATGTTTAACTTGTTCTTTTTGGTGTGTTGTAGGTAGATCCCAAGTTCCTGCGAAATATGAAGTTTGCCCGTAAACACAACCTCAGTGGAAAGAAACAGCGTGATATCGCGGCAGAAAGAGCAGCGAAACGAGAGAAGCTTGCTGCGCTTAACCCATAGAAAGCAAAAGGGCTGAAAATGTTTACCTTTTGTAACCAATCTTCCTTTCTTGTTATGAATAAATAAACTTTTGAGGAAGTTAATTAATTTAATTGTAACCCTTGAGAGTTTTTTTTTATATAATTCATAAAAATCAAGCCAGACTGTGATAATATGTATTTTTTATAGTTTTCTTGTAATTGCACTGAAGACCATATCAACCTGTGGCCAGATTGACTAGACGTGAAATTTGAATTTACTCTGTGTATAGATTAATGAAAGTTCGACATCTAAAAGAATAACAACTACCCAGAGTTATAGAAAACTCTTAAATATGGCTCTGCGTAAAGGTAATTGTACTACAGGGTGTGCTTCAAATCCCTTAAACATTTATTTTTGTAATTGTTAGCCAAATGATTAGTTTTATATAATTGTCTTAAAATTATAATTGTACTAATAATCAAGATTGGTGGTATACCAAGACAACTATTTAAGGGTCAGCTATTGTCAAACAGCCAACTTTAACAGCTTTGTCTGTTAGCTTATATATGACAGGCATTAGTTAAACTGAATTGGATTTATTGACTAGGCAAGTTCAATTTCTTGAGAAAGGAACTACAAAACCATGCACCTGCAAAGGTGATCAAAAATTGGAATTCGGAAAAACAGATGGCAAATTGTTGAGGTATATGCAGTTTCGATGTCCAAGGGATCTGATTTAATATTATAGATTTGATTTTTTTTTTCTTGGCATCTTCATAAAGTTCCCTGTTCCACAACCCCAAATAAATCTGAAGCGAAAGGGTTAAGCATCTGGTTCGAGTAGGTGAAGCACGTCACTCGTGCTTCCAAGTCATATTCCATCAGTTCCTATTACAGACCCTTTCAGTCTTGTAAAGAGGGAATGCTGCTAAATGGCTATATTGGCTTTGTACTTTCTTCTGTTGAATATTTAATTCCTTGGATTGTACTATGGTCATACTTGACTAGTGCTTTTCCTTGATTACTGTTGACAGTTTACATGTGCATATGCATCACTGCTTATTCAGTGCAACACTGAAATAGTTTACTACCAGACTAGTTTCAATTCTTTCTTTGAAATTAAATTTTCCCCTGTAGCATGTCTAGACTGGTGGTGGCAAGAGCACTAAGTGGCTAAAAATGCCTGTTGCTTAATGGAAATTGTAAAGTTAATATAAAATGATGGCGAGATTATATTTGGTGAAAAGAATTCTTTGAAAGTCAATGTATGAAAAATACTGATAGTTTATTTTTCTTTCCTTGAGGGGTGATATTGGACCGCGTCACTTACTGAGTGAACATACCGCCATTGCAAGTTCATTCAACTACTTAATCCAGGTTCAGCTGGGACACACTTAATCTGTCTTAGGTAAACAACTGTCAACCAAGTAATTTAACGTCTCGAACCTTCAATTTTATGTTGTTGAGGCATCTCTAACTCCTTATATCTGCTACCTCATAATGATACTGTTGTCTGATACCGCTGATTTGTAAAAGGGTCATGGGGATGAAGTTTTAATTTGGTCTCCTGCATCCTTTATGTTCGGATTCTAACATGCAAGGGAATCTGTAAGAACTTGATCACCCTTCCCTTTCTGGACAGCATCCTCTCACAATACTGTAGTGTATTTTGATGTCAAAATCCCCAACGGATCGAATGCAGCATACTGTACTGTAAATCATAGCAGCTCTCAAACAACTATGCTTTGTTGACCAGACCACACACTAGAAGTTGAAGGGACGACGACGTTTCGTTTCCCTCTCTCCTCTGTTCTTGCTAATTTCTGCATGGAATACTTCGAAACTGTTCTTCCTTCTATTGTTACTCGTCCCTCTCTCCGGCTTCGCTATGTTGATGACATTTTTGCTTTATGGCCTCATGACCTTAATCTTTTCCAGCCTTTCCTCGCCTCTCTTAACAATCTGGCTCCTATCCATTTCAAAAAGTTGAGTGGGAATCTAATTCCCTCCTTCCTTTTCTTGATGTTCATGTTCACAGCTCTGTGTCTGGGTTCTCTTTCTCTGTCTACCGTAAACCCATGCATAGTGGCATGTACATTCACTTCTTTTCCTACCATCCTCCTTCTGTTAAGAAAAGTGTCCTCGTCTCTCTCTTCCTCCGCGCTCTACGCATCAGCGACCCTCAGTTTCTTGATTCTGAAATTGTCTTTATAAATCATTCTCTCGCCTTGGTTATCCTTTGCATTTCATCAACTGTGGCTACTCTCAAGCTAAACGAAATTTCTTTCATCCTAAACCTGCTTCCAACACTAGTAGCACTGTACTATGCCTTCCCTTCGTATCTGAACTCAAAACTTTTACCAATACCTTTCGTCCTCTTGACATTAAACTCGCCTTTCGACAAACTAACACACTTCGTAGCAATCTAGTTCACACTGCTCCTCCTGCTTCTAATGCTGCTGGTGTCTACTCTATTTCCTGTTCATCTTGTCCTCTCCAATACTTTGGCGAAACTGGCCGTACACTGAATGACAGACTTAAAGAACACAAGAGAAGTGCTAAGTTTGCAGACACTAACACTCTTCTGCCATGTGAGGGATTCTAATCATCCCATTGATTGGTCTTCCTCCAAAATAATCTTTCCTGCCTCTACTCTCCACAGACGCCGTCTTGTAGAATCGGCTCTTATACACAATGTACCCAACATGAACTTGAGTCCTGGCTTTGTTGCTGTGGACTTCCCTTTTACAGTGCTCTAATGCTCTAATCTTGCTAACAAACGTGACTTAACATAAGCTTACCTCCTTCCATTTATCTTTCTTTCTCTTTCCTTTTCTTTCTCTCTTCCTTTTTCTGTTCATTGTCTTCTCCTACGCTCCCTTGCTATCCTCTTCTTATTCCTATTACTATCTCCTTCGGTGGTTATAATAGGAGCTGCCTCGTGTGGGCCAATAGGCCTTCTGCAGTTCTCATTATTACTACTATCCCCTACACCTTACTTTCCTCCTCAGCTCTCTCTTGCCTATTTATTGCCTGTCTCTACCTCCTCATCACAATCTACTTGAGAATGGTCCAGGACGGACCGAAACGTCGTCGTCCCTTCAACTTCTAGTGTGGTCTGGTCAACATACTTCAGCCACGTTATTGTGACTCATCGCCTGCAAACTATGCTTTCTATGCGTGGGTGGTTAGAATAGGAACGTGTATTTTAATACACTTTTTTTGTCTGTTGTAGCAACTCGAGAGGCTCGACTGTTGTAACGTGTTTGCGCTTTTTTCTAGATATTCGTGCCATAGCAATAGCAATGAGCTCTGCTTTTGTTGAGGCACTATTCTCAATCAGTGCCTCGATTGAAGCACTGGACAATTAATTGACTGAAGAACAATCAATTGTTCATCTTTATTTGGAAGGCATTTACTGTGTACACTTCTTTAGCCCAGTCATTAATATGAGTAGCAGATCCTTCAGAATAGATTTTATCTAGGTGATTTCCTCCCTCTAGTAATTTCTTAAAGATACGTGATTTTTGAGGATAATAAGCCGGACTTCGTTATCATTTGAATTGTAACCTACATGGTACCTCGTGATAGCATTATTAATAACCTCACTGCACACAATAAAGGGTTTGGAATATCATTTTTATGAATTCCATCACATGTAAATATAACGTATTTCGATGATAGATATAACAGCCAAACTAGTACGCTACGAAGATGCATTTGAATTATGGGAATTATCCAACATTAATAAATCGAACCAGTGAGTTTGTTTTTATAATGTTACCCAGTAACTTGTTCCACACATGAACCCAATTTCCTAACCAGTGTTTACCGATTTGTTTTCTAAATTGAAACCAATTTGAATATGTTGTCTTGTGACAGACACTCTAATGTGTCAAATCTCCCACAACCATGGTGGCTTGCGCCTCGACGATAGTACCCAAAAAGGCAGAAAGGTCAAGGAAGTAGAACAATCGAACTTTCCACCCTGGATATTTCCACACGTGAATAGCTGCCATTTGGGAAATAAAAATAACTTCCGTGCTCTTTACGATGCAAAATAAATTTCCTGAACTCGATTTCATACATGACCATTACGAAACAAATATATTCTGAAGGTTTAAAAACAAAAGCAGGAATACATTGAGGACTGCGGTAATATATGGAAATAAGAAAATGCATCCTATAAACTGCCTGGATTGTCCGGTTTCAATACAAAACTAACGATGGTATTGAAAGCCCACTGATATTATAATTCCTTAAAGCACGCATGCCTTTTCTACCCCCATACACACTCCATACACTCCCCTTCCCCCCCCCCCACACCCACATTGTGGCCACAATTCAGATATCTATTTCAAACATTGCCACAGGTTAGATATAACTGTTAAGGTGATTGCCCAAAAAATTAAAGACATACATTTTCGCCTTTTACGTAGAAGTCCAAGGAAATATAGGACGATAATGAAGCCCAAAAAACAATTGATCTAATTAAGAATATGCACTTTATAAGTTTCTTTGATATTAATGAAAACAATGAAAACATGAAAATAAACTCCTAAACTGATTTGTTGTCGGTCTCGAGCCCATTGTTGATGTGACGATGTGCATTGAATTTTGTAACTAGCTCATCAAGATTGTAACTTGCTTAACTAAATGAATTGTGGGATTCAGTCCCTGAGCCCATTATGTGCCTCTAACCCTTTCCACTATCGCCCAGAGGATGGGTATGGGGTGCATAATAAATGAACTAAACTAACTCATCGTTTCCTTTAAAAGTGAATTTAGATATTTAGGAAGGACTATCTACAATCTCAATTCGTCCAGCCCTCAATGTAAAGGACACAAGAAAATAAATTTAACGAATATCATACTTCTGTAGCACTAGAACAAGCGTAAACTGTATATTTACATCAATCTTCTTAATTTATTTAATCGGCGCTCTGTGACCTATCGGTTCCAGTAATGGGCATGAGCACCGCCCGGTGGTGGCGACGCAGGCCAGGAAGGTGTCCCTGAGTTTTGCAAGCTGGCTCATTGTCAGTCAATTGTCTGTTGTGTTCCCTGTCCTCGCGCAGATAATGACGCCGCCAGGGTGAGGTGGGAGAAAGTAGCCAG